TTTTTTAATTTTTATTATATTATTTACTTATATAATATAAATTAACTATTATACTTATTTACTTTGTATATATTAAATGTTTAGAAAATAAAAATCACTTTTTAATTTAAATGTATATAAAAAATAAAGTAATAAAAAATAAATAATTAATAACTAGTTAAGAACTAGTTAAGAACTAGTTAAAAACTAGTTGCCATATTTTTAAAAAAAAATAAAGTAATAAAAAATAAATAGCTAGTAACTAGTTAAGAACTAGTTAAAAAAAATAAAATAATAAAAAATAAATAGCTAGTAACTAGTTAGTAACTAGTTAAAAACTAGTTATTATATTTTTAAAAAAAGCTAATTTTAATTATTTATTAATTTTTTTAACCTTTTTTACTATAGCTTATAGTTACTTTTTATTAAGTTTTTTATTTTATACTTTTTTTTCCTATGTAGTATTTTAAGTATTAAAATAATAAAATATTTAATAAATTTTTAAAAGTTATAAATAAAGATGCTTTTATAGGCTAACTAGTTAGTAACTTATTAAAAATTAATTAAAAAAACTTATATTTAACCTTTACTTTTTTATAACTTGCGCAAGGTATTATAAGCTTTATATTAATTTTAAAATTAGCCTTATAAGCTTATAAAGCAAGTTATTTACCTAGTTTTTAAATTTTAAAGTTATTTAATTAAACTAGTTAAAAACTAGTTATAAATTAATTAAAAAAACTTATTTATTTATTTTTATTAAGGGGCAAGAAGGGCTTAATACTTTTTTAATTATATAAAAAAAGTAACTAGTAAGTAACTAATTAATAATTAATTAAAATTAATATAAAAATAACTTATACCTTTTATTTTTTATTAAACTTAATAAACTTTTTATAATTAACCTAAGTATTATTATTTTTAAAAAAGGTTAAAGTAATATTAATATATAACTAGTTAATAATTAATTAAGGGTATTTAATTTATATATATATTTTAAGCCCTTTATTACTATATTATAAATAATTATAATAATAATAAACAAGAGGGTGCTTAATAATTAAAAAAAAGGGATTTAAAGGTAACTAGTTAGTAACTAGTTATAAACTAGTTAGGGCTTAAACTTATATAAACTTTTTAAATATAATAATAAAAGTTTTTTTAATTTTATTAAAAGTAAAATTAATAATAAGGCTAACTAGTTAGTAACTAGTTACTTATTAATTAAAAAACTTACCTTTTTTTAGGGCTAAAAGTAAAAGTTAATTAGCTAGTATTACTTTTATAATATTTAACTAGTTAAAAACTAGTTAAAAATAAGTAATTATTATACTTACTTTTTTTTATAGTTTAAGCCTTTTAATAATTAATATAATTTTTAATAAGCGCCTTACACTATTTTATTACTTATTAATAATTAATTAATAATTAATTAAAAATAGCCTATTTACTTATTAATTATATTACTAACCTTATTATTATTTAAGGTTTTTTTATTATAATTAATTAAGTAAAAGTTAAAAATATAAAAAGGATTTTTTTTCTTTTTAATATATATTTTTTTAATATACCTAGTAAGGTTAGACTTTATATTATAATTTTTTAAATAAAAGGTTAATTACTAATTAGGTACTAGTTAAGTATTAATTAATTTATTAATAAAATATACTTAGGGCACTAGTACTAATACTTTTTAATATAAATTTTAAAAGTTTTAGGCTTATTATTAGCAAGGTTAATATTAAATTAAATTAATTAATAACTTATTAATAACTAGTTAAAGTTTAATTAACTTATAACTTTAAATTTAAAAAGCTTAAAAATATTAGTAATATATAATTTTATATATTACTAGTATTTTAAAAGGGTTTTAAGTACCTAGTTTTTTATTATTATATTAAATAACTAGGTAGGAACTAAGCAGTAACTAGTTAAAAATATTAATAAAAATAAACTTATAAAAAATAATTACTAAAAAATAATTAATTAGGCACTAAGTAGTAACTAATTAAAAATTAATTAATAAAAATAATTAATAATAAATAATAACTAGTTACTTTTAACTAGTTAGCCTTAACTAGTTAGGTTTAAGGTAAATAAAAAGTAAAAGTAAAAAAAAAATTTAAAAAAAAAAGTTAATATACTTAGTTAGTAATTAATTTTTTTATATTATTATAAAATTAGCTAGTAAAGCTAACTAGTTATAACTTAGTATTTAGTAAAGTTAATAAAATATAAAAAAAAATAAAATAACTAGCTTATATATCCAGGCTAAATCTTAGCCTGCCTACCATATTAAAACTAGCGTGCCTTGGCGGATACCTAACCCGCGGGCTCCAGTCAACCCCAACTATAACCTCGCGGATTCTCTCTACCACTGCGTTCCTGATCATGGAACATCAAGATCTCATCAGATGGACTGTGGACAAGCATCGGAGAACCCATGGTTCAGGGGAATGAAGCAGCCACAACCTTTCTTCCCCTATTCCAGCACTTGAGATCAAGGGCACCTGCTCCAACTGATTCAGTCCTGAGACTCCTCGCCGATCCGAAATACGGGAGCGAGAACGAGGGGCCAACGTTAATCAGGATCTCCTGTACCTGAGTGGCAAGCGAAGAGCCCCTTTCCCAGCATGACTCGTGATCATCCGATCCCCGTACCTGCATTGTCCCAAAGGGCTTCAATAAGCGCTTATCAGACATTGCCGCGCTCAATGTCGCATGTAGCTTGCCTCCGCAACGGGGCCGAGTATAAACGAAGCTATCCCACTGGCCCAGCGGCTCTAAGCGACGGCCCTGACAGTCACAGCAAGTGAGCTGCGGCCTGTAAGCTTTTAACCCCAAGTCCCCAAGCTAAGAACGGCAGTCGGAACCGAGCGTCCATCGTGCGCTCGGTATGCATCCGCTTGGTCTACGCTGGGCATTTAAGATGAAGATAGCAACTTGGGCCCGTGCTGGCCCACTTGCACGGTCCCCTGCAATAACGTCGATCGACGGGCACTTGTCAATCACTACGACTACGGAGTACGCACGCCGTAACGGCTGCAGCTATGCGGCGGAGTACTTAACAGGTCCTCCACCTGTTGCGTTCCATTGACGTGGTATTTTGCTGCTGCAGGCCCGAGTGAACCATGGACGGGCTTCCTACTTGTGCGGTATGTCCTAATGTCTATACCTCATCTTGACATGCCGAACTGATCCATGCAGGTGTCTTGCCTGGTGCAAGCCATTCCTTCGTCCAACTGCTCGTTGACCGACATCGCCTGTATCTGTCTGGACCAGCAGCTCAGCGCGCAGGTTCAAGTATGCGGGCTGCAGAGTTGCAGTATCAAGGATAACCTGAGTATGTCTTCTCTGCACGTACATTTGTTGCAAAGGCTAAGAAACCAGGGTCCGAGCGGGCGTTGTATGAAATATGCGACTACCCCGTCACCGTCGACAACAAGGTCTTTCCGGTGCTCATGTATGTCGGCATTGTCATCTCGGCCATTGTGGTTTCTCTTCGAGTCGCTGGTCGACTTATCGCGTCGAGCTTTGGCTGGGATGATGCGGTTTCTTTACTCTCGATGGTGAGTCGACAATACCCTAACTTGCGATGGCTTGCTAATGAAGCAGGGCACCGTCATTGCGGTGACGGTCGTAGGCTTGTTGAGTAAGTCCTGGCCTACTCCGCATGAAGTATTCCACTAACTCTCCAGATGCACACTACGGCCTAGGAAAAGACCTCTGGTTCATTCCCTTCAACGACATCACCACAATCCTCCACGTACGCCACCCCACTTCTCCCTTGATACCCATCTAACGAAACCAGCTCTACTACACAATCGAAGCCCTCTACGTCGCCTCCATCGCGCTGTCAAAGATGTCAATGCTCCTCCTCTACCTCCGTCTCTTCCCAGACAAGCGCCTCCGCCTGATCCTGAAGCTCATCCTGGCCTTCACAACAGCCTGGGGCATTGCCATCCTGTTCGCCAACATCTTTGCCTGCCAGCCCATCTCCTACTTCTGGAACATGTGGGACGGCGAGCATAAGGGGAAGTGCCTGGATGCCCAGCAGCTGCTCTGGGCGCATGCGATTATTAATATTGTCCTTGACGTGGTTATTGTCGGACTCCCGATGCCCGCGCTCTTTAAGCTGAATATGTCCTGGAAGAGGAAGGCTTGGCTGGTGTTTATGTTTTCTGCTGGTATTGTGTACGTCTCTACCCAATTCTTGCAGCCAACCTATACTGACAATTCACTACAGGGTGACGGTCATCTCCATCCTCCGCTTCATCCACTCGCTCACCTTCGATTTCCTGGATAACTTCACCAGTAAGCCCGCCCCCCCTCTTCTCCCATCCACTCAACCCCATCGCCCAAACTAACAAGCCCATAAGAAACCGTCGTCCCCGTCTCAATCTACTCCCTCCTGGAAGTCTACCTCTCCATCATCGTCGCCTCCCTCCCCGGCGTCCGCGCCTTGCTCGCCTACATCCACACCGCCGTAAACGGTAAACCCTCCTCCTATAAATACGACTACAAGTACACCGGCCCCTCGGGCGCAAGCGGTGCGGCGGCTACGACCACGAGCCTCATCCCCCCGCCCTCTGCTGTCCGCGCTGGCACGTTTGATGTTGATGCTGAGACTGCGAAGGGGGGCGAGTTTATTGCGCTGGAGGAGACGCGGAGCCAGAGTCGGGTGGATGGGTATGTTGATAGTCGGGGGGCGAGTCGTGCGGAGAGTAGGACGCGGACGCGCACGCGGAGTGAGAGTCGGAGTCGCTCCAGGGCTAGGGGGATGAGTCAGGGGCGCTCTGAGAGTCGGGCGACGGGTCAGGGGAGGAGGGTTAGTAAGGCTTGGTTTGATTAGACCCAATATTGTTAAGCTGTTGTGAGGATTATACTCTATACCAAGGTTATGCTTTTGTTGTTATGGTTATGTTAGGATGCTTTATGGTTTTTCGTTTCCAACACGGTTTCATCTTGCTCACATGCCCAGGTATGAACTGTACGTTATGTTCTCTTATCTCTGATGTCGATGAGTTAATGCATTACGCATCCCTTTCATCTTTTATCTTCTATTATCTGTTGCTGTTGGTTGGAATGGACCTCCACCAAACCCTCATTCGGACAGGTATTCCCCTCCACATCTCTACTGCGAATGACTTCCCTGACGCGTGGAACATCTGAGTCATAAAGAATAAGCACCATGGTTTAATCAGTATGTAGGCAGCAGAATCGAATTCGCCTGGCATTGATGGGGAAGGCCTGATGTTCTTTATGACTATCAACCCACTCCTGCTCTGCATCCAGGTTTTTCTTCACGGCCTCGATTCATATCAAGAGAGCAGCTTTGAACGGGGTATCACTAATTTAGCACATCCTTCCTACTCCGCTCGTATCCAGATTCTCTGTTCTACAGCTACGGCATAACCCCCTCCAACCATGTCGACATCCCTCCCAACCCTCCCCCCAGAACTCCACCTCCTCATCTGGGACTCCCTCCCAACCCGCTCCGACAAAGCCAATCTCGCCCGCACAAATCGCCCCCTCTACACCCTCCTAATACCCCGCCTCTACAAAGAAGCCCTAGCATCCTGGTCCCAACACCGCTCCCTAACATCCTGGAGACTCGAGGCGCTAGCGCAGGGCAATAACCTCGCTGCAATGACGCGCTTCCTGAACGCCGGCGCGCCAGTCTCAACAGTGCACGAGTCCCGCACAACCGGGACGTACGTATCCTGCGCTGTTCTCGACGGCGCGGTGCGGAAAGGCTCACCCGATATGGTGCGCCTCTTACTGGAGCACAACGTTGACCCCAACGCAGCGGACTACTGTGGCTGCGCGGTGCTAGGGCGCGCCGTCCAGAAACAGGATCTCGCGAAAGTGCGCTTGCTTCTTGATGCTGGGGCGCACGCGGATGGGTTCACGCGCGCCGAGGATGCCGAGGGGATCGACCCCGTTGGCGAGGACAGGGAAAAGGAACGCGTGCTTATTCGGGCGCTTGCTCGGGTACGGCCCCGGGGGAAGGCGGATATGGCTACGGCTATGACTACGGCTAGGGAGATTGTCGGTGCGCTGCTTGATAGGGGGGCTGATCCTGCGTGTGTGGGGAGGGATGGGCTGAGTGCGTTGTGTTGGGCGGCTAGGGGGGGTGATGCAGGGATTGTGCAACGGATCTTGGGTCTTGTGAGTCGGAAGAAGGGGTTTGATATCAGCGCCGGGGCGCCGCTGGTGTGGGCTGTGAAGTCTGGGAGTGTCGATGCGGTGCGCGTGCTGCTTGGGCATGAGCATGCAGATGGCTCGGAGATGGAGACACAAGCGCTGGAGAGCGGCGATACGGTGCTAACGTCTGCTGTCGCGCTGGGAGATCTGGCCATGCTGTTTTTCGTGACGGCTTATCTCCCGCTTACATTGGAGACAGTGGCAGCACAATTCAGACACAACGACCGGCGCAGCGACCTGCTTACTATCGCCGTCCGGAGTCGCTCACCTGATATGGTGCGAGCTATTCTCAACGCCAACGCCGGGCTAAACGGACAAGACGAGTACGGACGCACGGCTCTCTGGCATGCCGTCCGCAAGGGAACCGAGGAGGTAGTCCGCGTACTACTTGACGCAGGCGCGGAAGTCAATATCCCAGACAAGGAAGGCGAAACGCCGCTACACAGGGCGTTCCAGATCCCTCGACGCAGCAAGCGCACAAGCATCATCACCATGCTCCTCGATGCCGGGGCGTGCCCGCGCACCCCCGACCCGCTGATAGACCTCGCGCCTTTGCTCTGCGCCGCGGCTGGCGGGGCTACCGCCGTTGTGCGGAAACTGCTTGCGCTGGGCGTGGAGCGGGACTGCAAAGGCAAGCACGGCGAGACACCGCTCTGCGTGGCTGCTATGTGCGGGCGTCCGGAGGTCGTGCTGGAGATGCTAAGCGATGGGACAGCCCCTGAGACATGGAGACGCGGGGGCCGAGGACTGCAAGGCGCGTATGCGACGTACCTTGACCAGCCGGATAGCAGCGGCCGCACGCCGCTGCACCATGCTGCCATGCACGGCTTCGTTGATATTGTTCGTATCCTCCTTGTCCGTGGGAGCGACGCGATGGACAGGGCTTCCTGTTCCGGTACGACGCCGAAAGGTTTCTGCGACGGAGTCCGCTATGCCGCGCTGGACAACGACGATGGCACGATGCAGGAGATCTACGAGTTCCTTTGTGATCCTGGCACAGCGACGATTGATGCGGATGTGCTGCGGAATGCGGCGGGGCGGTGCAGGCGGTATAGACGGTGGGATCAATGTTACGAGTGCGACTGCGTGCTGAGTGGGTTTGGCGGGTGGTATATAAACCCGGGGTCTGGACGGACTGGGTATCGGTGTTCTGAGTGCCAGTTTAGTGTTGGGTCTGACGGTGAGGAGGTTACGTATGCTGATCTTCATCCGAGCTATACGTCTCCGTCTGCGTCTGAGGAGGAGGAGGAGGAGTAGGAGGATGGGGATGGAGACGAGGGAGAGGAAGAGGGAGATGTCAAAGAAGAAGGGGGAGAGGAAGGCAACAAGAAGGAGGAAGAAGAGGAAGAGGAGAGCAGCGGTCCTGATCCCTGTGATACCAGCGATCCAATTTGCATTTGAAGTTCCAATGCATGGTTTTAATCTCCAGTAGACGATAGGCTGCTTGTTGCGGTGTCCTAAAACCTGTCTTAATCAGGCTCATCCTTCAAGCCGTCGAATCGGGCATGAGCAGCCAGTGTCGATTCATCACTACCCTACTAGTAGCTGATCTCGCTAGCACAGTGCGGCTGTGGCTATGGTACCTATACCTCCTTACCATCAACTGCTGCCATAGCCTGCCACGTTATCTGTGATGGTAATGCCAGGGCTCTGCCGTGGTTGCTGACGGACTTGAGATGGCACGACCTGGACATTAAGCTACATTCACCATTTGGGAGAGCTGCATCGTAATCTCGTGGCTACAGCCGGCCCAGTGCTCGGAACCCTAATCCGCCACGACCGGTGTATTCTTCCGCACCACACTTCCACTGTATTGATGAACACTGGCGCGTGCAAAGGCAACATGTGAGTCATGGAGAAGCCTTGCCACGGGCGGGTACAAATGTAGGCAGCAAGAGGAAATTTGCCTGGCAGAGCTCAGAGAATTTCCATCATCTTTCCGTGCAGGTCTTACCAAGATAACGTCTTGTATCAGAGGTGTTATCACCCCACCTACATATCGTTCTATTCTTACTTATACTGGTTAGCTTGAGCGTATCAAGTCTCCTGCAAAGCGACCTCACGTCAATACCACAATCCCAACACAAGCCCGACAGCACAATACCTACGTCGGTCGCCAATCATGCCCCGCACACTCCCCCTCGAAATATACACGATAATCAATTCCTTCCTCCCAACTCTGCGTTCCAAAACCCGCCTCCTGCGAACCTGCCGGACCCTCTACACCCTGCTCGCCCGCCGGCTATACAGAGAGTTCCTTGCGTCCAGCACTCAACCAGACATCCTCAAGACGCTGAATTCTATCGCGGAAAAGGACAACTGCTCCGCCCTGCGCCGATTCCTTGATGCCGGCGCGCCCGCTTGCACAACCGTCCAGAGCTCGAGTTCCAACGCGCCACACACGGTCTGCGAGATCCTTGGTGATGCGGTGCGGAATGGCTCGGAGCATATGGTGCGTCTGCTACTTGAGGGAAAGGACCGATATGGAATTGACGTCAATGCGATGGACGCTGTAAACGGGTATAGCTGTTTCGGGACTGCGGTGTTGCGCGGGATGCAGGGAATGGTAGGGATGATGTTAGATGCGGGCGCAGACCCCAATGGCTTCACGCGCCCGGATGTCGATGATTCGCGGTGGGCGGAGGAATACAAGCGCGAGAGGATCCTGGTTAAGGCTGTTGGCGCTGGGCGGGGATCGAATGGGGTTGTCGCGATGCTGCTGAATGCCGGGGCGGATCCGGCGATGGAGAGTCGCAAGGGGCAGAGTGCGTTGGCGATGGCTGCTTGGGATGGGAATACGGAGGTTGTGCTGTGGATTCTAAGGATCTTGGAGCGTCGGGAGGGGTTCGATATGCGTGGTTTTGTGAATAGGGGTCCTCGGGCGCCCTTGCTGGGTGCTGTTTCTCTTGTGTCTCCTCCGTTTGTACCTGTAGCTGGAGCGTGTGATATCCGCGCTATACGGCTGCTGCTTAAGCACGGGGCTTCGCTGGACTGTCAGGATGAATACTGGGGCACCGTGCTGACTGCTGCACTTGAGCGGGGCGATCCGGATATCCTGGATTTGCTGGTGGCGCATGGCTTGTCGTTGACGGATCCACCTGCGAGGAATACCGGTAGGCGAGGGTACGACGTGTTGACATTGGCTGTCATCGGCGGCTCTCCCGAAATCGTCCGGCGCATGCTCGACGCCGGGCTGCCTGTTAAACCCCCGGCCGTCTGTAAGGGGCTCACGGCGGCGGTGGTCCGAGGACAGACTGAGATACTCAAGATACTCATTGAGGCAGGGGCGGATATTGAAGGGTCACCCGCACTCAGCGAGACGCCGCTGTACTCGTCTTTGTTCTACGGGAATCCAGACGTTATCACGACCTTGCTGGATAATGGGGCGCGCGCGCCAACTCCCTCCGAGATCGAGTCTGGACGCCTGTTGCGCCGTGTCGCGGAATCCGGAGATGCGTATGTTATGCGGATGCTGCTGCACTGGGGCGCGGACCCGTGTGTGGGAACGAGGCATGGCCAGACGCCGCTGTGTCTGGCGGCGATCCATGGGCGTCCGGGCGTTGCTGCTGAGTTGCTATCGGATCGCACGGCCATGGAGACTTGGACACGGGATGGAAAGCTCGTGCCGGGACCGGTCCTAGACAGGGGTATGGGGGAAAGGGGACACTGGCCTTCCCAGGTCGACCGCATTGACTTGGCTGACGAGAAGGGCCGGACACCATTGTACCACGCCACCGTCAACGGCTTCGTGGATATTGTCCGCATGCTCCTTGCGTGTGGTAGTAATGCCGCGAGTGCGAGGACCATCTGCGACCTCACGGCCATTGAAGCTGCTAATAGAACGAGGGCCGCAGCATTCGAGCAGAATGATAATACCATGGAGGAGATCTACCAGTTGCTCTGCGACCCTGACACGGCGATGCTGGACAATGATGTCGTGAAGACTGCCTTTGCGCAGTGCGACAAATACAGATATGATCGGGTTTGTGAAGTGTGTTCATGTCCGCTGAGTCGGTTCGGCGGCTGGTATGTGTGCTGGGAGAGATGCTGCATCATCGAGCAGTGCTGCGCCGAGTGTGCACCGGAGGAGGACAATGACCATCTAGAGGTTGTCCAGTATGGCGATATTCCAAGATTGGACTCGAGGATATGAACTGGATGGGGCATGGCCTGGTGCATCTTTATTCCATGTCATTTCTTGTTTTGCCCGTTGGTTTAGAATGCATTCTCTGGGGCGTCCTACTGAACTTGCTTTCTGCTACTGTCACGGCTTATAGCCCAGAATCTAGACGTCGTACTTGGATGAATGGGAATATGCTCTTCGAGGTCATGAGGAGGTACAATCGGGATCAATTACCTCTAGATCGGGATGTCTATTAAAGGTGACAATAATAACTAGATCGCCTTTGCCAGCATACATACATATCTCCCGAATCATGGCGCAATAGCCCCATTCACCTCCCTCGCCGTCCTCGTCTCCCTCTCGACCTTCTTATCCCCCAGCGAGACTCCGATCTCTCTGATTACCAGCCAAGCAGGGAATAGAGCAACTGCCCAAAGCCCAAAGTTGAGGTAGATACTGCCAACAGACGCCATGATCGAGATACTGCTCACGCCGTACTGCACATGTTTCACGTTAGCCCGGAAATAACAGCTGGTGAATGCTTAGGCGACGTACCGAAACAGCCTGGGATGCAGACTCCATCCCTCTCAGCAGACTAGCAATACGGACAACCTCCTCTTCGTCCTTTGCCAGGTTGCCGACGACGAAGTACCTGCATCCTCGTCAGCAGCACATCCCACGCGGCCATACCCCAAGTCGAAACAGAGTAAAGAGAAAGGGACACACAAAAACATATAGTTCAGCTGGAACCCAACAACCCAGAACAAGTACAGCGGGAACCCCCTCCCAAAGCCACGATCACTCCAATCGAAAACGGGATTCGTCTTATGGAAGTCCGTGACTACCACCGTCCCCCAAAGCCACCACGCCCCCTGGAGGCCCAGGACAACAATGAATCCCACCCGGCTGCGCAGCTTAAACGACACCTTGCTGTCCAGGAACGCACCCAGCAAATTCCCCGCTATAATTGCCATGATACCGGATACGAATGAACCGAGTGCGCGCGCCCGCACGGAGAACCACAGCGAGTTATACGTGAACATGACGGCCTCACTAAACGTCGCCTGCCAGATAAGCGGGATGATCAGGACGAAGCGCTTGCTGAGTAGGAGCTTCGTCATAGCCTTGATCTCGAACCACACGTCGTTTGCGATGCGGAGCTTAACAGGGACCCCGTCTGTCCGCTGGACCTTCGTGGGACTCGTCAATAGCAGACCAGCGAAGGGCCCAAGTGCCTGCAGCGCAATGAACACGTAGTACACAACATAGCTCACACTCCCCGCCGTATCGCGGTGGACATTAACACCGATATTGATCGCCCCGCCGACAATCTGCCCGAGCACGCGGAAAGAAAGCCAAAAGCCCAGGAACCGGCCCTGGTTCTGGGGCTCCGGATAACTCAGTGCGATTGCGCTCTCCGCCATCCAGAAGAGTCCCGCTGAGATCCCGCACAGCGCAGCCCCAAAGAGTGTAAGCCAGTCGCTGTCATATCGGACCTGTGTGTATATACCGGCCGCATAGGGCGCGTACCCCATTGTCCCGACGATGAGTGTCCACTTGATCCCGATGAACTTGACGACGACGCTGCCGAAGAAGCATGATAGGACCATCAGGCAGAAGGTGAGGGCGTTGGCGGTGTTGACGAGGTAGGGCTTTGAGGCGCCACCACCGCCGAGACTGTTCATGGCGCCCCAGATCCCGGGCGCGAGGAAGTTGCACAGGCCGAGGATTAGGGCGTTGTAGTAGGTTGAGCGGTGCCATTTTACTGGGCTTGTTAGATGGGATGGTGGTAGGGGAAGTGGGAAGGGAGCGGAAAGGTACCTTGGTGTTTTTGTGGTGAGGTGATCGAGTCCGAGGTTGCGACTTCTTCGTCGGTGGTGAAGTCTTTGTCGGCTGCCATTTTGACTCTCATCTGAAGCAGCTTGACCCTATCAGTAAAAGATGCAGTGATAAGTCCTCAAGGCGCATAGGCTCCGAGCTCAAGCATGGGCGAGGCCATCAAGATATAAAAATATCCCGCGTGTGCTGGACCCATCTGTCATGTATGACCATCGGCGATCCCCGTCAAGGGCGCTGCCAAACAGTTCAGATCCCAAGGATGAGCTTTGAACCCGGTGTTCGTTATCCAGCTGGCGCTCATTCTTGGTGGTTGGTGATGTTGCATTCCGGTCTATGGTGGCGTGCTCGCACGGCATTGCAGCTAGTCCAGTTTACGAGTTGGAGGCGTCTTGGACGAGCAGGAATAATTTTACAATCAAGTGAAAAATACACTGCTCTACACTTCTGCTTGTCCTTTAATTTAGTCAGTCAATTGAGTGTGGAGTGCATAATTCACCCATAGCAGTCTGTAGCTACAACAACAAAACAATAACCCAACAATATACAGCCTTCGCAGGTTCTAGAAAGCAATCTACTCGGCAGTATCATCCTCATGAAACACCAACGCCCGCACCTCAATACTCTCCCTCGCCGCCTCATCCACCGTCTCCGGATTAACAAACGCACTATGCGGCACCCTCCTCACACGCCCATCAACCTTCGAATCAAAGCACTTAATCAGCGTCACCAGATCCGGCGTCTGCCCATACCGATAATACCACCTGACATCCGGATTCGCACGCACCCCATACGTCTCGCCCTCGCGGTCCGGGTAGATCAGCTTGATAGGGACGAGGTCCGAGTCCGGCACGGTGTTCCCATCCGCCACAGCGAGAGGGTCCTTCAGGATTGTTTTAATTGGCCGCCAGACGTTGATTATTTGGTACCGCCCTTCTAGGAGGTGTTCGGCGTCGGCGGGCAGGTGGTGTGTCACTCGGTTCTTCGACGCGGTGTAGGACTGGTCGATGTGGACGCGCTGCACGGGGCCGCGGAGTTGCACGCCCGTGCGGCTGTCGTTTGCTTGTCGGCGGATGGTGTGGTCGAAGATGAAGACTTTGGATGCGCCGGTTCTGCATGTATGTTAGTTAGGGTTATCAACCCCACCAGCGCTGCTTCCTCGGACGCCCATGGTAGCGAGGTAAGTCGGCTAGGGCAACTCACGCATCCTTCAACAACTTCTCCGTCTCGGGATAATACACCCGCTTGATCTGCTCGTCGTCCGCGAATTTCTTCTCCGCGCTCTCATGGTAGTAATACTGGAAGCCGTTCCCGTCCAGCGTGTAGTCGAGCTCGTGCCCGCTGACGTCGGTGATTGTGACGGGGACCGTCTCGATGGGCTGCTTGCGGTAGCTCTCGGTGTCGCGGACGTAGTTCGGTGTTGGGGCGGAGCCGTCTTCGTGGTCTTTGAAGAAGTTGAGGGTTGTGTTGACGTGGTGCGGTTTGTTTGTGGTTTGGAGGGAGGGCGTGGTGACCGGGGCTGGGTCGTGGGCTTGGCTGGGGAGGACGGTTGCGGAGGCCATATTTAAATTGAGGGCTTGTATGATGTTAGGTGTATGCAATGGAGTGCATGTGACAGAGCTAAATGTGGATGAAGAGTTATATGCAAAACTGGAATCCGGGGACTGATGCTGCCGAGGAGGGCTATATGTAGCTGGAGTGAGTGAGGGGTTGCCCTTGCCAATTTGTCAGGTCAGCACGCCATCGTCAATGTGACGCCCTGCAGTTGTGCTGATAAATCGAGTGCTGCATCATTGGATAGATGGCATCTTACGATGCGTTGATCGGAAATCAAGCTATCCAAGTATACTCTGCGCATATATGGGTGAGGAGTTGATTTCTAAGCCATGTGTCCGAGGACCAGTGAAGCTTCAGTAAGCAAAGGTACGAATACCAGGAACCATTAATAATGTTGTAAGATGAAAACTCATAGAACGCGCGAGATTGAAACACTGTATGGTGCATACGATGTTACTCTTGAGATATTGAGATGTGCAGAATACATGTTGAATAGTAATGCCGCAGCTAGAAGCAAGCCCTGATATAATCTACGCCGGTATAAACAGAACCAAAACAAATCTATAAACTCTATGCTCAAACCCTGACCAGTCTTTTAACCGCCGTCCCATCATCCAGCACCTTCTCCTCTTCCTCAAGACTATATCCACCCCATCTCGGCAGCAGAACCGTCCAAACATACCAATAAAGCACTCCAAACACAATCCTATATTATCAATCAGCTCCATCCAGACCAAGAATGCTGGTCAACGTACACTCCCGTCCCAACAACAGCATACGTCGCATAAAAGAACTCGACATCGCCCTTCCGTCCTGGTGGCGGGATAAACGGCGCAACGAGAAGCGCGAACGACACCGCAATCCGCAGCCAAACGGCGGGTAACCACGCCTTGAATGGGCGAGGGAGATACGGCTCTCGATACCGCAGTATCAGGAGGCCGACTGTGATTGCGAGCCCAAAGATTGTGCCCGGGTATCCCTCAACGTCGAGGATAAAGTTGTAGACGTCGCCTTGCGGTGGGAGCGTGATTACCAGCAGTGAAGGGAAGTAGTGCACGATTAGACCCCACAGAGGTGTACCGAAGGGCCTTGAGGATGAGAGCAGGTCGCCCCAGGGGAGGAAGCCCTGGCGGGCGATTTCCTGGTTGACGCGGGCCTGTCCGCCGGTTAGGGCTGCACTTAGCTAGAGGTAAGGAAGAGACATACCAGCGCAAATGTCACCACCATCACATTTCCCGCTGCAGAGATGGCAATGGCAAGTGGGAATAGGGTCCCGCCCACTCGCGGCCCAAATAGGCGATCGAAGAGCAGCGCTGCAACGAGCTCTCCGCTCTGCTTGATCTCGTCGAGCGGAACAACAAGGAAGTATGACGCGTTCGCGAGCAGATATAGCAGCCCAGATGTAAGTAGAGCCGCCGGACAAACCGTCTTGATCGTCCGAATCGGATCGCGCACTTCGCTGAGGACGTTGTTGACATTATTCAGCCCGGCATACGAATACATCACCTTGAACAGCGACGTCGAAAGGAGATTCCAGCTCCAGTTCGAGCCCTCGAAGAGCGTATCCCACGCCACAAAGTCTCCCTTTTTCACAGCAGCCGCAGCAGCAGCACCACCGCTTCCCATCTCAATCCCACCAGGCCGTAGAAGGATAACCCAAATCCCCGTGAGCGAAATCGACCCGATCAGAAAAATCTTCAACCACCCCAGCACATTCTGAATCCAGATCCCCGTCTGCCGAAAACACCCATGCAAGATCGTAATCAGGGTCAGCAAGCCCGCCGCAAACAGCTTGTGCGTCAGCTCGGACGGCTCCCCGCCAAACGCGAAGACCGTGTATTTCGCGAAGATGATGCAGTTGCTAGCCGTGAAGCCGAGGAGGACAGCTTGCACGGCGACCAGCGTTGATGCTAGATAGCGTGGCTTCGGGTACGTGTATTCGAGGTACACCTTGTCGCCGCCTGAGCGTGGCAGCATGCACCCGTATTCCATGGATATGGCCATCCCGCATGCTGCGAGGATTGTTCCCCCGATCCAGAGGAGCAGAGAGAGACCGATGCTGCCGGATGATTTCACGATCGAGCCTGGGGTTGCGAAGATGCCGCTTCCGATGACGCGCGAGACGACGAGGATGTAGGCGCTTGTCCAGCTGAGGGATTTGGCTGGGATGGCGGTTGGGAGGTCATCGCGGCCGTGGGTTCTGGCGAGATCGCTATCTTCGCGGCATTCGTAGGGTGCTTGTAGCAGCGGTTGGGTTTCGGCTTCCATGGTGCTCTGGTGTTGTCGTGATAAACCTAAGGTTGGACCTTAACGTAGGCTCAGGGCAGCATTCCGGTGGTTACATGGGCCAGCAAGGGATGGTGCTTAGAAATGCTGCTGTTGATAACATCAGGCACGTCATTCTTGTCGCACTTGCACTCAGCTGCGCATGAGCTGTCAGATATGATAGGTGACTGCCAACTCAGATCAGGGGTAGGCACTGGTACGAGGTCTAATGTCGCCGAGGTTGTACACTCCCACCGGCCACCAGAGCATCAAAGACCATTTATCCATAGACAAGCTTATGACTTCCAATGCACTATGCAAACAAGGCCTACATCATATCCACCCAGCCAGCTCCCCGTTCTGAGCTATCCCGAGTCCCCAAACCGGGGATGGATTGTCCTTCATCACGCAATCAAACCCCGCAATTGGCAATGGGCTTTCGTGCTCGCACACCACAATGGCGATGTCTTCTGCTTATCCTGCTGCGTTTCCGGATTACGGACCTCATGGCATTGCAAATTACAACCCAAATTTGCACGTCCCTATTGATCAATACGTCTCGTGCGAGAAAACGGCCTCGATATCTCCGACGGGATGGTGAAGATTAGATGAGCACAAGCACGCAAGATTAGATCCAGCAGGTTTGGACCTAGCGCTCGCTGCTTGACTCTTTCTGCTCTTCCTGTAGTTCCGTTTGTTTGTGTAAATATCGTCGGCTTATTTGTTTTCTTCCTCCCCCTTGCACCGGCAGTTATACACCAAAATGACGACGATAACAACCCTCACAACACTCGACAGAATACACCCAACTGTCTACGAATACGAGAAGGTCATAATCGAGCAGCGAGAGGATGTATCAAGTCGAACGCCAACCCAGCAAGCACAAACACACACCCAAGTCCGAGTCCAACCCCAACCACCAAGCTTAACGCAACGAGCCCTCCTCGTCCACGCCCCCCAGCAGCCCTACACCCTGGTAACAAACCACGCCATCCCCTCCATCCTACACCAAGACGAGATCCTGATCAAGACACTCGCCATCGGTCTGAACCCCGTCGACTGGAAGGGCCCGTACATGCACCCACCCACATCCTCCCAACACAACCCCTCCAGTCATGATAGCTAACACCCGCGACAGGGCCTACAACTTCGGCCTCCCGTCTCTACCTTGGGTAAACGGGCGCGATCTCGCGGGCATCATAGTCAACATCTCGCCCTCCGCTGCGCCACAACGCCTCCGAAAGGGCGACCTCGTCCTCGTCCCTTCAACCGACTACCGCGATATCCGCAAGGCCGCGTTCCAGGAGTACGCCGTTGCAACGCACTACAATGCGGCGAGGATCCCGTCGCCCGCACACACGTACGCTGCGGCCTCGGTGGGCGTTGCATTCGTTGCGTCGGTGCTGGCGCTCGGTGTGTCGCTGGGCGTGGACTTTCGGGGCATCAACCAGTGCCCGGGCCCGGATTTACGGGGTGTGTTGGGCCAGATTGACAAGTACATGATACCGCGTGATGTGCGCGATGAGTGCTTTGCGTCTGGGGACGTTGTTGAGAGGCCGCAGGCTGCAGACTGGATTGCTGTTTGGGGTGGTACGCACTACGTCCCCAGCCTGACCCCTGGCATCCATTCTTCATCCATTGGAACTGACAGTATCGACAGCGTCGACAACAACAGGTCTCCTGACAATCCAACTCGCACGACTAGCAGGCCTCAAAACCATTGCCGTCGCCGACATCGCACGGCACGGAGCCAAACTCCACGCCGCGGGAGCAGATATCCTCATCGACAGACACGACACGCAGCGCGCAGTCGAGATAATCCGCGGCGTAACAGGCGGAAAGCTGCGCTACGCCATCGACATCGTCGGGCAAGAGACAGCAACGCTGCTCCAGTCAACGCTCGACACAACAATTTCCGAGAACGGTCTCCATGCGCATTTACTGGGTCTGACGGGTCTACCGGCTGCAAAGGACCGCGATGAACGGATCGTGTATCATACTGTCCCGATCAAGGTTTTTCATTCGTGCCCGGAAGTCGGTGAGGCGATGGTTGTTTGGCTGGAGGGGCTGATTGAGTCGGGGACGCTGGAGCTGCCGGAGATTGTGAGGGCTGAGGGCGGGTTGGAGGGGGTGAATGAGGCGCTTGGGATGTTGAAAAGGGGGGATGCGAGTGGGAAGAGGATTGTTGTGAGTTTGGATTAGAATAGATGGTTATATGGGTTGGTCATGGATTATGATTATGCATATTTTGAACTGGTTACGGTAGAGAGGCGTTAGGTAGAATGTCTGATAATCTTGACTATATCGGGTTATTGAAGTCACAACCACAACTTACTATACATTCAACGAGCGAACAGAGTGACGACGAGCATGGAGAAAATCCATGATAAGATTTAGCAGGAGCTTATTATCCATCAGCCATATCCTACCGTGCAGCGTCAGGATTGCGACGGGTCTGTGCCAAAAATTCGGCACATGCCCCGGCTAAGCAAACCGCCCTGACGCAATCAATGCAAGAATGTCGGCATCAATTGCCCCTCATCTACAATTCCAAGGATATGAGGGGTATTTGCGTATGTGCGTGCCGTATTGGAGATATAAATACCTCGGCGTGCCTCGGGATCAAGTATGGGTGGCTGACCGTGATGCCATTTGGAGTCGTTATTGGCCATACATACGACAGCTGGAGGATCGCCGAGGGGCTTTAGCAGCCAGTACACGGACCAGGGCCTAAGCTCTGGACTGCGAGATCGGATAGCTTTATTGGATATCGCGAAGACTGAAGGCATTTTGTGGATGGTCAGTGCTCAACTGGAGCTTGGGGGTTATCTATCAAAGACCAGATTCCGAGGCCCTGGCACTTTGGTCTCTGAGTTAGTTATGAGGTCCTCTTTCTATGAAGGTCAAGCATACCGTAATCGAGGAATGCCTCCTTTGGCCTGAAGTTCATCTACAGATATTGACAGCGTAGAGTATACGGTAGGTGACTGTATATCTTGCATGATATCGTCTAAACGGCTATACATATTTACATCAACGCCGTCTCAAACATCAACCCACGTCTCCAGATACGTCCGCAGATCAATATCCTGCGGCTTCTTCAAATGCGGCGTCAGATCCTCCGCCTCCTGCACCTCCCTCCTCGTCCACCCATTCCCCACCCACGCAAACCGATTCCCGCTGGGACTGACATACTCATACTCAAAGTCCTCCCATCTCGGATCGCGGCGGATGTAATTCAGACTCGCCGCGCTGGCAGGAAACAGCCCGTGGATCCGAGCCCCCGGCCGACCCCCGTTATACCACGACGAGCAGTTCTCCGTCCACACGGTGCGCGGGAAGAACGCGTCGCTGTACGCGAGGAAGTCGTCCGTTGCGGCCTTGGACGGCGCGAAGGCTTTGATCCCCTGCGCCCTGAACTTGCGGATCATCTTCGCGATGTACACGATTTGGTTCTCGATGCTGTTGGGCACGCTCCCGCCGTGGCCGGTGGCGTTGGGGCCGCCGATCCAGAGGAGGTTTGGGAACCCCGGCGTTGCGACGCCCAGGTAGTTGTAGGGAAACCCGAAGTGGCCGTCGTGTTTCCAGGCGGTGCGAAGATCGAGCCCGTTGGCGATGATGGGGAAGGGCGGGCTGTGGTCGACGTTTGCGCCGGTGGAGCAGATCACGATGTCGACGGGTCGGGCTGTGCCGTCTTTCGTGACGATCGAGGTCTCCGTGAAGTGGCTGATGTGCGTCTGGATGTACTCGACGTTTGGCTTTGTCAGGGCCTCGAGGTATCCCGGGCCCGGTGTCGGGCGACGACAGTTCGGCGGGAACTCCGGGATGATCTTGTCTGCGAGGTCGGGCTTCTCTTTGATTCGGGACAGCATGAGCCTGCTCCATGTTTCGCGGAGGTTCGCGTTCAGTGGTGAGTTGCGGAAGATAGCCCCGAAGCGCGAGAAGTAGCCCTGTTCCACGGACTTGCGGTAGGCGAGGTACGTGTCTGGGTCGTTGAAGGAGTCGATTTGCTCCTGGGGGATGATGTTGGGTTCTAGGCGCCGCACGCCTACGCTGCCAAATGAGTCGGCGATCCAGGTGCGGTTGCGGGCGTAGTGGTCGACGTGGCTGGCGATGGGCTGGATGGATGGGAGGACCTGTAGACCCGATGCGCCGTTTCCAATCAGTGCCACGCGCTTGCCGGTCAGATCAACGTCGTGGTTCCAGTTGGAGGAGTGGAAGAGCGGGCCTTTGAAGGTGTCGATGCCCGGGTAGTCCGGCAGTTTCCAGACGTTGAAGTGCCCGATTGCGTTGAGCAGGATGTCCAGTTCTTCCTCGTAGAGCTGCCGTCGTCAACACCCTATCCTCACCCATTAAATGGACTGGGGCGTACCTTATCCTCTCTCAACTCCCGCACCGTCACCCTCCACTTCCCCCTCTCACCAACCCACTCCGCCCGCTCGACTTTATGCTGCGCCCGAACGTACTGGTAGACATCGTACTTGCGCGCAACGCCCTGCCAGTACTCTCTTATCTCGTGGCCCTGCGCAAACTCCTCCGTCCACTTCGTGTTCGGCTCGAAGTTCGACTGGTACACGTGCGCGGGGATATCGCAGCGTACGCCGGGGTATGTGTTTTCAAACCACGTCCCGCCCTAACCCTTGTTAGCCGAGCTTGCTAGGAAAAAAGAGTGGAAGAGGTACAAGGTCCGCGTTTTTATCGTAAATCCGTAAATCTAACCCCGGCAGCTTCGCGGGGAGTAAAATGCCCGCTGTGATGCCCGACAGCCCGGCGCCGATTACGCCCACCTTGATCGGTCGGACGTCGTCGATGGGGTGTTCTTCGATCTGAAAAGCTGGTCTGCTTTCACTTTGGTTGTTCGCCTCGGGCTCGGCCGATACTGCTGGGACTGGAGGTGCGCTGTGCTCGGGTCCGTGGATCGGAAGCTGCAGCTCGGTGTGCGTGACGACCGGTGCTTTTACTGCCATGTTCGTCGTGAGTTTGGTGTTCCTGTTTCGTCGGGTCTTCCCTATTTATCAGCAGCAGATGGTGAATCAAGGCGGGTAAGCCCATGGTGTGATAGTGCTGCCTTGTTGAATAATGTCGCGGCATGACTCGGGTCTGCCGTGCACATGGCCTGGGATGGGGGTTGACATCACGACATTGCGGAGCGGGATGGTGACACTGCTGCGGTGTATTTTTCAATTCATCTCGCTGCGAGGCTGTTCGAGTACATATGCTCTGGCCTATCTGATCGACTCCAACTGCATTTGCCGTAATGACGTGGGATTGTACAATATTTGCCCGCTATGCGTGGTTTGGTGGATGGCTACATCAACAAAGCCCTAAGAACGGCTCGATCAACGCGGCACCGCAGCCTACATGTAACGCATTCGGGTCCACAAAAAGATTCCATACAGTACAATCACAACAACTTCACAAACCCGCGCCACAGCCCCGTCGACGTATAAACCCCACGCGGATCAACAGCGCGCTGGACCCCCTGTAACCTTCGCACATTCTCCTCTCCGTACCCGTCAAACACATCCGCCGCCTGCGCCGCCGACGCATAATTGATATACATGTATCTGTTCGCAACGCCCAGCCCCTCCGCAACCTCCCTGATCCGCGCAACGGTGTTGTGCGTCATGGTTTCCACGGCGTGATCGTCCGCGGCGTGTGTCCATGCCGTTGAGATGAGGATTACTACCGTTGGCATCAACTGTTAGCACGGAGAGGAGAACGGGACGGAGGGGGCAGCATCAGCATACGGAATAAGGGCTCATCGCTCTCGATCCCCAGGGCGTTTCCGCCGCGCGCCTTCATGGCGGCGAGGGCGTTGCGCGGGAGCGCGTAGGTGACGAGGTTTGGGATCAGGCCTGGAACGGAGGTTATGGGCAGGACTTCTTCTGAGAAGATTTGGAGGGCGGTGGTGAGGAGCGGGCGCGAGGGGGTGATCGTTAGGGTTGCGAAGAGGTGTCTGTTGTATGTAGAGGTTAACATGTGAATTCTTGTAGCAAGGGGACAGTATGTTTGGGCCGCGAAAGGGAGCGAACGGACCTGGTTATCCCCGCCGTCTCGGAGCCAGCTGTCTGGGCGCTGAGCGTCGAGATTGAGGGACTCCTTGACAACGCTGGGATCTGGTTAATGGCGTCGAAGACGGGCGGGTTGGCGAGCGGCTTTGCGTAGCGCTGTGTCCCCGACAGGGTGAAGCCGCTTGACGCCGTGTACGTGTAGTACAGGTCATAGCCCATGTCGACGTCGCTGGTAAGCACGGGGTCCGTGAAGAGGTCGTAGACGCGGTCGAGGACTTGTTCCGTCTGGTTGGGGGCGTATGTGGTGCGGGTGGTGGACACAGGGCCCTGCTCGAACGTGCGGACCGTAAACGCCGTCACGATGCCGAAGTTGTTGCCGCCGCCTCGCAGCGCCCAGTACAGATCTGGACTGCTGGACTGATTCACCGTGGCAATTGTCCCGTTGGCAAGGACAATCTCGTACTCGAAGACATTGTCCAGCGCCCAGCCGTACTTGTTGCTGAAGGGGGATGTCCCTCCGCCGAGCGTGAAGCCCCCAATGCCGACGGTGCCGACGCGCCCGCCAACGAACGACAGGTTGTGCGCGTCTAGGGCGGAGTAGACTTGGTTTGTATTTGCGCCGCCGCCGACGCGTGCCTTTGTGCCGTTGTCCAGGACCTCAACGGTTGATATCCGGTCGAGGTCGATTGTCACGCCGCCGATGGAGTTGGAGTCCCCGGCGTGGCGAGAGTGGCCGCCGCCCTTGACGGCGAAATGGCACCAGGTGTCGACGAGGACGTGGAGGATCTGGGAGACGTCGGATGCGGTGGATGGCTCGACGCGGCAGGCTGGGGTGACCTCTTGCTGCTTTGCGTCCCAGATGGTGAAGTTGTCCGTTACCGGGTAGTGGAGGGCGGGACCGAAGAGGGTGGACAGCTCGGTGCACTGGCTGGTCAGAAGGGCTTTGTCTTGTGTGAAATGGGACGTACGGCTTGTTGGCAGTTTGGGGAGACGGTGTTGTTACTCGCTGTCAGGGAGGATCCATGCGCCACGGCGCTCCATCCGGCGAGGTAGGGCAAGCAGGTGGCTGGTCGCATCGTGATGATTTCGGGTTGGCCAATACACAAGCTACGATATACAATCCTTTTATACTCTGCATCCACAAATTAATCGCAGTGCCCAGACTTGCCCCGGCGGGGGGATGACAAGTGGACCGCTGGCCGAGGAGGACGGTGGGCCTGCACTCGCCACCGCAACCCTGTTATCTCTTCGTTGTCATCCTCCTGCAGGAATTGCTCGCAACGTCCTCCATCCAACTCTGATCTGTCATCCAACCGCAGATTCAATTCCCACACACCCCATCTCCATGGTTTACCCAGGCATGCCCATCGTTCCCCAAGCGGGGCCTGGAACAGCCGAGCAGAGGATCCGCCTGCAGCGCTTTTCCTCGCGCATCTCCGACCCAGACGAGGACTGGTCTGGCATCGCCGACCGCAAGGTGCGCAGGAGGCTGCAAAACCGCTGCAACCAGCGGGCGTTACGTACGTACTCCTCACGCAGCCAGGTAACGGACTAACAAGGCATCCAGGCCTGCGCAAGAAGCTGGAGTCCAAGACCTCGCCAGACGCCACAGTCCCAAACCGCCGCGATGCACAGGCGCAAGGCGCTCAAGCCATGGCTACAGCAGCACCGCTGGATCTGGACCTAGACCTCAACCTCGACCAAGTGCGCATCCTCGCCGCCAACACCCCCCAAGCAAAAGCCATCCTGGCGCACTTTGAAGCCCTCGCCCGCGCCCAATACACACAGAGCTCCCCGCGCGCCGACATGCTCCTGCACCTGATCAAGTTCAACTTCATCAAGGCGCTGCTAGCAAACATGGCCGTGCTGGGCCTGAGCGACGAGCATCTGCACGACGAGGCCATCTCGCCATTCAACACACTTGGCCCCTGGCACGCCGCCAGCAACATGGCCGGGGACAGCTGGAGCAACCTCCCGCCCAGTCTCCGCGCGACGCCCATCCAGCGCGCGGTCCCGCACCACCCCTGGCTCGACCTCCTGCCGATCCCGCAGATGCGCGATAACCTGATCCTGGCCGGGGAGTCGTATGACGAGGAGACGCTGTGCCGTGATATGAAGGGGCATGGGTGTGCTGGTGCTAGTGCAGGTGGGCGCAGGGGTGGCGCGTATGCGGGGCACTCGGGGATCATCGTGTGGAAGGATCCGTGGGATGCGTCCGGGTGGGAGGTCACCGAGGGGTTTGCGCGGTCGTGGGGGTGGGTGGTCCGTGGGTGTTGGGACTTGATGGCGTCGACGAATGCTTGGAGGGCGAGGCGGTGCGAGAGGGCGTTGTTTTAGGCTTGTGCTTAGATTGTGGCTTTATTCTTCATGATAATCTACGTGTGTACTGTCAGGTTTCTATAGCGTTAGTGACGTCGATGCTGGGGAAGGAGATGTTATGTTGACCCCTGGCCTTCGTCTCGGTCTATCTTCGGACTGATCCATATCTGCTTTTTGGCTCAGCGAATCAGGCGAGACTTGTCATCCGCCTGCAGGCAGGAGTGGATTAGACCCGCACACTCAGATTAAAGATCAACCAATCAGACGAGACTTGTCATCAACATGCAGACTCCACTGAGCTTGACCAGTTTTAGCCTCACTATCAAGCCTCCAGGGCTGGGATTCACGAATAACGTTGAACTTGTCATCAATAAAACATCCATCCTGCTCTACCAAGTAACCGAACAGGAACAAAGTCCAAGCGGACATACCGGAGATGAAGAACCCTCTATTGCCGGCGTCTTAAAGCCCTTGGCATATATCAAGACAACCCCTGCCTAGACGAGTTCTAAATTCGAAACAATCAATCTGTCGTGTTACCTACACCTCACCAATCACTCAACTCATCATGTCCGTCTTCGCCCTGGCCCCCAAGCCCCCCAGTCTCCTCGGCTACCACCGCGTCCTCTCCAGCACCGCCGGCGTCAAGGTCTCGCCGCTATGCCTGGGCACCATGAACTTCGGCACGACCTGGAAGGACTTTATGGGCGAGTGCGACAAGGAGCAGTCGTTTGCGCTACTGGATGAGTTCTTCAGGCTGGGCGGGAACTTCTTGGATACGTATGTGCATGCTTTCTGCCAGTACCATGATGGTTGACTGATCATGCTGCCCATCAGAGCCAACAACTACCAACAAGAAGAGTCGGAAACCTGGATCGGAGAGTGGATGAAGGCGCGCGGGAATCGCGATCAGATGGTGTACGTACCGGCCTCCCATCGACCTGCCATGTACCCCTGGACTACATAGTCTGTCATATTATACCCGACGCGGATAGAATTCATACATGACCAGCTAGAAGACCCAGCTAACAAGGTGTTCTTGTTCCCCAGCATCGCAACAAAATACACAACCGGCTACCGCACCTCCCACCGAGCCACGCAGCCCCTCCAATCCAACTACGTCGGCAACTCCCTAAAGTCCCTCCGGCTCTCCGTGACCGCCAGCCTTGAAAAGCTGCAGACCGACTATATCGACATTCTCTACGTGCACTGGTGGGACTTCACCACCTCCGTGGAGGAGGTCATGCACGGCCTCAACGCCCTAGTCACCTCGGGGAGGGTCCTCTACCTCGGCGTCTCAGACACACCCGCCTGGATAGTCGTCAAGGCGAACGACTACGCCCGCGCCCATGGATTACGTCCGTTCAGCGTCTACCAGGGCAAATGGAACGCTGGGTTCCGCGACATCGAGCGCGAGATCCTCCCTATGTGTCGCGACCAGGGAATGGCGATTGCGCCGTGGGCGCCGCTGGGACAGGGGAGGTTTAAGGCTGCGAAGGCGCGCGATGCCGGTGATGGGAGTGCGCGGGCGTCGAAGATGAGCGAGGAGGAGGTCAGGGTGTCGGATGCGCTTGAGAAGATTGCGCAGGGGAAGGGCGTGAGCTTGCATGCGATTGTACGTGGTTCCTGTGCCCAACACCATCACTCAACCAGCATAACCTGTTATAAACCCCCACCCCTGGTCCATTTATACACCCATGTTGACAAAACGGCTAACCAACTGCAATACCAGGCCCTCGCTTACATCCTGCACAAATCACCACACGTCTTCCCGATCATCGGGCAGCGCAAGATCGAGCACCTCCGCGCCAATGTCGAAGCCCTGAGCGTGCGTCTGTCGGCCTCCGAGCTCGATGACATCGACGCCGCGTCGTCCTTCGACGTCGGGTTCCCCATGAACTTCATCTTCCGCGATTACTCGACGACGCGGAGTACCGCTGCGGATGTCTGGTTGACGCAGGTGGCGGCGCATATCGATGCGCCGCCGCATCCGGGCCCGGTTGTGCCGAGGGGGGAGTAATGGTATCTAATCTACTTGGTCGGTTATGTCGGTGGCTCTGGGGTGAGGGGCGGAGGATTCGTCAAGATTTAGTGATATAGAGCCAAGCATAGCCGGTTAGGGAGTGGTTGGCGAAGACGACCTCGCACTCTTTCTTTTCTCTTTAGATAAAGTTGTCCAACCGAATGGGAAAACGGACTCGGTGCATTGTTATCTTTGTTCAGCCTAGGCTGGGTAGGTTGATGATAAGGGCTACTTACCTCTGATCACCATAGCGTTGGAGGTTATTGTCTCTGGGCTTGAGGGTAGGCCGATCGAATGAAGACGAGTATCAGATAGTAATATAGTAAATGATAGTGTTCATTACGCGAGGTACATGTAGGTACCTGCCACATATTGTAGTGCTCTTTTACTTCCTTTGCATGGTACCTAGATGACCCTTATGGTTCATTCCAAGGTTGGTACTGTTTAACGCCCTGCAACAACGTCGAGGTTGGGATCAGAGTAGCAGTAGAACAAACCCATCTTGCAAAGACAGTTACGGAGACATCTGCGTTCCATCTAATTACTCGGCCAGAATCAACACGCTGTTGAAAGATCCAGGCTTGTGATAATACGGTAGCCTGATCATGGAACTGCCGCGTTTGCGGCTGAAGATCCCAGCAGATCCACCATTCGCTCGCTAGACGGAGTAACCAACCGAGGCGCAGATATATATTACTATATAAACTAAGATAAGATCCTGTTAGGAACTATAGGCGTTGGGTTCGGCGGAGCTATCGGCGGAAGCCACGATGCCAGCTGAATCGATGCCTAGGGTGCGGCTGAGCACGATCCACTTGCCCTAAGCGACGAGTACCATACCCAGGTCCCTATATAACATCCGCCGTCTTCCTACCTAGGTCGGTACCTAACTCTTTCCTCCAAGCCTCGAAAGAAAACACCACACCCAGCCATCAAAATGCCCGCCCCACCAAAGCCCATCGTGCTCTTCGTCTGCCCGCCCGAAACCGGGCACACGAACCCCCTCCTCCCGCACGCAACGCACCTCGTCTCCCAGGGGCACACCGTACACTTCATCGCAGGCCCCCCCTCGCAACCCGCAATCGAGAAAGCCGGCGCAACCTTCCACGCCCTGCACAGCGTCTGGAAACCCGAGATGTTCGACATCATGCACAGCTTCCCCGATGAGCCGAGCCGCTTCATGTACGGCCTGAAGCATAACTTCATTGACCTGACGGAGCCGTGCATGCGGACTATCGCGGGCGTCCTTGAGACCATCCGAGACGAGCACGGGCCCGCGCAGGAGGTCGTTATTGTGCAGGAGTACGCGGCGCTCGGCGTGTGGCCGTTTCTCCTGGGTGCGCCGCTGCCGAGGGGGTACGCGGGGTTCCCGAAGGTGGTTATCTTTGCGACGGTGCCGCTGCCCGTCTCGAGCGTTGACACGGCGCCGTTTGGGCCGGGCCTGCCGCCTGATTCTTCGGTGGAAGGGCGGGAAAGGAATCGGGGGATGTATGAGGCGACGAAGGGGTTTGGGGACGAGATTGCGCGGTATGCGAATGAGATTTACGTGAGGCTTGGGGCGGGCCCGATCCCTGGGGGTGTCTCGCCGATGGACTTTTGGGGCCTTGCGGGTGATGTCGTCGTGCAGCCGTGCAGTGCCAGTCTCGAGTATGAGCGGAGTGACCTCTCGCCGAAGATTCGGTATATTGGGGGCTTGCCGCGGAAGGAGATTGGTCCTGCTGATCTCCCTGGGTGGTGGGGTGAGGTGCTGGATGCTAAGCGGGCAGGCAAGAAGATTGTCTTTGTTAGCCAGGGGACGTTTAGGCTTGACCATAACGAGCTGCTTCTTCCGACGCTGCGGGCTTTGAGTGATAGGGAGGATTGCATGGTTATTGGTGCGTTGGGGACCAGGGGTTCCAAGCTTGAAGAGGGCGTGGAGGTTCCGGGTAACGCAAAGGTCGTGGACTTCTTGCTGTATGATGCTATCCTTGAGCATGCGGATGTTTTTGTGTCGAATGCTGGCTATGGAGGGCTCATGCACAGTGTTATGAATGGGGTTCCCATGGTGCTGGCTGGGACTGGACGTAAGTTTCCCTCCCTTTTTTCTGTATACATGAAGAGCGGATGAGGTAGTTTCCCGGCAATCTTGAGAGTGCGTACTGACCATTGCATGTGCAGAGGACAAAGCTGAGGTATCTATGCGCGGTGAATGGGCTGGTATTGCTGTCAATCTGCGGACAAGCACACCTACGGTTGAGGCTCTACGAGAGGGCATCGACAAGGCTCTTTCGGACAGTGCCTTCAAGAAGCGCTGTGTCGAGATTCGACGTGAAAACGAAGAGCTGGATTGCCTGGCTCAATTGGAGAAGTTGGTAAATGGAGACGCATAGACTGGTACACATCTAATAATTCTGATGTTATATAAAACACGGTGCACCGCCATCTCTTGTAGGCATTTGAAGCTGTCCCGATGTTATCTAGGCATAAAGGCAGAGAATTCATAATATCAACCGATCTTTGAAAGTCACGCAGGAGGAGAATTCGCCTGATCCCCATCACAAACCCGAGCAAATTCCCGTGTGGCCTCATCCGGTTCCCACGCGAGAAGGCGCTCCTTCGCCTCTTCCATCTTCCGCTTGACCAGAGCTTCCATGTCCTCCTTCCCCTTCTCATCAAGTAATTCCAGTCTCTCCTTCCACCGATCCTCATTAGAAAGAGTGCACGGCCCAAAGAACCGCGTGTCCAGTTTCTTCCAGAAGATCGCGTCAAACGCAAAAGGCTTCCGGGCAGCATACACAACCCAGAACTCGCCCGTTTCCCAGCTCCGTCGCATATGTCCTGAAAGCCTCTGGTCCTCGGACAATCTCCCGCGTTCAATAGCGGTGTCCTCGCACTTCTCTAGCGCTCTGAGGAAGGTCTCTAGACGTAGTTCGTATGTATCGCTCCACGCATCAAGCCCTTCGGGCCAGTACTCCGGCTGCTCGAGGAGAAGCCACCATGGCGGCGCACGGGTGAACTCTACCGGCGCGGCATATGAGAACTCCCAGTCGACTACGCCGACACTCTGCAATTTGTCATTCAGAAGAACGTTTGCAGGTCGGAAATCGTCGCACCATAGAGGGAATGGACCGTGGTCGGTTTCGGGTGAAGTCAACTGGCCTTCTCGCCCGAGTCTGCGGAACAGGAATCTGGCGACGTATTTGCGGCGGCAATCATCCTCTGAGTCGACGGCGTCGTTTCGTTGGTGAACCAGATGGTCCATGTGAAGGTCCGCCAGGGATTCAAAGTAAGCTTGGGCTGAACCAAAATGTCTCCTTGGTAGTTTGGACCGTGGCAGAGTCCCGAGGCTGACAAGCTGATTCATGGCGAATGTGAGAGGTCGTGAGCTGGAATCCCATGTGAAGTCATCCACCTGCGTCAGGCTCCCGATCTGGGGCAACGTCACTCTCGAGAGCTGTAGGAGGACGTCGGCCATCTCGCCATAGAGCCTCTCCAGCTTGTCTTCATCGATGGACGGGTCCAGGATTGGTCGATCTTCTATCTTCAACGATGGCGTGATGAGCGCTTCATTCATGGTGAGCGCATGCTCGACATACTCCATCAACATGAACGCTCCTGATCCTTGGACAGGCGGGCCCTGATCCTTACTGCCAAAGTGCAGGACCAAGGGCACCGGGATCGAGGTTTGATCCTGGACATATCTCATGGCCGCAACCTCATACCGTGTCTTTTCCTCAGGGAACATCGTCGACCCCGGCTTCGTAAGTCGAATCATAACCGAGCTCCCGATCTGGAACTTCATGCGAAAGGAGACATTGAAGGCCCCGCCTTGGGGGCTACATAGTTCGGTAGGGGTGCGCTTGTGGTGCTTGACGATGAAATCGCCCACCTTGCGTAGATTGTCGTGTTTGAGGATGTAACTGACCCAAGCATCTTCGATTGATTCACTTCTTTCCCAGGCCACGTCGTCAAACGGCATACGTGGCCGCATTGTGAGATATGCTATTCCCCCAAAACCTGAAGTGAGAGCCTTGTTTGAGTCTTTGATCTCTTTGTCTTTGGTGAGAACCAGTAGCCCTGATTCGAGTCTTGTTGGCAAAGAAGAAGGCCCCTCGATAGGTCTGAGGTGGAGGCTCACCGCATAGTGGGGGCTTGAGTCAATGCGGCGCTTAAATTCCTTGCATCACCAATCACAGGGAAGCTTCCAGTTGTTGCTTGATCAAAGATGGGCCAATCACACTCTCTCGTGTACCGGTACCGCCATGCCCAGCACTGGAAGATGTGGTAGGCACAGCGCCGCAGCAGAGTACTCGTCATCCTTCCATCTCGGCCATAGGAGAGGGATAAATTCATGCCGAACTCGAATCGCAAACGACGAGGTTCAGTAAGAAGTACCTTGGGCTCAGACCAGAGCAGGTGCGAGCCAAGCGGGCTTGCCTGACCCGTAGCCTTAGTATAGGCAAGTGCGGCCCCGTACATGTACTCCAGGGCTGGCTAGTTGGGGAGGTAGCAGGGTGATTGCCTTGTTAGCTATTTCCGACCAGTCACACTTTCCCTGATTTTGACACCAATGGTCAGGTCGGGTAGAGGCTCAAATGACTCCCCCCAGCCATCGATCGGTCACAACTTACTGTGCCGCAGCGAGGCTGAGCAGCTATGAGTATACATCAGACACCCAGAACCAACCACTAATACAACAGGCGAGACCTCTCACTACGGCCGGGGGTCATTGCGTTCCACGTCCAACAGCGCTTGCCCCTCCATTGGCTCTGGCGGCGTGATGAGGCTCTCCAGGCTCTTTTGTCTCTGCACACCCGCTGTGCCGCATGAACCAGGCATTTTGTCATCGGCGGCAAGACATGGACATAAATAGAGGACGTACCTGGCCGGCAGACCCATTGACCATCATCAAAGCCCTAGAATACCACACCCTTAGTGAAGACGATCAACCCTGGAATTCGTTCTCTTCTCCCTTGTTCAGCATCACCTGCAGGTTCGTCAAGCTTCCCTCAACCGGTCAAGCTATGGACCCAATCTAATCCCATGCAGCCAAAGCTCTCACACCATCCCCGGTAACAATGCCATCCAACAACCAGACCAACGACCGCAAGGAGACGGAGTACCGCCTTGGTCTCGCCTCACCCACGGCCAACGCGCTGCAGAAGCAAGGCCTCTCGTCCGGCGAACGACGCGGCAAGACCTACAACAACGACCCCTACAAAATGCCTACAACGCAGGAAGAGTCGCAGCTCACCAAAGCAGCCAATGTTTCGTCTGAGCGGCGCAAGCATGTCACTGAGAATGTCGCGAGTTCCTACAGAGAGTCCAAGTAGAATTATCGCGAGGTATACTGTCTGTGGGGGTGCGCGTTCTTGTTCCTCTTCTAATGTTCGCGAGGTTGCTGCTTGTATTTCTCTTCCAATGTTGTGGTGTCAGCTCCTAACCGCTTGGTTGAACAAAGCTGGTGATATGTGTTTGCGTTGATAATATGCGTCCGTCGTGTTCTTCCTTGATTGTGCGAGTACTAACTTCCATGTTTGTCTTGTAATACTCCGTACGAATGTCATCAATCCAGTTTGTCGGTCACTAAAAGCAGCTCCAACTGCGTAGTTACTGACAGTATTATCCTTGCGTTCTCTCGTCAGATTTCATGTTTCAACACTATAGGGCCAGCTAAAGTTGATAAGGTAGGTTTGTGCGATGTGGCTATGCCGCAGGTGGTTGGGGCTATGCTGCTTTTCTCCTATATATTACCATGCAGCGTAAGGCATTGCCAGAATTTTCAATTATCCTCTCTCATCACCTTCCCCAACTCTAGAATCAAGTCCCAAAACTCTGGTCGCTGTTCCATTGAGCATCATGGACGAGATCAACCAGGTAACCATCGGCATCGACCTCGGCAGCACCTCGACATCCATCGCTTTTGATGTTAACGGTGGAGATGAAAGCGAAGTCCAAATCCTGAACAATTGGCCGGCCGCCATGAAATGGTCCTATGACCAGGTTCCTCGCGGTCCGGAGATTGCAACCATCGTCTATTATGATCCCCATGCTACCAGAAGTTTCGGCTGGACTAAGGATCGCTTTGAAGTCGTCACCGAGCGGGATACGTTGAAACCCGGTTTATTCGCGGCTACAAACTTCATATCAAGACTATCCCCGCCGGGCGATTATCCTGATGAGTGGAAGAGCGCGCTGCTACCTGGTACTAAGACACCTGAAGATGTGACGTTGGATTACCTGCGTCACCTCCGTCTGAATATTCTCCAGCAGATCGTGGATGAAGGCTATTCGGGGGAAGTGGCTAGGCTACACTTTGTGATTACTGTGCCGGCCTTTTGGGACACAGTGACGAGAAACCGGTTTAGGCAACTTGCGACCACGGCTGGCTTCGTCAGAGCTGAATCTGCCGGCCAGACGCTGTCATTTATTTCAGGGCTTGAGGCCGCACTCTCTCAGTCTGTCTACCTGCATGCTGGTGTGCCCAGCTCGCCCGATAATATCCTTGTCTTGGATTGCGGTGGCCATACCGTCGAAGCCGCGGTCTACACGGTCGAATCTAGCTCGCCGTTGATGGTGGAGCGCCGGACACCAGTCTCAGTGGCATCTTGCGGCTCAGCGGAGGTTACAAGGCTCTTCATGGACATTGCTAAGGCCAAGATCGATAAGGTGAGAGTCCCCAGTACGGGACGGGCATTTCGGGTGATGCGGGTGAGGGCAAAGAGGGCGTTTGGCAGAGAGGTCTTGTTCAATGACAAGTTCAATGCCGTTGGCTTCCATTTCGATATTCCGCCCGAAATCCATGCGGATGGGAAGGCAGACACTTTCTGGGTGGCTGATCTTGGAGTTGAGCTGAGTTGTCCGGAGGCGGATATGGTGGAAGGGTATATTAGCTTTTCAAGAGAGAAGATTTGTGCTCCTTTTAATACTATTGTTGAGCGGACCATGGGCCTTGTTCGAGACCAGATTGGGGCTGTGGAGGTCCTTGGTGAACAGGTCAACGTAAGAGCTCAGAGGGAATGAGTTGGACGTGCTGCTAATATGTGAAGTAGGACTGCCTGCTGATCGGTGGTTTCAACAAATGTCCCTACTACTCTGGTAAAGTAGAGGCTGGGATGGCAGCTCCCGGGCTTAGGCTTGTTAAACCAAGCGACGATGGAGCAAACCTTGCTATGGGGGCTGCTTGGGCGGCGGTGTCAGGGTCGGGGCCTTCTAAATGATCCAGTTCAATTGGACAACGCAACCCAACCTTAGGCAAGGACAGGGTGCTTGAATCCAACAGGAGCACCACTGCATTCCTGTCACAGTCACACAGCTAGTGGCTAGGCGCCTTTACCCCTCCCCCTTCTCCCCTTCTTCTTTCTCTTCCTCCTCATCTTCCTTGTTTCAGCCCTCTCCATCATTGCCAACCAAGCAGCACACCATGTTCGACCTCAATCGCCTGGGACTATCCGACTGGACAACAATCGAACCGCTCTTCGACAAAGCCATCAATTCGCCTTCAGAGATTACGCCAGAGGAAAAGCACCAGATCGCACAATGGGCCCCTCGCGAGGACATGGAGGAGCGGTGCCAGAAATACCTTGGTCGCTCATTGCAAGATCTGATACAAACAGCGGCTAATGATCCAGACTCGCTCACCTACCCAGAATGGCGACTGCTATGTGACGGCTTCTACATAATGAAATTATTGCTCTCAGGGGAACGTTTTAGCGTGATGGGCAGTCGGATGTGGAAGCAGGAGGACCTTTCGGACAAATGGCAGCGGGCTCTGAAGTCTGTTCTAACGCCGCTTGAGTTCCGGGCGCATCAGGCCTCGCAGGACACGCAGTTGTGCTTGAAGAAGATGGCGGAGCTTAGGAAGCAGCAAGAGCAGCATCCTGACTACGAGCCTACCCCGTGGAATCCAACGAAGCCGCCGCGTTGGATACAGCGTATACTTGACCAAGGAGGGGATATGAGCTGGGGATATGTGATCTTTTGTTATTCACTGAGCGGGTCGGAGGCGTGGCAGAAATTCCATGAAGAATTTCATGAGCGGGTCGATTGGCTTCCAGCTGCAAGGCCCGGGGGCGACAAGCTGCAGTCTACAAAAATTGTTGATTTGACTAATTTCGATGGGCCGGAGGGCGATATTGGTCTGCTGCGCGCGTAAGCCACTGCAATTGATGTTTTACCATACCTGCTTTTGGGCAATATCCGCTAACAGCTTGATCTAGGCGTTTCCGGTCCATGCGAGACGCCGGAGAACTACGACATGGACTCATGCGAGATGTATTCCTCTACGTTAGCACGGAATGTCGAGATTCGTGGCAAGACCGCCGGGCCTTCCCCTGGTGCTGGGCAGTTGATCCCGACTGGACCCTTGACGGGGCAGACGAAGACGGCTATGATGGACGAGTCCCTGTGGCGTGGGGCATTGCTTACGACAAGTTCTACAGATTTGTGTCTTTGCATGAGTTCTCCCTGAAAGACATGTGGCGGGATTGGCATGAGATGCGTCGAGAATTACCGGATCAGCGGCAGCCTGGGTGGGCATTCACCAAGCTTGACCGTCCCCGCTGGCCCTACAACTGAGTTCCAGGAAGAACTTTGGTCGTCCGCCAGAACGATCGACGTAGCCTCAGATGGCAAAACGAGCTGTGGTCGCCAGGCGCATTTATGATGTGATGGGTGATGCCACTATCAGGAAGCATGCTGGGCTACTGGGCTAAGTATCAGGAAGCATGCTGGGCTACTGGGCTATGAGCATAAATACGCTGCCACTTCCTCGGACATTGTTGACCCTATCAGAATCGTGGCTTGGAAACAAATGAAGTATCCTAACCAACGCCTGATGGGCCGTATCATTCCCTGCGGCCCTGAACCCAGATGCGCTGGGCCCTATATAAAATACTGCTGTATTCAAAATTTACCTTTAGATGCGGAGGTCCGGGCTGGACACAAGCCCTAGTGTCAGGTTCTGCCATCATGCAGGTGTTTCACAACGAATACGTATTTGTTCTTGCTGGGACGACTCCAGCTTCGTGCCATGGTCGTATTCCTTGCAAGGCTTCTCAGCTCGCCCACACTGGTTATGAGCACCTTCATCATAAAACATTTCAAAATGAAATCAGGACGACTCATGCATTTCAGCAAGCATTGCAGGACTTGCTCCTTGCAAATTAGCCAAGACGCCTGTCCTTTTAGGCTGACATCACTCCCTCGAACGGCCTTTTGGATTCGGTCTGGGCCGTTTACGAAGCTTGGGAAGCCGGTCTGGGCAAATAGTTAAAGCCGGGCGCATGTGCTTGTTTATGGGTTTGTTGTTATATTGAGGTGTGCTTGAACCGTTAACCTAGCATTGAGAAGCTCATGGATAGGAAATGACTCGCTCGCCTTGTCGGAGATGTTGTTGATATTGAGCTGCATGTTCCTCTTTCCTTTCAGCAAACTAGCACCACAGGTCCCCGTCTCATGCCCTTAAGACAATAGCTCTTCAACAATTAAGTTTCACAAAGCCATTGGACTCTACGGTTGTTAGCATTACCTACACCAGGCCAAATTGCCACTCGCATATCTCACAAGACCTCGGCTGCACTGATAATACAACAAAACCTACCCCCCTTTCTAAAAGACACCAGCAGATGCTTCCAAGCTCACCATCGCCCTCGCTTGAGCCATCTGCGTAAGTCGAGAAGCAGCCGCCTCGTATTATACCTGCCTACTAAACCTAATATGGCTAGACTGAGCTTAAGGAATGGTTGCTTACCGTAGCGCCTGGACGCTCCGCAAGTCCACCTTTCTCCCCATTCATCCGCACTCGTATCAAGCACATGCACGATCCGTACCCTACCACATCATGAATGAGATCAGAATCGCCATCCTCGGCGAGTTATCAACTGGCCTAGTTGCCACCGTACGTGCACCCTGTCAATCCTCCCCACCCCGCTAACAGAAAGCAGTTCCACCGCGAACGCCTCGCCCACGCTGAAGCGGCCCATGCCATAGCCAGTACAGCGGGCGAGCAAACCAGAGTATGTACGGTGGACGAGGAAGAGATATTCGTCGTGACGAAAGAAAAATGCCTTGGTGAACTTGACGAGCTACATTGCTTCGAGCACGGCAGTCCGCCTGACGGCATTGTCCTGGTCTACGATGGAACTTCGTCACACTCATTCCAATGTGTGTTGACGGCACTTGAGAAGATTGTATCTGTGGAATGGGGGCCTCGTCTGCCGCCGTTGGATATCCCTCCACGGACCGCTTCCAAGATTGAGAGAGATGGCAGTTCCCAGAGACAACCAGCCATTGAGACACCAGACCGTCTCCTGTCTTGCCCGCTGCTCTGTGTAGCTGGCGATACGCTTTTAGCCGGCTCGGAAGGTGTGGAGGTCATTCCTGCTGCTGAACGACGCGCACTTAGCGAGCGGTTCGGGTGTGCGGTTCATGAGATATCCGGCGAGAGTGGTGATGATGTTGATAGGGTTGTTGTGGGTCTTGTTCGCGGTGTTATGGACAGGGGGAGAAATTGTCGACTTCCTTGGACTGCACAGCGTCCGAAGAAGCATGGGGGAGCTTCTGTATCGTCGACGGGGGACGCCATATTAAGGAAGATCTCCAGGGTTTTTACAAAGCAAATCAAAGCGCCAGAATGATGAATGCGTCGTGACGGGCAAGGGATATATTTCAGAATTGTTGAGCAGCGCAACGGCATGCCTATCCGTTAGCTTGAGGATTTCGCCGGGTATACTATATCATTATCCCAGCAGGAGAAAATCCAAGGGGATTAGCTCCAAGCAATGCTATTCAGGGTCCATCTTCACCTGCGTCAAGAAGAAAACTGCGGGACTTGTGTTACAGAAATCTAGTTCGCGTTTCGTAAGTTGAAGCTATATGGGACATTGCAGACGAAGAGATACCATACCATATACAAACCTGTCATCGGCTAGCTGTTGTCTTGTAACAGACTAACTAACACCTGCATCCTACAGTGCCTTACCGTACAAGACCAGCAGCTAACAACATTGCACTCCCTGTAACAATTACGGCTGGATTGGCAAAGGCCATAAATCCCTCGGCGTCAAACCCCAGCAATTCCTCGCCGACCGCCACACCTCCTCCGCCCCGTCCATCCCGAGAACCACCCTTACCGTGTCCCGATCAATACCCCTGGTCCCGGCGAGGTAATGCAGCGCCGTATTACCATCGACGTCCTGAGCACGAACATCACACTCACCTTGTTGCAGCAATAACCGTATGGTTGCCCGTTGAGCCCGCTGCTGCTCCTCCGTCAGCGGCTCCTGATTGCGCTCGGCCAAGGCTACCTCCGCTGGTGTTTTAAACTTTTCCAGGAAGAGTTGGTTGGGGATTTTGTAGGGCGCCCAGCGGGAGGCCAGTGTGCGGACGCAGTGGATGCTTGTCGCTATATTTGCATGGGCGGCGTCTATATTCCCTGCATGCAGCGGGAGGCAGACCACGTGTAGGAGCGTATGGCCCAAAGCCGTTTGTTTCGCCGCGGCGAATCCGCTTGGAATGAACCCGGCAAGCCAAATGAGAAGGTCGGGGTTGTGATGCGCCGTGGCGAAATGGAGAGGGTGGATGTTGAAGATGGGGGTGCGGAGGTTAGCGTCCAGCTGGGGGTGGGAGAGGAGATCAACTAGGCACCTTTGGACACCTGGGTCACTGAGATCGCACCGAGCGAGCGCGTACGACAGGGGCGGGAGAGCGAGTGTGGGCGCGGCGCGGGGACGATAGTTGGGGGAATACCCGCAGGTTGAGAGCAGATGCCACAACATCCGCACACGCCCGGCGGCGATGGCTTCATGGACTGGGGAGGTAGCGGACAAGGCGGAAACTGGCACGTCCGTACCGTGTCGGATATCAAATGAGCTCTTCTCTTGGTCTGTTGCACTCACATCGCCTGTACCTGTACCTGTACCTGTATTCCGTTCTGGCTGCACCCAAGCAGACTCATCCGCCCCTCCAGCCCGCAGAATATCAAGAATCTCTACGTTTCCATCCCCTGCCGCCACCTCCAGAGAAGTCAAAGCCCGTTGCGGACGCCGGCTCTCCGCCGGTCGCACCGAAAGTCGGGCTCCGTCCAGAACTGCGCAAAGCCAGCTCGACGCTCCGCGATCTCTAGGTAAGTCAGCGGACAAACAGGGTGCGCAATTCCCCTTCTGTTCCGCGCATTTGCCAAAACACGGGCGCGGGGGTTGGGTCCGCGGGGTTCTTTAAAATGGCGGCCCCTAATCCAGCAAACTGAATGGATCACTAGAGTATTCCGTTCAATGCCATTCGGGTTCGCGCCCTTCGCTAACAGAAGACGCACATGGTCTGGGAGATTTGCGGCCACAGCAGCGTTGAGGGGGGATCCGATTCTCCCGAGAATCTCCACGGTTGTATTGGGGTTAAGTCCACGTATGATGTGGCCATACCGCAGGGAGTCCAGGGGCCGGCCTTGTCTTGCCTTCTCGAGCCTTTCGTACAGAGTCAGGCAGGTTTCGAGGACGGCTATGTTGGCATTGGTTGCGGCTCGGATGAGGGGTGTATCATCCTCAGGAGTGGTGTCGAGATTGTCTGGGGTAAGCTGGTACATGGCAGCTTTGGAGCAAACACAGAGTGAGGACGAAGAGAGAAAGGATGAGGTTGAAGAGCGTCGAGACTCGGAGACTCGGAGACTCGGAGACTCGGAGATACGCTCCCGGAGTCGGACTACTCCAGATCGGAGTTAGCGCACTCGCAAGTCCGAAACCTGGCCAATCACGTGCCACGAGTTCGCGCTCCAACACTCGAGGGTCCGGGCTTGAAATCCTCAAGGGGCCAGGCACAAGGCTGCCAGCGCCATCCTCTCCCATAAAAATGTGAGTTTTTCTCGCCATCTTCTGTCCTCACGGACTCCAACTTCAACCGACAAACACCACCATGGGCAAGATCCAACTCCCCCCATCGCCCCAGGCCACGGCCACGAACCCCTCCTCCGCCTCCTCGCTCCCCGACGAACTCCCCTCCTACGACGAAGTCACCCAACCCATCGAACCCTACCGCGACGCCGAGCAGGAAAACCACCTCTCCCCACCCCCAAACGCCTACCACATCCCCGGCCAGCAACGCTACAACAGCATCCGACCCGCCCAGCGCTTCTCCGGCTCCGTGACCCTCGACCCCGACTACTCCAGGCACGCAGAAACCCTCGAGCGCTTCATCGAGGCCCAGACGCGTCTCCCGCCGCGCCCGTGCCTTTCCGTCCACGGCACCCACAAGGAGAGCAGACGCAGCGGGAACGAGACCAAGACCGAGAACGTCACGGACTTTGACTTCCGCATTGACCTTACCCGCACCATTCTCCGCTGGGGCCGGAACGAACTCAGTGGGCCGAGCGAGCGCTGGTCGTATACGACTGTTGTGAGCGACACCGATGGGCAAAAGGCATACCGGGGCGGGAGGATCAAGGCGCGGTCGGGCAAGAAAACCGGGCGGATTGCGCTCGGCGAGGGAGACGAGGGCGAGAGATTGATGGATCTCGAGAACCAGGAGGATTACCCGGGCGTCAAGGGCTGGTGCGAGCGGTTCTGCAATGACCCTGCGCCGGTGAAGTCGTGCGATCCGCCCTTACCTTCTCTTGCACTCGCCCAAGAATACTAATTTTTGACTGTAGATTCACATACCGCCGCTCCCTGCACGGCTTCGACGCCAGGCCCATGCGCGACTCTCTAACCTCGCACATCCGCTCCACCGGCTACGCGGGCCACATCGTCATCAACCCGGTCGTCGCGAACGGCTTCGTCACCGTCTACTCGCCGCACTGGATCAACACCCTGCGCAACAACGCCTACGTCTACTGGATCTGCATCATCCTGCAGCTGTGGATCCTTACTTGGCCATTAATCTGTTTCATGGAGCGCCGCTACGAGGTCGTGCATTCGAAGTGGTTCTCCTCCAAGACAGTCTGTGATGCGTCCGCCCCTGGTGGAGTCAGAAAGTGCTACGCCGCTGGTCCAGGAATGGACGAGGCCAGAGCCGCGGAGATGTGGGCGCCTGTTGTGCGCGAGGCGGCGTGGCAGGGGCGCGTTGATGGGTGTATTCTCGGCGAGGCGGAGATCGAGGAGTTACGGAGGAAGGGCATTGAGCGGAGGGAGCAGCTAGGTGAGAATGGGAATGATTTGCCGAGGCGTGGGCAGAGTGTCCTGGGGGCAATGGGCATTCGGAGTATCGGTGGTGTGAATGTTACGGGGGCTTGGGGGGGTGATAGCTCCAGTGCGAGCAGTTCGCGGTTTAGTATTCGGATGGGGTAGATTTCTTTTCATTTCTTATACCCTCTATTGCATTATCTCTTATCTTGCTGAGCTTGTTACGGTCAATCCTATCCGCTGCATAACTTGTACGAGATACCCTTGCCACCTGCATACTCCACTGGTATCTATAGAGAGTTTGCTTTCACCTACATCTACGGAGTATCTAGACTCCTTATCGAATCAATAAGACCGCCAAACTGTCTCGACATCATTTTCTAGGACACGGTAGGGCGGAAAAGATTCCGAGATCTGGAATCGCCGTTTTCAGGCTGGGAAGACTCAGGAATGCAACGTCGGAGGCAGACCGGCCATCCCGGCCTCGAGGAAGCGAAATGTTAAAAAACACCGGCGACGATGCTGTCGGCGAACGATTCGCTCTCCGATCCCTGCAGATCGGCGACAAATGCTGAGACTTGGAGTCAACCGGCTTGGATTGCTTGCTTCCCCTCTTTCGTCTCGTTATGTGGGGTGCTTGCTTCCTGAATCTGGGGATTCCTCCTTCTATCTCTTCTGTTAATTTTCTTCTCTCGGCCTGGAATTGGTCCATTCGTGGTGCCTCGAGGAATTCAGCCATCCGCCGTCCTCCCCCGGGTATCAACAGGCGCAATGGAAGAAAAGGCCGAGCCGCGAGCGCCCAATTCGCCCAGACCAGAGGTGCGCAAGACAAATTCATCTATATTCTCACACTAATAATGTTCAGAATGGCGAGCATTCTCCAAGTCCGACTATCGCACCGTCACTCGCACCCTCACCATCGCCAGCACCAGAACACAAGCAGCACGTTCTCCTCCGCGCCCTCCTCTACACACCCCCAGCATGTCGCTACACGCCAGACAACCCGCCCAGATTCAGCATCTGGCTCAACGTCCTCTTCGCCTTTGCCGGCACCTTCACCGTTGCAAACCTCTACTACGCGCAGCCGCTGCTCGACATGTTGGCAGACTACTTCGGCGTCACGCAGGAGCGCGCTTCGCTAATTCCAACCTGTTCTCAGGCGGGATATGCAGCTGGTTTGGTCTTCATCTGTCCGGCGGGTGATATGGTCCGCAGAAGACCGTTTGTCTTGCTTTTGACGCTCATCACGGCGACCATGTGGATTGGATTGTGTGTCACGGAGACCTTCAGTATTTTCCTGGCACTGAATTTTCTTTGTGGAGTTACGACTGTTACGCCCGTATGTTCCTCTCCTAATGTTCCTGCTTTGTATGATGCATGCTGATGAGATGAAAAGCAAATCATGCTCCCCCTAGTCGGCGACCTCGCGCCCCCCACCCGCCGCGCAACAGCGCTCTCCATCGTCTCCTCAGGACTCGTGCTCGGCCTCCTCTTCGCCCGCCTGCTCTCAGGCATCATCGCCGAGAGCTCCTCCTGGCGAAACGTTTACTGGCTCTCGCTAGCCCTACAATACCTAATCTTCGCTTTACTCTGGCTCTTCATGCCGGACTACCCCTCCACAAACACCGACATCTCCTACTTCCGAATCCTCGGCTCCATCGCCGTCCTCTTCACAAAACACCCCGTCCTCGTCCAGGCAACGCTCATGGGGTTCCTCACAAGCGCAACATTCACGGGCTTCTGGACGACACTAACATTCCTCCTCTCAGGAAACCCCTATAACTACGACACACTCACAATCGGCCTCTTCTCGATCGCAGGCTTAACCCCCATGCTCTTCACCCCGGTCTACTCCCGCCTCGTGATCGACAAATACATCACCCAGCTCTCCGTCACAATCTCCCTCCTCACCTCAATAACGGGCATCGCGATCGGCGCATACACAGGGACATTCACCGTCGCCGGACCAATCCTGCACGCCGCCCTCCTCGACTTCGGGAACCAGGCGACGGTGATTGCGAACAAAGCTGCTATATACGCCGTTGCGCCGAAGGCGCGGAACCGCGTCAATACGGGGTATATGGTTGGTGCGTTTGTGGGACAGCTTGTGGGCACGGCGGTGGGGAATCGCGTCTATGCGAGTCGGGGATGGGTTCTTGCGCAGACGGTCAATTTGGTGTTTTCGGCGGCGGCGTTGGGGATTGGGCTTGCTAGGGGACCAAGGGAGAAGGGGTGGGTTGGGTGGAGGGGGGGTGTGCGGGTGAGGAGGGTGCTTGAGGAATCGAATGCAGGAGCTGGAGGGAGAGGACAAGGGGATGGACAAGGGGAGAATAGGAATGCACAGTCTGAGATGGCTGAGGAGGCGAGGAATCGACTATGAGTTCCTTGGAGAAGCTGGAAATCTAGAAAAAAGGCGTCTGCTTGGACCAAATTGATGTATCCATGGATCAAATATAGAGCTGGAGGCCGAATGGTTCTCCCACTGCCCACCTACCTTTCAAGCCAGAATACTCAATCTAAGCACCCACTACCTAGACACCGCCACAGATATCTACCGTAACGTTCAATTGGTTCCCAATGTCCAGGGTGGCTCCTTCCTGAATATCAAGTCGGCCCGTGAACACCTCATCTGCAGCTACTTCCTCGACCTATCTCCTCCTCCCTGAAGCTTACGTACCTATTAACCTAAATGTCTCGACTTCAAGCGCCCAGAGACCTCTCGCACTACCTGCGAGGCGTCTTTTCTGCGGGCCGCGTTCTAGACCTCGTGAACCTGCGATCTAGACGCTGTGAATGTACCCATTGTGTCTGTAACGTCTTGTCCTTTGCAGCCATAAAAGCCCTCGCTGTGACTCCGCCCCGACGTTCAACGCGGTCTTCTGGAGACTTAGGTGCTGAGCCTCGCTCTGACTGCGCCTCTCTATTCATTGATATCGAGGTCCATCGATCAGCGCCTCTTGTGGTATTTCCTCACGCCCTCGAAGCTGTACGTGGCTTTCGTGTGGTCCATTCACCGCGACAGAATGTCATCCCGGACACTCTCCACGGCCAGGTCTGCTTTTGACCCGTGGCTGTGCAGGTGATGTCCAATGATAGATGGTCTGAATGCCTTTTGCGAAGCAAGGCTGCACTGTACCACCTTGAGAACAAGGCTCTCAAGGCTCTGGTGCCCATACCTTGATGTATCGGTCTGATATTATGTCCTTGACTCCTCACTCGTTGTTCATGCAGCTCTGAACTCAGAATGGTTCTGTTTGGCCAGGAATGAGCAGCGAAGCTTGGTGCCTGGGCTCTCTCACGCCCTACCTAGAGGTTCCTTCGCTGGCGCCGGGACCGGCGACGTCTAGATGTCAGGCGTCAGATCTTTGACCTGCCCTCGAACATATGACGGGCAATTATGGGACATCTTGGCCTTTTAGAGCCCTTCTAGCACAGGGGATACCGACTCCACGCATTGGCATCCATGGTACTTCACTGCATGTACCCGGACTATATATCCCGTTCGATGCCACCCCTGACAGGTCAGTCCACGGGTACTATCATCACTGTCCTACAGTTCTCAGTACTTTGTTGTCTTTGTCCTCGTCATACTTTACTTTGTCTGACGGTATACTCTCCCAACACCCTCCGATTCGAGATGGGCCTCGAGCCGACCTCCCGAAGCAACTCGGACGATCCTAACCCTGCGTTTACCTTTGATTTTCCTCTTGTGCCCGACGGGTTTTATTCCACGTTTCCCTTTGCGTTTGATGGTGTGAACAACACTGTGCCGACAGAGACCACCAACAACCGGATTCATGGCTACTCTCATGGTACGCACTTGCTACCTACTAGAGCTGCGCCACCCTTTGACGCAGCGTCCAATCCTGGCGATTATGCCAGGGATCGCATCGAGCCGTCCGCTTGGTGCAACCGCTCGATTTCGGTCGAACAGTTCCAAGAGCGAGGGGACCTGGCGACCCCGTCGAATGGGAGGGGGGGAGTCCCTACTCGCCAAAGCACGACGAGAGTCAGCAACGAACCTCTTAAGTATGCCTTGCTCTCTCCAGTGATGTACGCATCGTGCTGCAGAATAAGCAGATCTAACTCGCCCGGTCTAGCGTGACCCCCGTGTTCCAGTGCCAATGGCAAGGCTGCCAGAGTCAGACCAACTTCCGCCGCGCGGCTGACTTGATGCGCCATCTGAAGACCATCCACATCCTGCCAAATGCGTTCCCGTGCCCTCAATGCGATCAACGCTTCGGCCGGAGAGACCACCTGGATCAGCACGTCAACCGCCGTCATTAGTGGATGCTCCTTGCCCACGGCCTGTTGTATTGCTCTGCCCGCACTCTTGAGGCGCAGCGCTGCTACCTCACAACTTCGTATGACTTCGCAACCTTTCGGCTTTTTCCTTTTGGTTTATGGTCCTATGTATCACTGTTTGTTGTTTCGGTCTGATCATAGAGTGTACTGGTAGCTGTTGTTGCGTTCATCTCGTTTGTCCATGTACCGTAGTCTACCTAAGCAAAGCCTGTCGCATACATTAGCTTCTATAGAATGTTATTAGATTATCATTTGTGATTATGGCAGGAGGTCTAGTGCATGCATCAAGTAGCATAGCCCTTTTCCAACCTATCGTATATTGTAAACTGGTTTATTAACACTCGCGGCTCAAGGTGGCCTGCACTTAGGCACACCTGCACAAGGCTGAAGTACGGTCAATTCAATTCAGCCTCGCTGGACAATCCCCAACCCAGCACAGCCCCATAGGACGATCCGGCTATGAACTCTCCGGCTCACGTCCAAGTTCAACTGTTGCTAGTCGGGGAGACCCGTCATCAGTGGCCGCGCACCCCGTCAGCTTAGCTTCGCGGTTTAAGTGACGATCTTATACAATAGCTCAAAGAACCTACTGCCGCTCTTGAGTGCTACATGGCATACCCAGCTACAACCATTACCTCGATCTCGAAGAAAATAAAGACATGTCATATATTAAACGCAAGCTACTTTACAAGAAACCCCCGGCCGCAGAACCACACCTCGCCTCTCTTCGCCCATCACCGTCCGTCCACCACCCATACCCAACTTAGATAGGTACAGACTACAGTCCACTCACTCCTTCTTCCCCGTAACAAGCCCAACCGCATCCGCAATCATCTTCGTAACAGCCCCCATCTGCTCTGCCGTAACGGGCTCCTGCCTAACCTTCCAGCCAACCTCACTCGGCAACCTCTCATTCGCAAACCAATACTCAACAGCCGCCCTGGCCACCGTGCCGTTCTGGATATCCCCGAACGCAAGGATCGGGAACCCGGTCTCCGTGTGCGACGTCTGCTCCGTGGACGCGGGGTACGTGTACGTCGGGTTAAACGCCTTGGAATGGATCTGGCGCGCGACCTTGCTGTTCGCGAGCATCTGCGCGGTAACGGGGTCCGATGTCCAGTAGGATGTTGTCTGCGCGAAGATCGTGGGGTTGAAGGCGTGGTTGTTGCCGAAGTAGGCGTCGAGCCGGCTGTGCGTGCACTTATTAACAACCTAGATCCCCTTTTACAGCAACATGGGTTTGTAGGGGGCATACCTAAGCGACGCATCATGCTCGCCCACATTATGCGCATTCAACATATCCAGATCGAAGTCCGTCGCGCTCGGATCCATCGACAAGATCAGATCGAACATGCTGGCCGCCAGCTCCGGGCTGAAATTGATGCTCTGCACTAGACCCTCCGCTAGGCCCTCGCGCGTGATGTTCCGCCCGTCGCGGTGGATGTACCCGTGGTTCGCGAGCGTGTTCATCATGGGGCATGGGCTGCGGGCGTCGGCTGGGCTGGCGGCGATCCAGGCGTGTGGGTTTTGGGTCTTGGAGGTTGAGTGTGAGGCGCTGGTGGTGTGGAGGAGGGGGCGCGCGAGGCCGGCGAGGTTCAGGTCGATGGTTAGGGCGGAGGTTAGGCTCGCGGTCGCGAGGACGAGGGATGTGGTGAGCTTCATTGTGTGGTTTTTGGTTGTGTGTAAAGAGCGTGGATCTAAGCAGGAAGGTTGGTAAAGAGTGTACACTTAGATAGTATGAAGCTTGGGAATCCAACCTGCGGTACCTGGGAAGCAGGCCCTTATATCGCTCTCTCCACCATCAGACACACAACAGTGAACCTGAATATCACAGAGCAGCCCCATAGCGGTTCACCAATCGCAACGGCAACATTACGCACTTGCCTAACGCGGGAGTGCTAAGGTTGGAACTATTGGATTTGATATCCGTCGAATTCGTCTGATTGGCTGGGGGCAGTGTATATGATCGACAGGGGACCAGAGCCTGCGCAAGGGGAATTTGTCAAGGGTCCACATGGTGAAATTGCCCGGTCCAGGTGCTTGGGCCATCTTGCTTTTCTTAGTTCTTGCCTGCGTGTGGTGATCTTATCTGGTGGGTTTGTCACGGACTCGTTGCATGCTTTTCATTTGCCTCCAGGTGTATTTCCGCTTGCACGGTCCAGCGTTCACACCGCTATGTTCTTCTTGACGGTATTTGAGATTGCTGTTTCAGACCCTGATTTCAAATTGTCTTTCTACAGTTGGCAGGCTGCATTTGTCATATATGCCGCATGGACAAAGCTTGGATCCTTTATGCTCTCATACAGTGTACATTGTATACTTTTGAGTTCGGCTTTAGAAAACAGGCCGCCTAATGAACCGGATGACTTTCTTAGCGCGACCAAGTGAACGAGATGACTTTTTAATAAAAATGGCCTAAAGAAGTTTAGCGCCGTGTTTTAGCTAGTAATTATAAACTTATAAAAAAGCTTATTAGCTAATAAAATACCGCCATGGCTAATATTACCTTTTTTATTACCAAGGCCTTTACCCCTAAAATCTTTTAATATTTATAAAGTTAGTAAAATAAAAAACTTTGCTTTTAAACTCTTTTATTAATTTTATATATATTATTTTAATTTTATTATAATATACTTTTTTAATACCTGGCATTTAGAAATAATTATTTTTAATATAAATATTATTTAAATTACCTTATAATAACATGCTTAAAACCGCAAGTATTTTTTTAATATTTTTAAGATAAGTAAGAATATTTAGGATATTAAATATTATTATTATAAAGTAAAAAAGTATAAATACTAGGTTTAAATTTAATAAATTATAATAAAAGGGCCGTTAAAAAAAAGCTTTTTTTTATTTAGTAATATTTAAATTATTTATATAACCCTTATAAAAAATCTTAAAAAAGTACTATTTTAATAAAATAATTAATTCCTTTATAAATTAAATAAGTAATAAATAGCGTAATAACCTCCGCGGAGGCACTTTAAAAAGTAAAAAAATTAATTTATAATTATAAGCTTATAGTATACTATAGTTATAAGGTTTAAAATAAAATTAATAATATAATTAATAATAATAAAGTTATTTTATTTAAATAAATCCCTATTTAGCTATCCCGCTTAATAAATAAGGATTTTAATAAATAATAATATTATAAAATATATTTTAATATATTTACTTATTACTTTATTACACTAAGCGCCTTTATATAAAAATTTAAATATTATTAAAAATTTATAGTATTAAATATAACTTTTTAAAAGGCTTTATAAAATATATGGTTGCTTGTAGCTAGCTTACTTAATAAAAAAAATTATATTTTTTTTATAATAATTATAGTTATTTTTAGTAAGTTAAAGGACTACTAAAAATACTTTATTTATTATTTAAAAAGGCTATATAAAAACAACTTAAATACACCTTTAACTATAGTTATTTTTAACTATATAAAAGGCCTTTAAAAAGTGCTAAAAGGTAAATTAATAAATATAACATGCCTTTAATATATATAATATTTTTATAAAAATATAAGGTAATACTATAACAAGCGCTTAAATAAAATAATAAGGTATTTTTTTTTTAATATATAAAGGCTTGCTCTAAAAATAAGTTTAAAATTTTAAAAAATTTTATTAAAATATAAAATAATAAAACATATTAATATATTTATAATAATTTATTTATTAAGCGCTGGGTTTACTACGCTATCCCTATATTAAAATATAATTATATAACTTTAAATATTATAAAATTTTTAAACTTTTTATAAATTTATTATTACAAGCTACCTGTGTTTAAGGCTATATAACTTATATAAAAAAAATTTATATTAATTTTTTATTAGCGCCGCGGGGCTAAGTTTAAATTAACTATGCTTATTAATTTTATTATAGGCCTTTTTAAAAAAATAAATAAGTAGGTAAAAAGATTATTTATTATTATATTAAGTAATACCCTTATAAAGGTTAAATATAATAAATATAAATATTTAATTAATTTTACTACGCGAATTTATAACTATATAAAATAATAAAATACTTAATTTTTTATAACCACGCGCTGGCCGCTATATATAAAATAAAAAAAATTAAAATAACTTTATTTTTAATTATTATTATATTTAAAACTATAAAAATACCTATACTAATATTTTAAAGCTTATTTTTAATAGCTATATAACTAAAAATTTTAAGTATAAAGTACCTTTATGTTTAATACACTACAGGCAGCCTAAAATAAAATAAATTTAAAAATATTAAAGTTATTAAAAGTATTAAAAAAATTAATTTACCGCCGCCTAGCGCGGGATAATAAGAAGTATTTATTATAATAAATATTATAAACTTAGCTATACGCGGTGTAATTAAAATTATTTTTTATTTAAATTTAACTAACATGTTATTATTTTAAAGGCTAGTGGGTATATAAAAACTTTTTATAATTCTTAATATATTACCCCTTTACCATAAACTCCTACTTTTACACCTTTTTTACCTTAAATTTTTATTTTTACGCCTTTTTTACCTTAAATTCCTACTTCTCCGCCTTAAATTTTTATACCTACGCCTTTTCCGCCTCCGGAGTTAACACCAAGTTTTTTTTTAAGTTTTTTATATAAATTAAAACCTTTTTAAGTCCCTTTTAAATTTATAAAGTTAAATCTCCCACTACTTACTAATAAAAAACTAAAAAAAATAATAAAAAAAAATATAAAAAAAAAATAATATAAGAAATTAAAGGCTACTTAGCTAATAATATTAAAACTAAATATTAAAAAATTACTAAAAGATTCTTGGGAGAGATATTACTAGGTATAAAAAGTTATTTTTATTTTATAAAAGTTTTATATAAAAAAAATATTTAGGCTAAAGTATTAAAGCTTTATAAAATTATATTAAAATATATTATATAATAAAAATGCTATAACAGCCTTTAATATTAAGTTTATATATTAATATTATTACTTACTTAATATTTATAAGAATCCCTGGGATTAAGAAATAAATATTAAGAAGTTTATAAATTATTATTATTTTAGTTACCTTTATTATAATATTAGCTTTAAATAGCCTTAATTTAACCATGTTAAAAAAAAACTAGTAAATATATAAGGCCTTTACTATAGCTTTTATTATAATTATTATAATTTATACTTTAAATAGCTTTAATTTAGCCGTGTTAAAAAAAAACTAATAAGTATATAAAGCCTTTATAAACACGCGGCACGCATGTAAAGTTATTTATTTTAAATAATTACCTTTTTTTAAATTAACTAATAAGATTCCTGCATTTTATTAATATAAATATAACTTTTAAATATTTAAAATAGCTTTAAAATACTTAGTTTAGTTAGGATTATAAAAAATTAATTTTATTAAATAAGGGTACTATTTTATTTAGCCAAGGTTAAGCCTTAAAAAATAATTTTACTAGTAAATTACTAGGTAAGTTATGTAACAGGGCTAAAACAGGGCTCTATTAGAAAGTTATCTTGTTTACTTGGTCGCGCTAAGAAAGTCATCCGGTTCATTAGGCGGAAAACAGGCAAACCTTCCACAACGTCTATCTTCCACGCTCCTTGATTCGAAAGATCTTTCCTTTGTCACACCCGATTCACGGGGTCTTACTCTGTTTCAACGCTTGTAGATACAGGAAACCTCCAACCAAATCCCTACCCCTCCCCGGGCTTCGAACAGTGCGACCCACAACAGCCGGCCCTTTCCTTACGATCAATCGGGCGTGCTATCGGACTCGAGCTTCAGAGGTAGCCTCCTGGCACTTGCTCATCCCAGAGGACGTACCCACCGGCTTGACCCATCTCTATCAGATTCATGGCCCCTCACTCCGTAGAATCGGTCGATCCCGTCGGAATCAACCCGTACCCGTGGCGGTCCAGGAGAACGCGCGGCGCCAGCCAGCCGGCGATCTGCACTTGTGTCTCGAAGTACTTCAATTCCCGGGTCGAAATTATTATACAACGACTGCTCAGTGGCCAGTGCCCGTTGGCGTCACTTATCCCGGATTCGGCGTATAACCTACGTCCACTCAGCTACTGCAAGGCAAATGGTCCACTGTGTAGGATACGAGTAGGTATGTACTGGGTAGTCGAGCATTGCGATGAGACCCTGCGAGATGCGTGCCTAAACGCTGTCACATTGGCTTCTATTGTTAGTTTATGATTTCCTGTCTGTATACTTGCATGACCCTCTTCTTCAGGTCTGTTCGGCTTGAGTCAACTAGTTCTCTAGAGACGCTCATTTTTCCCTCGTGTCGTCTAGCATATCTAGTAACTTGCGCAAACAACCTCCTTTTTGTATGTGAGTTCATGCCAGATATAAAACTTGCTTATCTCTTTGCTTCTTAGAGCAGTTGCTACTGCTCTGCCAGGGCCCGGGCAACTGATCATCCAATTTGGCTGCGTTTGCAAGAGCTCAACCAACTATGCTAGACTTTTCTATTATTATACCAATGACAGTGGGCCAGTGCACAAAGAGAATTTAGTACCAGAGTGTTAGTCATGTTTCCCAGTTATCGAGATGTTGTCTCTGGTGGGTGCGTAGGACAACTTAGTATGGTACTACACCCTATCTCAAAGTACAGGTGCAGTGCGCGTCGAAGAGCAGCATAAGATTATGCTGTTGTTATATTAAGACATATATAGCTTTGTTCATAACTTGCAGGTGTTCATATGGTACTTGCTGTTTTAAATCCCGAGGCGATACAAATATCCCGATTCCTTACGCGGCTGTGAAAATATATATCTTCGACGAAGCAGATATTGGAGGACTTGGGGGACACACCAGAAACAAAGACACAGACTTAATTAACTTTACGAAAGCTGCAATTGTTCTTAGGTGCCCAGATGGCCACCAGCCGAGAATGTTATCCTTCCAAACACAAAGTATAGCAGTCTGCAGCAACACTTATGCATCTTAGTCAGCATCAGTTTATGCACACTGGGAGAACCGCCCTGGCAAGCACTCTGGCACAACCCATGGCATTGTGACGCCGGTCAGTTGGCTATATAGATTCATGCCGGTTACCATCATGATATATGAGACACCCAGTGGCTGTCAAAGACGTGCTCCGCAGGCAGGGATTGATGTTCGGCACTCGGCCGACTCCACCGCTGAGCCGAGGCTGTTGGTCCCCGCATATAACAACTTAACAACTTCCCCAGCTGTCATTCCACTGATCTACCTACAGTTACTCACCTTCCATTATCTCACTCTTCCACATATCAAAGCCCATCATGTCCGGTCCAGGCGCAGCCCACGAGTTCCCCGCCAAGGAGGTCTCCTGGCTGAAGCGCGACGTCCTCCTCTTCGCAAACAGCATCGGCGCCACCTCCAAGGAGCTGCATTTTCTCTTCGTAAGCTCAAAATCAATACAAAATATGGTCGCAAGTCTGACGGAATGTGAAAGGAACTACATCCCAACTTTGCCGTCTTCCCAACCTACCCAATCATCCTCCGTAAGTCCTTACTCACCCCCCCCATAGGCAGCATCTCGACTAATGCCGACAACAGCATTCAAACTCACCGACCAAGAGGTAACAGACTTCTACGCCCGCTCCAAGGCCTCGCCCATCCCCGGCGTGCCGGCCTTCGACCCCAAGCGCGTCGTCGACGGCCAGCGCAAGATCACCGTCTTCAAACAGCTCCCCACCACCAGCGCCGGTCGCAAATTCGAGCTGCGCAATAAGGTCGTTGGTGTGTATGACAAGGGCAAGGCGTCGGTTGTGGAGACGGAGCAGACGGTCGTTGATAAGGAGAGCGGCGAGGTCTACTGTAGTGTCGTTGGCAGCGCGTTTTATGTTGGGCAGGGGGGGTGGGGTGGGCCGAAGGGTGAGTGTTTCTACCATACTGGAGGGCTGTATGCAGTGGGCTAATGTGGTATCTGTAGGACCTGCAACGCCCAACTATCCCCCTCCTAAAGACCGCAAGCCCGATGCCGTCCGCGAGGTCCAGACAACCACCGAGACGGCACAGCTGTACCGGTAAGACACCACACCTCTTCAAGCTCATCAACTAACCCATTCCAGTCTAAACGGCGACTACAACCCCCTCCACGCAACCCCCGAGCCCGGCCGAAAGATGGGCTTCGGCGGCATCATCATCCACGGCCTGTTCAGCTGGAACTCCGCCGCGCACATCGTCCTCGAAGCTTTCGGGAACAGCGACCCCGCCAATTTCCGCGAGTTCCAGGCGCGCTTTGCGTCGCCGGTTAAACCGGGCGATAGGCTTGTTACGGAGTTGTGGCGCACTGGCGAGGTGGTTGATGGGTTTGAGGAGATTCGCTTTGTTACCAAGAATCAGACGGGCGCCGTGGTGCTTAGCAATGGGCGAGCTTTGATTCGGGTTAAGGGGGGTGCAAAGTTGTAGGCGCTTAGGTATTTTTGTCGATTTATCGGAATAGGATACTGCTGTTTTAACAGCGCATTGGGCTTTTTGCAGGTAAAGATGGATAACCGCCGATAATGCATCCAGGTGGTCATGCCCTGCAGCCCCAACGAACCCAACAGATACCATAGTAGCCAAACTCTTGACGAACAGTCGCGACATCCACCTAGAGCTGGAAACAAGACCATCGAAGGATTGGCTGTTAGAACTTGCGAGTGCCCCTCACCCTCATCCTTCGTGGCTGAGCCGCCGCACCTGCATCGCAACAGGCAACCATGATTCTGACACCATAAATAAACACCACATACATCAGGCCATAAGAGACCCAGACTGCAAACAATTCCCAGGCAATAGACATCCGAAAACCCCATCGCAAAATGCTCGGACTCCCATCCAAGACCCCCGAGAGCGCCCCTCCCTACGAGGCGCTCGACGCCATCGAGGCCCAGCCCAGAGAGCCAAACAACCCTAATGGCGTATGTCTAAGACCTTCCATCAGAACCCATCGCTAATAACTCTATCGTAGTACTCGACCATCTCCTCCACAGACCCTGATCCCGTCCGCGCTGACGAACAACACCCACTCCAGCACGGCTATCTGCATTCCCATCCGCGCTCTCCCGGTCCCCCAGGCCGAGCTGGCTGCCGCATCGACACGCTCCCTCCGCCTAGCACGTTCCAGCCGCACACGCACTGCGAGGTCTGCGATGGGTTCTTGACACGCCAGCAGCGGATGCGCAATGAGCGGTTCATCTGTGCTATGGTTACGCTGGGTATTATCTCTGCTATTCTTTGTGGGATGGGACTCGGTATTGTGATTGCGAGGTCGAGGAGGAGGTACTAGGCGGTTTGAAGCATTAGGTGGCTTTGATCGATATTGTTGGTTATAAGGTGATGGGACGTGATGGGGATGTTTTGATAGTGCATACAATACCATTGTGGCCGCACCAAGTATGGTAGTACTGTCCCATGATTTGGATAGATCTTGTCTCTACCTCTGCTTGCCAGCCCATGTATTCCTCTTGGCAGCTTCACATCATATTATTTACCCATTTTCATGCTTAGCTTCTCTAACATTTTGACATGATCCTTTCCTCGAACTACTGGAATTGAAACTCGGGGCTTATTTGAATCTAGTCTCGCAATGTCCAGAAGCCTTGGACCAACATAACATTTGCCGTGCCGCCGGCTTTGAGATAATGAAATACTTTTACTTATCTGCCTATGTGGCACCCAGAAGTTCATACGATACTACGTTTGTAAATAAAGAAACCTATGACAGAATCTGCGATCGAGGATATACATTTCATATGTTGGCAACTAATAAAAACGAGCGACAAACGCTAACTGAACAAGCACAAAATACCAAATACCAAACCTCTCGTCCTAAACCCGCAGATAGACTAACATCGGCGAAATCAATGCGGAGGTCGAAAGCGCCGCGTCTCCGGATAATGGAACTCAAACTCCTCCCTGCCAATCGGAAAGACACCCCTCTCAACACACTCATAAAGCCAATCCCAGGCCCCGAAGTCCGAGCCCCCGGGAGCCCTCGCCTTATGGCTCTCAAAGACCTGAACCATCTCCGCAAAGCGCGCCTCAGGGAACGTGCACATCGGCCACTTCCCCTGGACGCCGTCCAGCTCGATGTCTGCGGCGTCTGGACCAGACGGTATCGACTCCCGCGTACACACCCAGCTGTCGGCGCCGCTGCGCGTCCCGGTCTCGGGGTTCACGGTGTACGTCCGCGTGAAGACGCAGTGGAACCAGTGGCCGTCGGAGCGGTCGTACTTGTGCACGAACACGGCGTATGTGTCCATTTGCGCTTTCCCGGGGACGAGCCAGAGCTCGTAGTCGTTTGGGGCGTTGTAGGCCCACCGGGCCATGGATTTGGTGTTCCATTCTTCGAGGGCCCGCTCGAGGGAGGGGTCTTGGGGTGGTGACGTGGCCATTGTGTTCTTTTGCTGGGGGTTTGCGGAGGGGGACATTTTCTTCTTGCTTTGGTTCTTGGTGCGTTGAAGGGTGGTTGGGTGTTTGGGGTGGTGAGTCCAGGTGTCTGGGTATTTGGTGGTACTCAAGGCGTCTGGTTAGGATGGGAACTCCTAGTCCACACAGGACGGTGGCCTTACTTATAGTACTTACCTATTTATATCTTCTTGCCTCCCTCCTCTTTGTTTTTGGGAATAAAGATGTTCTTACGCAGAAAGGTTACTAGGAGAAAGGTCAAAGGCATGCGAAAGACCCCATAAAGCCTTGTTACCTGTCTACGCTTTGTTTTATTTATTCGTCCAAGCGGACTCCAAGCCGGCCTTTTATGCGGATGTCCTCGAGGTCTTTCAGGCGGACACATTTTTCTGGCTTCAATATCCAGCATGGATTAGATAGGGTATTGTTGTTTACCACAACCTCATCTCTTGACAAAGTATGAGCCCATGTGACAAGGTATCAGTCCTTTGCCAGGTTCATTGTCTGCCAGACCTGACCTATCAAATTCCGAGAAGTCCTTTCAGACAGGGCCCATTACGTTGCACTCAGAGGCATTTTCCTCTTGGTTAAAGGTGCATTGTGGAGGCGCTTTGAAGAGCCTTTGACGCTTACACCGAATCCAGGCCATGGCCTCTGCGCTGAGTCGGCAAAGATCTCTGTGAGATTCTCAATGTTCTCTCCCATGTGATAATAGCAATTGCAAGAAAAAGGCGCTTATCGTTTTGATTAACCACCAATAACTGATTCTCTCAGGGTTGGGCTAGGGCTGGACTTAGCTATCTTATGTTTCATGTCTATGATTATTTAAACACGGTTGTTTTTTATGCTTTGAGAGTTAGGTGTTATTGTCCTGAAATCGCACTAAACTGTACATACCATACTTTGCCTATAACTTAATCTGTGCAGTTGCCGTCAATCTGTGGAATATGAGTCAAGTCATCAAGAACTTGTCTGTCTTCCGAGCTCCTCTTTACATGCCACCCTGGGCAAAGGATATTCTGCACTTAGCGTTGCGCCTCCAGGGGATTTCCTTGAGGGGATTCATAACAACAATAGGTGGGCTTGCAATTGCCTATGCTAGATACTGGTCGTAATACCCACCAATATCCCATCCCATTTAAAACAACTATGCAGACCCAGCCTCCTCCTGATACTTGGGAACCGCCTCCCCAGCCCTCCACTTGTAATAACTCCCTGGATGATCCTCGGGCAGCCTGACCTGCCCAACCCCCAGATACGCCTCTCTTGCCGTCACGCCCTCCTTCTCAACCTTGTCCCTGAACAGCCCTCGCGCCCTCAACTCCGGCAGCAAAAACTCAATCACATCCTCAAAGCTTCCCGGGTTGGTAATATGCGCAATGTTAAACCCATCCACACCAGAAACCTCCACCCACCGCTGCAGCTCATCCGCAACCGTCTTCCCACTCCCGATAATCTTCGTCTGGATCCCGCCCACACTCAGGAACTCCACGATCCGCCGCTTCGTCCACGGCAGGTTCGCCGTGCCTGGCACACTCGACGCCCACCGCTTCACAATACTCGCCACCTTCGTCTCGTCCGCAAACCGGAAGTCCGCGTCGTCATCGTACTTGCTCAGATCAATCCCCGTCCACCCGCCAAACAGCGCAAGCACACCCTCGGCATCCGCGTACCGGAGATACTCCTCGCGCTTCGCATACGCCTCCTCATCCGTGGCAGCAACAATCAGCGTAATCCCCACAATCACCTTGATATGCGCTGGATCCCGCCCCTCAGCCGCCGCAACCCGCCGTATATTCTCGACAGTACCCCTAACCCCCTCAGGCGTCTGCCCCGCAACGAAAATCGCCTCCCCATGCTTCCCGCCAAACCCATTCCCCGCCTCGCTCACCCCAGCCTGGAACAGGAACGGCGTGCGCTGCGGACTCGGCTCGCAGAAGTGCGGGCCTGGAACGCGGAAGTACCTACCCGCATGCTGGATCGCCCGCACCCCGTCGGGCGAAATGTACACCCCGCTCTCGACGTCCTGCACCACCGCGTCGTCCCGGAAACTCCCCTCCCACAGCTTATACAGCACCTCCATGTACTCGTGCGCGCGGGCGTACCGCTCATCGTGTGGGATCTGCTCGGTCAGCCCGTGGTTCCGCGCTGCGGAGTCGAGGTACGAGGTCACGATGTTCCATGCCACGCGCCCGTTGCTCAGATGGTCGAGGGTGCTGAGCCGGCGCGCGAGCGAGTACGGCGCTTCGTAGGTTAGGCTTGCGGTTACCCCGAAGATGAGGTTCTTTGTTGCGGACGCCATTGATGGGACGAGGTACAGCGGGTCGTTGACGGGGTATTGGGCGCCTGAGGATAGGGAGGGCACGACGTTGCCGGGGCCCTTGTAGACGTCGTAGGGGCCTAGGGTGTCGGCTATGAACATGGCGTGGAAGCCGGCGGTGTCGAGGAGGCGCGCGAGGTCTGTCCAGAAGGAGAGCTTCGTGTAGTTTGCGGTCTTGTTGCGTGGGTGGCGCCATTGGCCGGGGGCCATGTGGGCGGGTGTGTTCATGACGAAGGCGTTGAGGATGATTTGTTTCTTTACTGCCATTTTGTGTCTGATTCTCTTGATAGATGCAGGTGGGAGAGAGCGTGAGGGGTTCTGGATGGAGGACGGAGGGGTAGCTCTTTTATGGTGGTGGTTGTCTGCTGCGCCATCAGCCCCGGGTAGCACGCCATATGCTCTGACAGGGACTCCTCAATGGCCGATGGTCTTCTGATGAATCGGCAGCCGAAGAAGTCACACTTTGAGTCCGTTGTCTCCAAGTCTGCAATGTTTCTCGGCCGGGTTGCCGCTGCACGCAATACCTCCCCGCAACGGCGTGATGGTACCTAGGGTATGATACCATGGATGCAATGCAGCATCATCGCTGTAGAAGCGACAATACCTTCAACTACAACCAAGTGGACAACAACCAACGATGCACCTCCACAATATCATTAGATTAATTGAAAAGACACGGAATGCCTCACACATGCATCCCCGGCACCGCCTGCCTCCTCTCCTCCCCCAACTCCCCCAACTCCCTCTGTGGCCCCTCGCGCCTCTCCTCCGTAACATCCCACTGCACCTCCTTCATAATCCTAACCGCAGACCCAGTCGCAGAACCGCCACCCTCCGCAAGTTCGATTTCATCCTGCAGCACTGTATGCTCGGGCCGCCGCCGCCACGATCGCGTCGTGCTCACGCCGCCGGCATTGTAGCTCTTGAAGTACCGACCCGCTGAGGACCCCTCGCCAATTAGCTTCGGTGCGTACCGGCGCAGGAAGTGCCGGAGGAACGGGAGGCAGGCGCAGATGATGATGAAGTTTGCTTCGACGTTGCTGTTCAAGGTCAGTTATGGCAATGGTAACGTAGGGCTCAGCACGGGTACGGAAGACGTACATCCACAGATCTGTCCAGGCGACGCGGTATGTCTTGTCGTTGCTCTTGAGGAATGGGAAGAGTGTTACCAGGCGGATGATACTCGTAATCACAGTCCTATAACCGTCTCATCAGCTTTGCCCTCAACCACAGGGCTTACACTGGCATGACATGGTAGGTGTCAGACTCACGCGCAACCAACAACAAACATAAAAAACAGCCCGATCTTCTGAATCGTCGGCATATGCAGGCTCCAAACGACAGGAATCGCCACAACTATAAGCGCCACATCCGTAACGGTATTCGTGACCGCGGTCGCGGCATACAGCCCGTTCTGATCGACGCATGTCCCGTGCAGTGCCCCGTTCCATGCCTTCGCGATCGGCCGGCACGCGAAGATCAGCGCGAATGTTATGGCGATGCTGTAACCGATCACGACCGCTGCGATAAAGTACAGGGCGTACCGGTAGAGTCGCTGTTGGCCGACGATTCGGTAGTAGAGGATTATTAGGGAGGCTTTGGCGAGGGCGAGGGAGGGGACGTAGACGATGCCTGCGGCGAAGATGCCCTGGGCCGAGATGCTGGATTAGATATGGCAGGTGGTAGGGCAATATGAGAGAGGCGAGGTGGGTATACCTTTTGAAAGTCGAGGAACATTTGCGGTGTGATGTTCCAGATGTGCAGGCCGATTCCGCCGTGGGCGTAGCCGTCTGGAAATAGGATATCAGTTCAAGGCGTCTGTTCTCTGGAGCTCGGGTGCTATGGTTGTGTACCATGGGGTACTTACATAGACAGAGGGCTTGTGTTGCAATGGCGAAGAGCTGCTGTCTGTGAGTTTATGCCCTAACTATGCCGTGAGACAAGTATGGTAGGCGACGTACCCAAGCCCCAATCATCGACACTGCGCCTGTCAGCATGCCGCTTGTGGGCAGAGTCTGAGAGATTCCTCACCATCATCCCATCCAAACTTATGAAGCAGTGTAGCCTTAGTATACACCCGCAGCGCCAGTGAAAGCGTAGAGAATATCAATCCGGCAATAACAATCGCCCGACTTTCTTCGTATAGCCACGGGTGTGAGAAGTCAGGATTATATGTCTCTCCTTCGGGGACAGGAACTGCGCCTGGAAAATCTGCTCCCTGAGTCCCGGCCATAGTGGGAGATAAAACAAACAATCAGGCTCGAGAGGGAGACGCAAGGTCAAGATGGCTGGACAGGGGCCTTGCATAAATAGTCCCTCAACCCGCCGACTATACGAACTCGTTTCTCGGCAGGGAGGCCCAGGGCTCTGGGAAAGACATTGCAATATCAATGGAATTGCGAGTATTTGAGATCGCTGCTCGGCCATCCCAAAGGAGTATGACCGGGGAATCTGTTTAGTAGCGCAGAATGGAGTCCACAGAACAACTGAATCCTTAGTTTAATATTTGCCCTTCCACACTGCTAGGAAGTAATAGCATCGGAGCCGGACATAGTGCACAGCATTCATTTTTAGGAAGACTGCCATGCGTGGAGACGCCCCAATAATCAAGGTTCGACCGGGGCATCTAGAAGCTTTGACAGGATTTGGACCCCTGTCACTTCTGTTTCAGACCCGCCGATGTGGAAACTGTTTGTCATGCATTCAGGAGCTTGGGTCTTTGGACTCGTCCTGAATCATGGGATGCGCTGAGCTCGACATCTTCGACTTTGTGTAGTAAACAAAGATGGTCTTGAGACACTCCCGTCTACTCGCCATCAAGGGATCCTCGTCTTTCATACCCTGGTGTCCCAAACTGCGATGGGGATGTCCCCCAGGGGTGGGCTCTACCTCGGCGACACACCGGGACGGGAGAGGCCCGTGGTGGATGCACTGGGGAATGTATTTGACTTTCATTCGCAAGAGAGAGTCGGCCCCCAAGCCAGAACAGAGATGGCAAGTTCATCGAGGCTCTCGCCAATCGATCGGCATCCCAATCTCGCAAAAGGATTAGATCGTGCGCTGGTCCTCACTAGCAGACAGGGCTAGCTAGGGAAAGATCCACTGGTGACATGGACTGGTGTCAGTGTTGGCAGGCCCACCGGGGGCGCTCCGTACCTTCGTTAGCTTCCCTAGGGCATATCTATGATAGTTCAAGGAGGAAAATGGTCATTGTCTCTCTGATCATGGAACTCGGGGAAAGAATACTCCATGCGTGATTGTAGCTACCTTTATCATGTATACACACTCTGTGCATCTAATTTATTGGATCATCTTGATACGGGGCCAGAGCAAGACCAAGTGGGCCACTAGATCCCTCGCGCCTTCCCCGGCCCTAGCTGCATGCGCTCCCCACAGGGCGGGATATCGTACTCAGTCACGGACTCGGTCGATGATCTAGCTAGAGGCGAGCAGGAGAATCCCGTTCCCATCACTGGAATTCAATGTTGTGCCAGTCCGCCCAGGAGAGTGGCAAGGACGGGGTCAGTCAAAGCTTTGATATTTTATAGATATTACTCAACCCTCTATGACACGGTCTTCCCCTCTACCAAACAGACTCTATGATACATATACCATATCGTTCCATAATGCAGGCAGTCACGCCTCGCTAACCTTAAACCCACCCGGCACCTGCCTCTGAAACACAGCCTCCGGATCATACCGCGCCGCAACCTGCCGGATAAACTCGACGTTCTCGTCCCCGTACCCACGCAGCGGGTTCTGCGTCACATCCGCATAGTTCAGGTAGATGTACTCGTTGTACTTGCCGATGGACTGCGCGTACGCGTCCAGCTCGGCCATGGCTTCTTCGCACAGGCGCTGGAAGAGGGCATCGTCTGCGGCGTTGTCCCAGGAGTAGTCGTACAGGACCTCTACGCCCAAGTGTTAGTACTGTGGCAATGATGGGTTGGGGAGGGGTGCAGGTGCATACGCAGCATGTTCTCGTCGAACCGGTCCAGGCCTAGCACGTTCCCAACCCCGTTGTTCTGGTTCCGCTGCCAGTAGATCTTTGGCCAGGGCTGGATGATGACCATGATGGACCAGTCTTTGCCGCGGGCGAGGGGGATCGCGGCGGAGATTTTCTGGTTGAGGATTTCGATGGTTTTGTGGAGGACTAGCGCGCTGTTGAGGTATGTGCTTGTTAGGAAGACGTCGCTGCATTGGATTAGCTAGGGAGGTACAGCGTGTCATCTTGGGGAACGAACCGGTATCCAGCAGCCTGCTGCAGTTCACTGGTAAGATTGTACAGCGTCGCAAAGCGGTTGGTTGTTGAAATGCGTGGGATTTCCGCGAACTCGTCGAACGCTGCTGGGTGCGCGACGGGCTTCGTGTAGTCCCACGGACTGCTGATGAGGGTTTTGCCCGTGGTCGAGTTGTACTGCCACAGGCCGATCCACGAAGCGTACGGGTCGTTCTCGATGTTGTCGATGAAGTTGACCAGCGCGTCGATCTGCTGGGTGGTGGTGGAGTTGTCGAAGACGTTGATGCCGCCCCAGAGGTGGGCGTTGTCGATCGCCTTGAGGTCGTACTTGGTTACGATGCCGAAGTTGTTGGAGCCGCCCTTGAGGGCCTTGAAGAGCTCGACGTTTGTGGCGTTGTTGGCGTTGACGATGCGCCCGCTGGCCAGCACGACTTCGTAGTTGACGATGTTGTCGCAGGCCAGGCCGACGCGGGCGGCGTGGAAGGAGTTTCCGCCTGGATTACCATGTTAGTTTAGGATTGAAAAGAAGTTGGCAATTGAAAAGAATGAGGATACCTCCAAGCAAGAAACCGCCCACACCAACAGGTCCAGTCCTGCCACCGGGAACAACAACATCATACTCCTCCAGCGTCTTGTAGACAGCCTCCCATCGCGAGCCAGGCAACATAGACACAACCTTCGCCTCCTTGTCGTAGATCGTGCTGTTCATGAGCGACAGGTCGATTGTCACGCCCGTCTCGATGTTGTTCGCACCCGCCCAGGTCATATGGCCTCCGCTGCGGACAGCGAACTTGCATGGGTTCTCACCACCAGCAGTCGTAAGAGTCTGGACGGCGGCCGAGACATCGTCAGCAGAGTGAGGCTGCACGATGCAATTTGGCTCGAGCTGCACGTTCACGGCCCAGTACGAGGTGACGGAGGTGTGGTAGGCCGCGTCGCCGGGGTAGATGACTTTGTCGCCGATTGCGCTGCTGGAGAGGGCGGCACACTGCGAAAGAGAGGGAATTAATTGGTTTTCGGTCCACGCGGGTAAATTGTGTCGAACTTACGCATTGGTCGGCAGAGGATGAAGCGGAGGTCTCTGCGAGGGTGTACTCGGGCGCGAGGGCGAGCAGCGTCGCCGCCGCAGCTGGTGTGAACCTCATCTCAACTGAAGATGCAAGCTCGGGAATTGCAAGAGAACGCCACACAGCTCATCGCTCAGGACAGTGCATTCTTTCGCCTTTATACCTGCCGGAGTTGAGCCGAGCCGCGCGGAATCCCGGCAGGGGCTGCCCAACAATGCCATTCATCGCAGCGATCCAAGTCAGAATGGGTAAGAGGGCCCCGATCTAGTGCCACGGTGCATACGCCGCGGCCTTGGCCCAGAGATCGCGGGTTCGTTTATCCAGCAGCGAGATGAGCTGGGGCGGGTGGGGAGGTCCTGGGCTAGGGGGTGGGGGCCTGCCAGCGCCGCCCCCAATGTGGCCTGGTCGATCCCCTCCGGCCAGAGCTATTCTTGAACAGGCAAGATGGTGCAGATGGGCGTCTAGGATGGCCCAGTTTGCGGTTGCAGGCGTTCGAGTTTGGAGCTGTGATTAAGAGAATGGATGATTCCGTGGGGATGTTGCAGAAGAAAACGCGAGAACTGCGATCTGTACTGCGTCTTTTATCCGTTTGGAAAAGCTCAGTTTGAGTGTACTTCCTACCTAAGTGGAGCGGCTGTCCAGCACGGGTGCTTGAGTGCAACCACTGGAGCTACCATAGCTAGCCTGATTGAATGCCACGGAAAATACTGGGAACAAAGCCAGCACAAACAGCATCGTAGCACGACATACATGGCCATGTGGGATGTCATCATGGAATGAGGCGTTAAACTACGACTGGTCGAAGAGCTGATCGCGTCCTGGGACCAGAAGGCTCAATGCGTGTGGGAGAATCAGCGTGTGGTGCTGTCGTATCATCCGAGGCCTGGCAAAGACCGGTTTAAGACTTGACTTTCGGCCCCAGGTTGGACGGCGCGAGGATTCTGTTATGTTCCATATTAAATGGAGGGAGGTGAAATGGGTGGAAATAAAGAATGCCAATAGACTTGAACATCACTTTATAAACTAATATACAAGCTATGTTACCAAAAGGGATAGGAAATGCTCTTCACAACGGGATCGTATAACCAAAAACAGCCTCTTTAGCAAAAGATGTTTTGCGTGTTATCAAACACCTCCTATATTTAATATATCCAACTCAATACAGACTACAACAGGTAGCCACTAGAAGAAATATTCACATTACAAGGTTCCAAACGCCGCACCATCCATAAAGGCAGCGGGATCCAGAAACACCTCACTAACCCCATCGCAGTAGTCAGGCCAGGAATCCAGATTTATCAAGTCCGCCCAAGGCCAGAGTTCCTCGCCGGCGTCTGGAAGTGCATCTCGTCCCGGTGTCCCTTCACCAGCCGTATGGGCAGCAATAGCAGGGCACCTGGAGCGGGAACTCAGGTCGGCCCTCTGATCCTGCGATCGCGACGGCGAGCTATCCGTATCCATCAAACCCGTTGAGCCGGGGACAGATGGAGCCATGGGCTGACGGCCACTGCCACGGAGTATCTGAACCAGCGCATCGACCTTCCCGCACAGAGCCCTTGTCAACGCGGCAGCCCGGCGCGCAGTCGAATTCTCGGCACCGGCTGCATCGAAGATCTCCAGCGCGAGGAGCAGGTGCTCTCGTGCGGCTGTGCAGCGGGGGCAGAACGGGTATGCGAGCAGGAACCCGATGATCGTGATGGCTGCGTTCCATTGGTACTGGTAGAGCTCGGAGAGGCCGTGCAGGGAGTCGGTTATGGTCATCCGGTCGTGCGTGGTTTTGATCATGCTCATTGCGTGGTGTAGGGATGTTGCGGCGTGGGCGTTGGCTTTGGGGTGTGGTTCTAGTGGGGATGGGGAAGTGGGGAATTGGATGAAGACGCGGTGGAGGGTCATGAGGGTGTTGTGGTATTGGAGGTGGAGGAGGGTGGTTAGGATGGTGAGTGGTGGTGGTTGGGTTGTGAGGTCGTTATTGAAGCTGGAGGACTCGGGGTCTGGAGAGTTCACCAGTGTGTTGATGTGGATAGTTGTAATATTTGCGAAGGATGGATCTCTAGGTAAGTCCTTGCGCCACTCCTCGATATAGTGGAGATGGTTTGACAAGGTCTCTGCTCGTTCTTCTAGTTGTGTAGGGTCGACTGCCCCGTCCAGAAACGAACGGTGGCCTATGGCCTCGTTCACGACGAGAGCTGCGGCCGTCAGGCGGATCGACTCGGTATGATACAGCAGGCCATTTGACAGATGAACATCCTGCGGCTCTCTGCTGGGCATCAGATACAGCAGATCATCTATATTAGTGGTAACCGGCTTGCCGACGTATCGTGAGCAGCGATAGTCAAGGTGGATCAGCGTCCACCAGAGACGCCGGAACAGCTGGCAGACCTGTTGTCCGCGATGCCGTCCGTCCATGTAGTTGAGGGACTGGGCGATGCGCAGAGCTAGGCCTACCATGTTATACGCCGCCTGGTGGTGTCCCAAATCGAGGAGGTACACAGTCAAGTAGCAGTAGCATTGGATGGCGGACAGGGAGGGCCCGGCGAATGTCGCAAGCTGGGTCACGGCGGACAGGGAGCGCTGGAAGTACGGCATGTCCACGGGTGATTGCCTGATCTGGAACTGTGGCCAGTTGAGACCAACGAGCTTGGAGTGAAGACCGGAGCAATGGATGTATTGCAGAGTGACTGCTGTAATGGCATCTTGTAAAGGGGTGTGCTGACTAGCGATGTCCAGATCTTTCCATTCCACTATCGGCATGAGTGGTCGAAGGCGATGCCAGAAGATTCTCATTAGATGCTGCATCTGAGATGGGGATAAGTCACATTGCGCGTTGCGCGTTCCCTCTGGGACACGAGAGGGAAAGGGCGAAATCTGGTCTAGAGGAAGATTGTCTGCACTGCTCGCTGGACCGTCCGGAAACAGCTGGGACACTCCAGAGCAAAACGAGTTGAGGCGGGCAATGAAGCCCAGGATGGAATCTGTTTTATGTGAGGTCCATGCCAGATTTGTCGATGGCGATGGCGAAGCCGAAGGGTCCGCCGCTGAATGGTTACTCGCTGGAGTAAGGTCTCCCAAGTGCTGGCGAGGAACTTCATTTTTGCTTCCTAACTGTGCTGTCTTCTGGGGAGACTTTCGAGTGTGCACCGGGCGAGATCGACGGCAAGGGACATTGTTGGCCAGGCAAGGAGGGCACGGGGTGGCGGCCTCACAGCGGACGCGGTGCTCGCGGCAAAAGTCGCAGGCGTTGGCGATCCTGCGACGGCGCGCAGCAAGAGTTGTTCCTCGCGACAGTGACGGAGCTGGGGTAAGGTCGGCCATTGTGGATGTTGTAACAAATTGGATGCATTGGACAAGGAGGAGTCACAGATTTCTTCACAGGATGACATTGGCCAATCGGAAAACAGGGAGCAAACAATGCAAGAGGAGCTGGCCAATTGGAAGACGGGGACCAGTGGATGAGAAGAAGCTGACCAATTGGAAACTCCGGGTCGCTGAGAAATCACAGCGCCCTTACTTTGGTACTATAACCCTGAACTTGGCCGGTGGGATGGGATATCCAGGTAAGCATGGAGATACTATAAAAGGGGAACCTTACCTTCTGTCTGGTTGAGAACGACCAACATCTTATCTTCTATCCACGCCTCAGCAATCTCACCATGCCCCAACACACCGTCTTCCGCTTCCCTACCCGAACCGCCTTCGAGGATCTCACTTCCTACCAAGAAGACATCCCAACGCCATCCGCCCATGAGGTGCTGATCAAAGTCCGCGCCATCTCACTCAACTCGCGGGACTGCCAGATCGCAACCTCCCAGTATCCCTTCCCCATTAAAGAAAACCTCATCCCCGCCTCCGACGCAGCCGGCGAGATCATCCAAGTCGGCGATGGGGTCGTCGACTTCAGCAAGGGAGATCGAGTGCTCACCTGCTTCGACCTGAACAGGCTGTACGGTCCGTCCAAGCACCCCGTCGCTACTCAAGCGGGCGGTGGGCTTGACGGCGTGATGGCCCAGTTCATCGTCCGCCCGGCATCGGCCGTCGTCAAGGTCCCAGCCGAGGCTCCCCAGTCTTTCAGCGAGCTGGCCACCCTGGTCTGCACCGGCGTCACGGCATGGAATGCCCTCTTTGGAAACACCCAGTTGGTCCCAGGCCAGACGGTCCTTGTTCAAGGTGCCCAACCGCACCTTATCTTCAACCTCCCACTTGTACAAAGCTAACCTATTCCCATCCCAGGCACCGGAGGCACATCCATGACAGCCCTCGTCCTAGCCAAAGCAGCCGGAGCCACCACGATCGTGACCTCATCCAGCGACGAAAAGCTGCGCATGGTAAAGGACAAGTTCAACCCGGACCACTGCATAAACTACAAGACGACGCCCGACTGGGCCGCCGAAGCGACCAAGCTCACAGGCGGAAAAGGCGTGGACCATATCATCGAGATTGGAGGCATCGGGACCATCGAGCAGAGTCTCGCGGCCATTGCGCGCGGTGGCACTATCACGATCATTGGGTATCTGGCGAAGCTTGACCCTGCCCAGGGTCACGCACCGGATATCCCTGTGCTAGCGCTGGGCAAGGAGGCGATTCTCCGCGGCATCCAGGTTGGGCCGAGGTGTATGCTCGAGGACTTGGTGACGTTTGTATCGAGGAGGAAACTGAGGTTCCAGATTGATAGGGAATTTGGGTTTGGTCGGGAGGATGTTGTGGCGGCGTATCGGGCCCTTGCGGAGGGGAGGCATGTTGGGAAGATTTGTATTCTGGTTGATTAGTTTGTGTCCAGGGGGTGGGTACGATGGAGCAAGGTGAAAGGGAAATGCATTCCATGACTGGCATTGTTCACAGTACTATGTTGTTATTTAGTATGAGCTAGGTGCACACCGAGCAGATTGGCCAACGTTGGATGGCTTCAAGGACGATAAGTGGACATTATAACATGATTCTAGATCTCTTCCTAGTTGGATGCTCAAGGTTGGATATCTCCGCCCTATTCAATCTTTCACACTTGTTAAGACAGTATTTCTTACTTGTCCGCTGTGTATCACAGAGTCCACAATGATCCCCAAATGCTGTTTGGGACAAAATCATAACCTCTTAGGCTCTTGATAGAGAAAACGTAAATTATATCTAGCTATGGACTAATAGCTATCTGAATATAGCTAACTAAGCTACGAAGCAAGATATGCAGCGGGGGAAGGCAAAGGGGCAGGGAGAGCATATCGCAGGGATCCCCTCATCTGTTACAAAGCCCTGGAATGCAATGCAGCAATAACTCCTGATAATCATGAGATAGCTGCCAGTATGTTGAAACTAGGTCCAGGGCACCGTGCAGCAACAGGTGGCGAGGGGCCGTTTCCAGTCGCTTGATCTTTATCTGAACAGTTAACCGCGAAAGTGTAGCTTTCAGGCAACTTTGTTAATAACATAGACAACACTTTCCCATATACTACCCACCCTATGGTCAAATCGAAGGGCTTGTTGGCGCAGAACTGGACAGTACTATAGTACAATATACTTCTTTATGTTTCAATGCTATACCTGCACGCATTGAGGTCTGCCTAGTACGGATGCAATGCTTTCAAAAGGAGGGCGATTCGCTCATTCTAAAATCAAGTTGATTCCCCGGGGCCAGACGCTTCTCTGTACATGCGTTGAAGATTCAGCGCATCTCCTTCTTTCGCATTTCATGGCTTTGCTTCTTGATGTCATCCGAAGAACTGACATATAGTTCCAAAGCGCTTAAATCGACCCCGAAACCGTTGTAGTTATACGACAACTCAGATTCATCCACCGTGTGGTCTGGCACTGCCTGCGCTGGAAGTATAAAGGCCCGCCAGTGCGTCAGAAACCGGTCTTCGATGACTTTCCGCCGGTCGTCCATGTGAGACTCCTCAGAAATATCAATGCACATTTGCTCGGCCCGTCGTTGCAGGTCCTCTGGATAGTAAGCCTGTTCGAGCAGGAACCAGTCCGGAGTGGGATTGAGACGCTTATAGGCGTCCTTGTAGTCGGCGACAATGCACGCACGTGCGGCTTGAGCTTCATTGCGGGCTTTCGACGGGCGAGTTCTTCGTACGTCTCGCGGGAAGCAAAGTGCGGGTACCAAATCAGATACGGGAGGCAATGCTCGTCGGTCTCTTGGTTGATATGTGACAGGCCGTTGTTCATGATGAGTCTGGCGTGGATGGCGCGTCTGATGAACGACATGTCACCGCCTGCGTCGGGGTGGTTAGGTTGGAGGGACCATCACTTTGCGAACATGGTATCATGATAGATGCCCCGGATCACGCAGTCAAACTCATACTTGATGAAGCGGTTGGGATCCCGGAGTCGGACGTAGCGATTGATATTCCCCACATAGGCGGCGTATAGGAGCAAGAGGTCCTTGTGGACGCCCGTCGGCAGCTCATCAGGCAGCGGCGAATACAGGAAAGGTATGGCCAGTTGGTGCCCCTCTGGCGGGCGGGTGTCGGGGCCATACTTCGTGGGAGGTGGAGGAGGGGGCCATTCGAAAAGGTGACTGAATTGACTGTCCATGCGAGCGGTAGGCCGGGAGAAGGAGCTTGATTCTGAGTGTCTCTAAGTGGGCAGGTGAGAAGGAGAGCTTGCACGGGGGGAGTATGGAAGAGGAATCAAAGGTGGACTTTGTAAGGGATGAACATTGATAATGGAATGGCACTACATAAGTGTCATTATGCATGAAACATGCTGATTTGGAGCTTGCCCGCCAACCGTCCCATTATCCCTCTCGAAATGAACGCTGTCGTTCGGCTCAACGTTTCCATGAGCCGTCGTCGCTGGCAGTCAATCACACCTTCCGCTATGGACCTGTTCCTTTCCCTGCGTCACATCTCGGCCGCTGGCGACGAAGTCTTCGACACAGGCACTACGGGCGAGCCAGCTCCTATCACAAAAGGCTTCCTGAGAGTGAGTCTGCGAAAGACGAATCCCGAGCACCCGTGGCATCGCCCGTGGTTGCCTCATCGCAACTACCTCTCCACGGACACTCTTCCCGTAACTCCCAATGAAGTGTACAGCGTGGACGTGGAACTATGGCCTACAAATGTCGTGGTACAGAAGGGCGAGAGGCTATCTCTGGATGTCAGCGGATGCGAGCTGGCTGGTAGCGGATTGTTCCAGCACAATGACCCAACTGACAGGTATGTTATTAGCAAGCCTAAATGCGCCTGACCAGTGACTGAAGAAAGCATTCGACAGGCCAGAACGTGTCTTCAAACGCAACAACTTTGTGCACTTTGGGGCCGGCTACAATAACTGGATTAGCCTGCCTGTCATTCCCAACAGCTATGAACACCTTTACAACTCTTAGCAATCTAGGGGTACCTTTAAATAAGGGCTTTAGATACTTAAAAATTATTATAAATATATATTTTTATTATTCTAATTTTATTTTTAACCTTTTTTCCCCCTTTTATTACTCCCCGCGGTATAATAGCTAAAATTAAAATATATATTTTTAATTAGCTTATAAGCCTTAATTTAACTAACTTTACTTAATTATAAGATTTCCTATCCCCCTTTAACCTTTATATTATAAAAAAATAAAAATAAAAAGGGCCCTAGTAAGCTTTTTTTTTTTATTATTAAAAATAATAGCATGCTAATTTTTTAACCTAGCCTAGTTATAAAGGCCCTTTATAATTAATTTAATAAGTAAAAATATTAGGTATATATTAAGCGTGAAGTTTTTATAGGCTTTATAATTATTATTAATAGCTTTATAACTAGGTAAAAAACCTAAAATTAAAAAGCTTTTACTTATAATATTTATAATAAGTTTATATACTTTATTTTTTTAAAAGGCTATATTAATATTAATAATATTAATTATATTCCCCTGCGTGTATATAATTAGCCTGCTATTATAATAATTTTTAATAAAATTATTACTTAAAAAAAAATAAGTTTAACCCTTAAAAACTTAGGGGCTTAACCCACCTTTTTTAAAATAAGTTTTTTTATCTTAACTAATACTACCCCGGGCAAGATGCCCCTATTAAATACCTTAATAACCTAATTAATATATAATAATTTTATTATAGCCTTAACCACGCAAGATAACTATAAGGTATTAATTATTTTTTTTAATAATAAATTAATAATATATCTTAAGGTATATATTATTTAGCAAGCCCTTATTAAATATATACTAGGCTTAATTATAATTATAGCTATTTTTAAAATTAATATTACTTACACGGGCTAGGCTATTATTTTTAATAATTTTTTTATTAAGAATTTTTTAATAGCTAATAAAATAATTAATATAATTTATTATATCCTAGGTACTATTAATATATATATTTTTTAAAAGTAATATAATTATATAATGCAAGGGGTGCCTAGCACTATCCTAGTATATAATAATAATAAAATAAATATTATAAAGTTAATTTAAAATAAAGTTATGGCCTAAACCAGGCTAAAGCTAGTTAAACTTACTTTTTTAAAATATAGGCTTAATTTTAATACTAGGTATATTATTTAAATAATATTTTTTTTAAAGTAGCCCAGGGCCTTTATTTTATTTAACTAAAGTAAATATTATTAACTTATTAAAAAATACTAGCTAGTTTCCTAGTATAACCCTAGCTACTAAAAATACTATTACCTAGTGTAATATAATTATATAGTATATTATATATAGTATAGTATAATAATTATAAACTATTTAGGTTTTATTAATTTAAATTATAAAAATTTTATATATTATATAAACTACCTAGGCCCCTAGTTAATAAAATATAATAATTACCTAGTAACCCCTAGGTATAAAAATAAGAAACTAGTTTACTTATTTAAAAAAAAGCTTAATAGCATGTGTTATTATAATACTTATTAATACTAAAATATACATGCCTAGGCTAATATTAATACCTAGTTTTAAGCTAAAATTAAGTAATTTTTACCTTAAAAAAACCCTTAAAAGCACGTTATAAAAAAGCTAAAAATAAATAAGTAAGGCTTTATAATAATTATTAATTATTACACCCTATAGTTTAATGCCTTTATTAATAATTAAAACCTTAAGTAATTTTTTATTAAATTAATCTTACCTACCCTAGCCAGCGCGGGCACGCCTTTTTTACCCTAGGTAATAAAAGTTAATATTAAATTCTTTTTTAAGCTTTAATAATAAAGTACTAAAAAAAAATTATAATAATTATTATTAAAATAATACCTAGTAATAATAAAATATTATTATTTACTAGGTTAATATAAGTAAGTTTATACCTAGCTATATTATAATTTTATAATTAGCTTATAAATAAGGTTATAATATTACTTATATTTAAAAGCCCTAGACTACTATAGGTATAAAAACCTAAAATTACTTAATATATAAGTACTACACGCTAGTAAATACCTAAAATAACTATAAAAATTAGTTAAAAAAGCGCCCTAAAGTACTTACCTATATTTATAAAGGGGAAGTATTATATACTAAATAATATTACCTAGTATAAAGCTAGGACATGCTATAGCTTATAATAAATAATATTAAGATTTTAAATATATATTAAAAATTAACTACTTATAAAATAATTAATTACCTAGTTATATTAATCCCTACCTTAAATTATATAATTAATAAAAATTTTAATATTACTTATAATATTTTTAAGCCCGGGGTAAATAACCTATACTATAATAGTAAAATTATTAAATAAGCTAGTAATAATAATATTAATTATATTAATAAGCCAGGCATGGCTATATATAAAGCTAGCTATATTTTTAATTTAACTTTTTTAAATATTTTTTTTACTTGCATGCTAGTAATACCCAAGTTATATAATAATTTTAATTATTAAACTTTAGTTATTATAGTACTAGGGCGCGGGGAGAAAATATTAAAATAATATTATTATAATATACTAAACCACAAGCTTAAGCACCTGGCTAAGTTAATAAAAAATAAAATAATATTTTTTTTTTAGCCCAGGAAACTTAAAAATATAAAAATACTAAATTAATATATTAAATCCCTTAATAATATTATTATAAAAGTTATATAAATAGTTAATAAATATTTTAACCTAGGGAGCCATAGTACCCCTTAGTAATTAACTAAATATATAAAAAATTACTAAGCCTAAGTAATAAACCCTATTTTAAAATAAAAAAAGTAATTTTTAGCTATAGTTTATAAAACCAAGCGCGCGTATTAAACTAAAATAATTAATAATATTAAAAATAATTAAAAATTATACTAAATAATAGCATGGTATAAGCTAAAGCCTAGGTTTAAAGCTCCCTTATTATTAATAAATAGTAAAATAATTAAAAACACACGGGAAAAGGCTAATATTTTATAAAAGATAATACTAAAGTATTTTAATATAAATAATAACCTAAATTTTAATTCCCTAGTACTAGAGCACTAGCAAGGTAATAAGTACTTTTATTAATTAAAAAAAATTTTATTAAAAAAGGTTAAAAAAATATTATTAATATAAGCAGCACCTTTCCTAGGATAAATTAAGTAATAATTTATATTTTAAAAATTTGCTAAAAGTATGTTAAGCAGGCTATATATAGGCTATATAATTAATACCTATAATTAAAATACTTTTTTTTATTATAAAAGCTCGCGGAAGTAGTAATACTTTTAAAAAATAATAAAAAAAATAAGTTTTTACCTTAATTTTAGCGCCCTATAGCGCTACTTTTAATACTAAAAAAAAATTTAAATAAATTATAATATATTATGTTACTTTTATTATACTAGTGCAAGGGGTGCTAAGCCTATAATAATATAATATTTTACTTAAGTACTTGGCCATGAACTTAATAGCCTTTTTTACCTATAATATAAAAATAATACTTTTATAAAACCAGGAAGTTATTATAATTATTATAAATATTTTAGGCATTTTTAATATTATTTTATTATAATACTTATTTTAGTAAATAGTAAAGCAAGGCTAGCCTTGCGTGCTTTTAGTTTTAATTATAAGTTTTTTTAGTAAGTAAAGTATAAAAGTACGCCTAAAATTTATTATAATAATAATATACCTAGTATACTATAATATATTATAAGGCTTGCCCCTTTTTTTAATATTATTTTTATTATATATTACTAAGTTATTACTAGCGGACTTAATTTTATACTTTAGCTATATAAATAACTTTTACCTTAATTATATAAGTAACTTCCTCCACGTGAATTATAAACTTTTAATAAAAAATATTTATAGTATACTAGCCTAGGGGGAATAAAATAAAGTAGCCTTTATATTTAAAAAATTAAAAATATTATATATTACCTAAAAGTGGTATAATAAATTACCCTTACTAGTAATTAATAACTAGCTAATAATTACTTTTATTATTATAGTACTAGGTTAAAAATAGCCCGCGCTACGCTAGCTAGGTATTTTTTTTAATAAATAACTTTTTTAATACTAGTATATTACTAAGTAGGTAGCTAAAGCTTAAGTAATAGCTTAATATATTTATAACCTAGTATATATAATGCATGGCCTGCCTGTAAACTTTTTTTATAAAATAATTATTATTTATATTATTTTTAGCTTATTATATAGCACGGAGGCATGGTATAATAATAAAATTAAGTTTAAAAAGTATATATAAAATTTAAAAGTTAGTGCCTAGCTAAGCTAATATATTAAAATTATTAAAAAAACCTTAATACTAGCCGCTCGCGGTATACTTTTAGTTTTTTAAATAATATTTATAATAACTTTTTTTAAAAATACTGGGCTTTTTTTTATAATAATAATATTAAAAAAAGCATGATTATACTTTACCTTAAGGCTAAAACTAGTTAATAATTAAAACCTGCTAGTAGTATAAGTAATATTACTAAAAATTTTATATAATTAAGGCACTAGCTTGCACTAAAAACCTAAAATAAAAATATAAATAATAAAAGTACTTTTTTTAAAGACTTTTAGGCTAGTTTTAATATACCTTTATTATTTTTAAAAATACTTAAGAAATTCTACTAGTAGCAAGGCTAAAAAGCTAGTTATAAAAAAGTTTAAGTAATAGTAGCAAGTGCTACTAATAATAAAAGTAATAATTTTTAATAATAATTTTAAGTAAATATACTAAGGGGTGTATTATATAGGCTATAATTTTATAATATATTATAAATAATATTTTTAAGTATAAAAATTATTAATAATTAGTACCTAGTCCCACGTGTATAATATTAAAGCTATTAAAATATTTAAAAAATTAAAAACTATAATTAAAAAGCTTCCGGGAGCACCTTACTACTAGCTTTATATTAATAATATTTTAATAATTTAATACACGCGCGGGTAGCTTTTATTATTTTTAAACTAGGCCTTTTAAATATTATACTAGTTTATAAATTAATATATAATTTATTTATAATAATCCTTTAAATATATAAATATTAAGGGTAATAAGCTAATTAATAAGCTAATTAATAAGGTAGCCTTTATAAAGGCGCGGCCTTTAAATACTAACTTTTTTAAAATATAGCCTACCACAAGCGGGATATATAGCCTATATAAATAAATATACTAAATTACTTAAGCTAAATAATAAAAAAATGTTTTTATAAAATTATTAACCTAGTATAAGTAATAATTTATTAAATTAAAGTTTTATTAAGTTAAATCACGGCCTAAGCTTATACTAAAATACTTAATATTATATTATTAACTAGTACTTAGGTTCTTGCACAAGAACTTTAGGTAATATTATAAATATTTTTAATATAAAAATATTAGGCTTATTTATTCCTGCAGGAGAAATAAAAGCCCTAAATATTTAATTTTTTATTATTATTTTAAGTAATAATTTTAATAATAGCCCTAGTGCCTTATAATATTACTAATAATTAAGGCTAAGGCCTTAAAGTACCTTTATAAACTAAAGCCTAAGGGCTTTATATTTTTATTTAAGATTATAAATTTTTATAAGTTTATTTACTTATACTAGGGCTTCCCACGCCCTAGTAGTCCCTATACTAGGATTATTTAGTTTAATATTAAATAATTTTAATTTTTTTTATACTATATTTTTTTTTTTATTTTAAACACCTTTTTTTAATATAACTAGTTTATTTAATATAATTTTTTTATATAAGGGCTAGACCCTATAAACTACTATAGTTAGTTTTTTTAAGTATATAATAAATAATACCTGCTAATAGCTATATATTAAAATAATAAGTAAAAAATAGGTGCCTAGCCTATAAGCTTTAGCAAAAGTTACCCTTTAAAATAAAAAGCCTTTTTATATATAAACTTATTTAAATAAGCTACTTGCCTAGCAGCGGCACGCCCTTATACCCTAAGGGAGGTCTAGAACGTAAGGCGTACGCCTAATAATCCCCGGGGCGTTAAATATCACTACTACTACTACTACTACCAACGGCTATGAAATTGTGAGGGATACCTTGGATCAGCAACAGAACGAGACGTTTGTGGAACAAATGTGGCACTTGCTTGCCTACTCACAGTTTCTTTGCTTGATGCTATGCCAGGGACAATTCTATGCGCGACGATGTATATGAACTGACCTCATGAGCTGGCGTGTCCTGCCGGTCAACGCGCACACGGAGATCCAAAGTGCTGCAACGCTATATTAAACCAAGACCAAGTTTCTAGACGCAAATAGGCAGTAGCACACTATAATGGCCTATAATATACGCATAAAATACACGTGCAAAGCACCCGTTATGGTATCTATAACCCCGCTTAGACTCCTCTCAATCCCAAATAATTAATCACTCCAAGTCCAACTCATCACCCTTGCCCCTCCTAACCCCCCTCGCAGCCTTCGGATCCGTCAACCTCGTCCCATAAAGCACATCGCAAATCCCAATCGTGCCGAAATTGCCCACAAACAGTTCGTGGTGCATATCATGCACCTCCATGTTCCAGCCATAAATCGGCGGGAGCTCGTACCCGCAGTGCGCGATGATCGCAAGCACAAGCGCCCATGTAAGCATGAACCAGAAAGTCACGATATGCGCGCCCAGGAGCGCAGGCGGGAGGGCAACAGGGAGGATGTTGGAGAGGAAGTACTCGACTGGGTGTGCGTACAGCGCGGCCAGGGCGATGGGCGTCGTGAACTCGTGGTGTTTCTTGTGGATGTGCTTGTAGATGCGCGGGTGGTGGAGGGCGCGGTGGGCGTGGTAGAAGATTATGTCTTGCAGGATGATGCTGAGGAGGATGTGCTTTGCCATTGTGGCGGTTGAGGGGAGGGTTGATGGGACGGTGTAGATTGTGTTCTTGCGGCCGGATGTAAAGTAGTGACTCGTGCCTAGGTATGCGAGGTGCAGGGCGCTGGTGAGGAGTTGGTTCTGCAGGGAGTTGAGCAGGCCCTTTTTCACTGCGGCGTACGGAGGCTGTTTTGTCGGCGCTTGGATCTTGCGCCAGGGGATGTGCGTGGGGCCTAGGATGTCCATTGCGGTAAAGATGAGGGAGGGCACCCAGAAGCCGATGAAGAGGACGGCGGCGCTGCCGAAGAACTCGATTTGGAAGGGGGTGTAGGTGCTTGTGGTTTGGGACCACCATGTTGAGAGGGTTGCGAGATGCTCCATTGCGTTGCTGTTCTTGTTGCAGTTGTTGCTGGTTCCTGGATGGCCAAAGCACCGGCGAGACGCGTGATTATATAGCAATGAGACGAAGCTAAGCTACCTGAAGCACTGGACAGAACGGCCGCGGCCTCCAACAACGGTGTTGTCCAGCGTATATTGATAATGGCCTAGACACTGCCACGTACGTCAATGACAGGGGTTTGACAGGAGCCATGGGCGCGGCTGAATGTGACAGTAATAAAGTCACCAACGGGGGCCTTTTTGTGGCGACGCTATGACATCGACGGGTCCATGCTGGAGACTCATGTTGCTGTCACGATATGGGCTAGCAGGATAGCAGAGGTGGGGGCCGTTTGAACGGAGATCAGAATCGAGTCGATGCAGTGGATTCTATGCTGGCCGATCAGATAACCGGTGTAGAACTTGAGTCAATGGATACCATATGGTAGAACAGGCCGCAGACGTGAGACAAGGCACCCAGGCTGTGCCCTATGCAAGCTTTGAGTCATATACAGTACCAGCCGAATGCAAGATAAGCTTACCAAAGGAACAGCTGCAGCACCGTTGTGGGAGCAGCTGCAGACCCAGCGTAGTCACGTTCCACGGCCCCAACCCACACACAAGCACCAGCTGAATCGCCCGCCAAGTTCTTCAGCGTTCTGCAGGAAAATAGCGTGCAGGCAGAACTGTGATTGGTGGATCTGGCATCGGCAGGAAGCCGGCCTGACTCGAGTGATTGGGGCCAAAATGACACAAGGCGTTGGCCTGATCAGCCTGCATGCGGCATCTCGGCATATAGCCCGCGATCGAGATATCGCTGCTTATTGCTTATTGCTGCATCCTGCAGCCTGCAGAATAACCCAACGGCGGTAATACAGCCAATTGGTGTGCTGCACCATGCAGGTTGTCACACTCAAGCTCAGCGTATGGGGCGGAGGCGGAGGCTTAGCAGCGCTATGGAACAGCATAGCGTCACGCCTTCTAAGCCTCCTCGGTTGCTTTTGCAAGAGTTGAACAAATCTCCAACTAGCGACTTTTGTCAATGGGGCTAAAGCCAGGTGGATCTATGGAATAAGTATCGCTGCTCGCTACGGCCCTCGGGAGGCAAGGGATAGTGATCACACACGGCCCGGACGCACCAAGGAAAAGGATTGGTATGTCCACTGCTATTGCAACTTCAACCGAGTCGGTTGGATCCGCCTGTCACACGGGGAGATGGCTTGAAGGGTTCAAGGTGAGTTGGAATTGTGATATGTGCAGATAGCGCAAGGTTCAAGCGCTGAGATATCTCCCTGCGATACGCCCGGCCCAAAATTAAGAGAGATACTACAAGCCTATTTCCTCTCGCAAGGCTAGGCTCATCAAGGGGCGACTTCCGTAGTTAGCTACGACCCAGTCAGTATCTTTGGGGCGGTTCTATGAGACATTCTCAGACACCTCGAGACAGCTACTGCTACTTTGCTCGGGCGAGCCGAAGGAAAGGGGCCTTTTCGCGCTATCTTATTTTACGTTGGCCCGAAGTTGGTGACAGCGATGGGACAGTGACTATGTTAGAACATTTCTAACTACATGGTCTTTGGCGCTATGGACTGCGCAACATGTTGCTGATTCAGGGTACGGTCAATTCCACCGCATCGAAGAGCATATCATCACAATGCACTGTCCTCTGTGTCTTTCTCTGACTTCATGTTAAGGTGTGGCTTCACGGGTTCCATGGCTGCACTCTCAGGATCAGGAACAGGACTCAACCGGGGCGATTAGGTTCGGAAGGATACCTTTCTGACTGGAGTTCACTCCACCAATGCACGGGCATGGAGCTGTCAAGGCGATAAACCCCTGTTATACTTGATATACAGCGTTAGAGGGGTTGGCCATAAAGCCTGGGTTTGTATTCAGCACTGCAGTTCTAGTATCTAGGTAAGAAGTATAAGAAATAAATCATCAGCCCACGCCGTAGGAACATGAAGGAGCCAGTTCAACGGGCTGTTAATGCCAAACTCCCAGATTTTGTAAACCGCTAAAGGTTGTACGTACTCGAGCAAGCGAAGCCACTATCACCATAGCAAGGAATTTGTCGTCAGTGGGTCCCCGAATCATAACGGCCCCCATTATTGCTACGGAGTATTCCCAGCTCTCGTTTGCGCTAGCCCGTTCGATGCTAGCTGCATCTTGTCATCCAGTCGGTGGGACCGGGCTAGGCCTTACCTAGGCCTTGCGCAACAGCCAAGCCTTGTCAATGCAGCCAGGCGTTGGGGTTGGGTTTGCGAGGGGCGAGCCCGGGGGTCGATGGCAGTGCCCCTGTAAGATAGAGCACCCGACCTACACTGCCTGCTGTGCCTGCATACTCTGGATAGCTAGAACCTGCACCGTTTGGAGCTACGAAGAGACGGTTATCTTCTTGGTACCACATTCTGTTGGATAGGCCAGAGGAGCTACTCATGAAGATGAAATAAAAATATTACAAAATAAATAATAATGTTATAAAATAATAAGTAAATCTAGCTAAAAAATAATTTATATATAAAATTTTTAATAAAAAAAGTAATATATAATAATACTAGCCTTTTTAAAATAAGCGCGGGGAATAAAGCTAATTTAAGTTAAAAGTTTTTAATAACTTTTTTAACTTATTAAACCTTTGCTTTAATATAGCCCCCTAGTATTAATATATTAAAATTATATAAAACTTATAAAAATATAAAAATTATAAAAATATAATAGTTAGGTAGCTAAAATTTTAATTTTTTATATTAAATTTATTATTATTAATTTTAATATTTTAATAAAGCTTTAAAACTTTATTTTATTTAATATTTTTATTAGGCTATTTACTAGGTTTTTAATTTTATTAATTTTTTTAAACTTTATAAGGTTTTTAGTAACAAGATTTTTTATTAAAAAGTAATAAATATTTATTTATTTAACTTTTAAAGTATACCCTGGTTTCCCTAACTTAATAATTATATTTACTAAATTTATATAAATTATTATAAATTTTTTTATATTCAACCTTAATATTATATATAGCTTTTTAAGTTAAATAACTTTTTTTACTATTATATTAAATATAATAAACTTTACTAAAGTTAAACTTTTAGTTATAATTAATTACCTTATAAATTTTTAAAAAATAAGCATGTTATAAAAATAAAATATATATATCTTTATTAATTTTTTTTTTATAATTAACATGTAAACTATTTCTATATTTAATTAATATTTTATTATTTATATTTAAAAAATACTAAGATTTTAGTACTTTTTAAGCTATTAAAATATATACTTAACCGCGGTAAAGTTAGCATTTTAAAAATTTAAAATATACCTTAATAATTTTATAGTAACGCACTTAATATTTAGCCTTATTTTTTTAAATATTTAATTTAGCTTGCTTATTAAGCGTTAATACTTTAAAATATTTTTATAATAGTTTAAATATAGTAATAGCCGCCTTTATTAGGTATTTTTATCCTAAATTTATTAAAATTTTCTACCTATGTAATTTATTAAAGTTTAATTAATTTAAAATCTTTTAAATATAGGTTTTTTAAGAAATAAGTATCCCTTTTTTTATAAAATTAATATTGTATTTTAAAAACTGCTTTAATTTTTTAAAAATTTTAAGTTTAAAATATTTAGCTAACTTTTTTAAAAACTTTTTATAAATTTTTTTTATAGGCACTGCTACTAAGATATTATTTATATAAATAATTATAATACTACCCTTATAAGCGTAATAAAAAAAATAAGGCTTATACTTTTTAATATATTTATAAATATTTTATTTTAAAAATATACCACTTTTTTTAATTTATACAAGGCACGGAAAAGTAAGTAAATAAATTTTTTTTTAAACTTATTAATTACTTTATAAAAACCTCTTCTTACTTTATTATAAAGTTAAGATAGGTAATTACTATATTAAATTAAATATAATAATAACCCCTTTTATAAATAGCTATAAAATAAATTTTTACTAGCATGTTAATAATAACTAAAATATATATATTTAGGCCTTTATTTTTAACCTAAAAGTTATTACATGCAACCCAGCGGGCGCGAAACTTTTTAATATTATTTTTTTATTTTTTTTAATATTAAAAACCTATTTTTCTAGTATAATTTTTTTTAAATAATTATTAATTAAGGCATTAATCTCCACGCAAGAATATTTTTAAGCTTAGTATTTTATTTATTTATTACTTTAATCTAGTACTTCTTCTAGGGAGATCTTATTACCTTTTTATAATTATTTAAAATTAATATTTTATAGGTTTTAAAAGGATAAATATTATCCGGAATTAGCAGTGTAGGTAAGGCTAATAAATTAGGTAATTTTAACTTTTTTTTAGTATTTTAGTATTTTTATTCTTGTTTTAATTACTTTGCTTGCTTATTTATAAAGTATACTAATTTAAATTATTTTTTATTAGCTTTTTTACTAGGTAAAATTAGCCCTAAATTTTTTATTATAAATTAGGAGTTTTTTTTTTTACTTTTATAATATTATATTTTAGCTTTAAAGTGTTAAGCCACGGCCATATATATTTTTTTATTAATTTTTAAAAATAGTAAGTTTTTTATAACTTCTTACTCTAAACTACTTTATTTTTTTTATTTAATTAACTATAATACTTTTTATACTTATATTTCCTATTTTTTACGCGGCAAGAATATTAGTATATTATTAAAAATAAATAAACTTAGTGATTTACTTACTTATATTTTCTTTATTTTTTTTTACATTTTTTTTTACTTTCTTAACTTTTTTAACTATTTTTTTAACTGTTAGCTTTTTAAATAGTTATATAGGATTTATACTAAAAGTATTTTTTTTAATACTTATGCAAGTTTTTTTTATATAACTATATTTTTTAATACTGCTTTAGCCGCTAAAAGCGCTTTTTTTTAATATTTATTAATTAAACACCTAAGCACATGGCCTTAACTAGTACGTTAGCTAAGCCTTATAGCTTAGCAATTTTTTTTATTAGTATAAATTTTATAAATTTTAGGGCAGGAAGCGTTAGATTTAAAAATAAGGTTTAAACCCTTTTAATTATAATATTTTTTTTACTTTTATTAGCCACTTATAAATTATTATTATTAAAATTTTATATTTTAAATTACTTATTAAAACTAACTAAACCACCAGGGCCTTTATTATTAAAATTAATTAGTAAATATAGTAAAGTAAGTAAAGGCACTTTACTATTATTTTTTTTAAATATAATATTTTTTAATTTAATAATCTTTTTAGACTCCAGGAAGTATACCTTATAAATATAAGATTTTTTATATTTTATAAGTTTTTTTTTGCTTTAAGTATTATTTTTAAAGCTTTTATTCTTGTTTCTGTAGGGATATAAATATAGGCGTTATATTTAAAAATTTATAAATACTTTAGTAAAGTATTATTTAGCACTAGTATCCCCAGGCCTTTTATAAATTTTTTTACTAGTGGCTTTATTTTACCTTTTTAAATAAAATAATTTTAAATATATAATATAAATTTAACCACTAGTAGCTATAGCTTTTCTAGTAGCTTTGTATTTATTATTATATTATAAGTAATTTATATAATATATTTACTAAACTATTTAATTTTACTATTTTTTTAGGTGTATAACTTAAAGTTTTTTTAAATTTAATACTAGTTTAATTTCAGTAACACCAGGCCTTATAATTATTAAAATTTCTAGTATTATTATATCTTATTTTTATAATATATACTCCGCTTATATTAAGCCACTATAAATATATATAAATAAGCATGTTTAATATTTTATTTTTTTAGCATAAAAACTAGTAAAAATAATTCCTAAAATTATTAAGTATTAATAAAGCATAATTATATTCCTATATATTTTAAGGCTTTACTATTTAAATATTAACATGTATTATTTATAAAGGCTTTATAGCTTATTATTAAAAAGTTTTAAAAACTTTTTTTTAACTTTGCTAGCTTGCAAATTTTGCAATTTATAATTATTTTATTATTTTAATATTTATTTTTTTCTTATTAATATTATTTAACTACGCGTGGTTTTTATTAAATTATAATATTAATATATGGCTTAATTATTTATGCTAAACTCTTATTAAAACTAAAGCTATATTAAAGCTTGCTTTTTTATTAATATTTAGTTTACTTAACTAAGGCATGTTCTTATTAATATAAATTTTCAAAATAACCTTGTTATTCTTAATTTATTAAATTCTTAATAATTTACTATTATACCAAAGGCCTAGGTTTATTTTAATTTTTTTTATTAATAAAATATTATATAGTAATTTAGGAAACTATAGGTAATTAAATTATAATATTAATACCTTGCTATTATTTAACTAAATATATAGGTTAACTTTACCTTTTTTTTAAAAAATTACTTTTTTATTATTTAATATAGTAAATGCGTGCTGCAGGAGTTAAATAATATAAAAAAATTTTATAAAATTTTTATTATTATATATAAAAATTTTAGAACTAGTATTTACTAGTTATTAATTATAAAATTTTAATACTATTAATATATTAAAAATATAGTATTATATATATTAAAGTCCGTATTATATTTATTTTAAGTTTATTAAAAAATAGTGGTAGTACTGGGCTTGCTAGCATTACTATTTTTAGTATTATTATTATTTAAATTTATTAGCCTAATAAACTTATAGCACTAGATCTTGCTTAATAACTACTAGCTTAATAAATACTTTTTTAATACTAAATAATAATATTTTAAAGGATTATAAAATTCTTTACTATAATAATTATATATATTTTTTATTAATTTTCTTTTTAAAGCTAACCTTTTTTTACCTATTACTTATTAAACACCCCTTTTTTTAGAGCGCCTTAACAAGATACATTTTATTTTTTATTTTTAAAATTATTATTATTATTTTTATTTTTATTTTTATTACTATTATTATTATTATTTTTTAATATTATTATATAAATAAAAGTCTAGACCTTTACCCTATTTAAAACTTTATAATAAACCTTTTAAAATTATACTATAATTATTTTTTTAATAGTGCTTGTGGGTGTTAAAATATACTTTACTTTATAATATAAAGGTATTTTTGCCTATAGTTTTTTTAAAAGTAAAAAAAACTATTAATATAAAGTAATAATTATATTAAATTTATTATTAAATTTATACTTTTTATAACGCATTTTAATAAACTTTTAAATTATATTATAATTAGCCTAAATAATAATAATAATTTTTTTAGACTATATAAGCTATTATATATTTATTTTTATTAAAAACCTAGTTAATTTTAATATAAAACTTATTTATATATAGTACCTGTTTTAAATCTACTTATATTATTTATATAATATTATTTATTAAACTTTTTATAAACTATATTTAAACCTTTTTTAATATAGTTACCTATTTTTAATATAATATTAATATTAATATTAGGCATGGGATATTTTTTTAATAAGTATTTTAAAATTATATAAGTTTAATTTTAGGCTTATTAACTAGGTTTATATATTATAGTCTTTTTTATTTTTTAGTTTTTTATTTACTATGTTAAGTATAAAGGCTTTTTTTAATAAATTTATTACTTAATTTATTATAATAATAAAAGTAAATATTATTTTTATAATAAATATAAAAATTATATTAGGTATTATAAAGCCTTTTAACATATTAAAAGTAAAAATATTTATAAATATTAATTAAAATTAATTAATTAAAATTTTAGGGCTTTTAGCGTTACTATTTTAATTAATTATATATAAATTTTTAAATATAAAATAAATAAAAACAAGTAATATTTATAAATAAAAAATTAAAAAAATTAGGGGCTTATAACCTATTAAATAAGTTAAAAAAATTATTTATAAAAATAAAATAAAAATATTATAAAATAAATAATAATATTATAAAATAATAAGTAAATTTAGCTAAAAAATAATTTATATATAAATTTTTTAATAAAAAAAGTAATATATAATAATACTAGCCTCTTTAAAATAAGCGCGGGGAATAAAGCTAATTTAGGCTAGAGGCTTCTAGCAGCTTCTCCGGCCTGCCAGACCTCCGCTCCAACACATTCTAAGGGATTCCGGTCGGGACAGATGGTATGGGCCCTTGACATGAAGGTTCTAATGGTGTAATGATCTCTGATGCTGTAAGATCCATTGGACATGCTACATTTGTCTTATATGCAGGCCAGAAGTGCGATGGGTAGTCTACAGTACCATCATATTCAGTGCTTGCCATGTCGCCCACTCTAGGTACAGCAGGGCAACGCGTCCTATGCATACCGGAATCAAGCAACTGCAGTGTGCTCGACAATAAATATGTACATAGTAAATACTCATAACCCAAATCTAACCAAATCCTAAAACGCCATAACAATACCTAAGTGCCTCATGAATCCCCCTTAACCGAAGCCGTCACAAACGTTGACTCAACCCTGATCTGCGACACAGACCCGTGGCCGTACTCCAGCTCCGCATCCGAGCCCCCTCCGCGCGGCATACTGGTAACATAGTTCGTCAAGCCGATCTCATCCTCATCCACATCCACCCCCTTATTCCCCGCGCCTCGACCCAGCATACTCATACTCCCGCCGCGCGCACTGAGACTCTGCACGCCCGAGCCATGGCCCCCGCGACCGCGCGATTTCGTACTCGACAATCCCGCCCGCGAGTTCGAGTTGCCGTAGCTTTTGCTCTTGCTGTAGGAGTTTGATATGGAGCGGTGCGCGACGCGCGCGAGGGGCGCGAAATGGGGCAGGCACGCGCAGACGATGGCGACGGAGGGCTCGATGGTGCTCCAGATGAAGACGGGGCCCATGAGCCAGGTGAGGTCGGTGGCGGACATGAAGACGCTGAGGTAGTGGATTCGGACGATGCTTGCGACGCAGACGCTGCAGTGCCATTTAGCTGAGCCCAGCGTTCCGGGGCAATTCAGACTGAAGTCGGGTAGGTATGTCACTTACAAGATCCCCACCGCCATGATCCCGCACACGGCGGCCTTCTTCTTCAGCGTCATCTGCAGCTTCGCGATGCGGGGGAACGGAATGGCCAGGATGATGAAGTCGTTTAGCATGTTGATTATCCCCGCCGCGAGGAAGAACTGGTTGATGTCGATGCATGTGCCTGCGGTGCCGCTGAACTGCGTCCAGAAGTGGCTGACGGGGCGGCAGGAGGTGCTCATTGTGACCCAGACGATGATCGGGTAGGAGGCTGTGATGATGCCGGAGATGGCCATGGCGATTTTGAGGGATTGCTCGAGGGGCGAGAAGACGCGCTTGTAGAAGAAGAGGATTGAGACGCGCGTGCCGGTGCACGAGAGGGCGTAGATGAAGGTGTAGGAGAAGAGGAGCTGGGGGGTTAGACGAGTGTAGGTAGCAGGGGTGGTGGACTCACTCTGTACAGGGACATTAGGTCGTTCAGGGAGACTGCCCACACATGCTTGCCAGCGCCCACGGTGCCGCCTTGCTTGTCAGTGGGATTCCACATGGTGAGATGGTGACCACTTACCCGCAACGCTGATTCCAGTCGTCGCAGCTATACCAACCTGAAGACATCAATTAGCAGGGTGTACACTTGAACCGACCGATAACCTCAACCCACCAAAGCCGACAGAATCGCCCAGTCATCCGCAAGAAACGGATTCCGCAGAATACAGCGAGCTATGAACCGCAGAATAATCGCCACTACCGCCAGACACAGCATCGCAATCACGGCGCCGTTATTTTCTTCCCAGCTCCCCTCGGTAAGGTCGACATTGTCCGGGGCAGGCCCGAAGAGGGCTTCGATGGCTGGATCCACGGCCATGAGAAGAGTCACAGAAGAACCGTAACTGTGGGAAGGCTCACATCGAGTCGATGTTATGTCGATCTTCAAAACCCAGGGGGATGGTTGAGCAATGGGTCGCGGTTAAATGAACACCTGGTCAGTCCTGACCTCATCGACAACAACAAGAAGTGGCATGTTACATGGGGCCGAGCCGTGTTTCCTCAGGAAACGCGCCATGGAAGATATTGGCCGGGATTGCGGTTAATCTTGTTGGTTGGAGATAGATGAGCTGTGGGGAATGCGCCGTTAGCGGGGGCCCAGACAGGGGCCTGGCGGACCGGCCCTGCACGTTGACAAGGCACGGGTCGGCTTTGACTCGGTAACAGGTTGACCTTCCGACTTGGGTAACGGTTTGAGGTAGAGGCCATGCGGTTGGAGATAGAGTGGTGGTGCGTCGTGGTCAAAAGGTGTCGGTTCCCCTCTGCCCAGGTGCTCTATCCCGTCTCCAACCGTCCACTGCAAGCAGAGAAAATGGATAATCAAGGCATTCCCAAACTCACGGCTCTCGAGCGTATCGGGCCAAAGGGCTACCTCCGCTATGTATTCCCCTTCCAGCTCGCAGACAACTACGATTTGGAGCAGGTGGCGCGCGTAATCCAATCCGGGTACGAAGCCCTCACGCGCCGGATTCCCGTCGTCGGATCCGAGGCCGTCCCTGATCAAACCTGGCACCAGGCGGGGGTGATGAAATTGCAAGGGACGGGGGATAAAGAGGGTGCGCGGCTGGTTGTCAAGGACCTCCGCAGTTCATATCCGTCCACGTACGCCGAGTTAAAGGCGAGGAATTTCCCGGTCGCTGCGTTTGACGCTGAGACGCTCTGTCGCCGGTCGGTGTGGCCGCGGGCTGGGGAACGACTGCCTGTGTCGCTTGTGCAGGCCAATTTCATCCGTGGTGGCTTGCTGCTCACATGGTGTATCTTCCATATGGCCGGCGACGGCAGGTCGTTTTACCTCTGGACGAAGGTGTGGGCTGAGGAGTGTCGGCGGGCGCAGGGGATCGAGATCGCAGAGCCGGTTCAGTTCCCTGGGGCTGTGTGGAAGGATCGCAAGCAGGTCATGAAGCCGTCCGGGAACAATGCAGGCAAGATCGAGGACCATCCCGAGTATACGCTCCTCCCGTTCACGCCGCAGGGGGCGCCGCCGAAGATGCTCTCCCAGAGTCACCGGGGCCAGGTGTTTTACTTCTCGAAGGAGTCGCTGGCGGCGTTGAAAGCAGAGGCGTCGCCTGCTAATGCGACTCAGCCGACCGATCAGTCCTGGGTGTCGACCAACGACGCTCTGTCTGCGCTCCTCTGGCGCACCGTCATGGCAGTGCAGTCACCACTGGAAACCCTAGAGGGCGATCCCGTATCGACATTCAACATCGCCATCGACGGGCGGGCACGAACAAGCCCTAAAGTCCACCCAGACACACTGGGCTGCTTCCTCGAGTACGTCGCGATCAAGCTGCCGATCCGCAAGATCCTGGGCGAGCTGAACATCGCCGATCTGGCGATCCAGATCCGCAAGGCCATCATCCGGGCAGACGAAAGCTTCACAGACGATGTTGTTGCTCTGGTGGACAAGCTTGAAGACGTCGATCGGCTGGTTCCGACCGCGTTTTTGGACGTGCCGGGCTTTAATTGCATCCAGACCTCGTGGATTGGCTTTGAGATGTATGGACTGGACTGGGGCAGTTTGCTGGGGAAAGGCATTGAGGCAGTTCGATCGCCGCATGTGGGAGTGCTGAATGGGACTCAGGTTGTGCTGCCGGTGCTGCCGGACGGGGGGATGGAGGTCGTCATGGGCGTCGAGGGCACTTGCTTGCAGACGCTGCTGAGGGACCCCTTGCTGACGCGGTTCGGGGTCTCGAGGTAGTGAGGTTGTAATGTCATATTTAGCCGTCTGATGATTTGAGAATGAACACGACAAGATTACCAAGACAAGCAGAAATGCCAAACCTGGGATGCGATGATGAAGTCCGCCCGGAAGAACAGTGGGGAAAAATAAAAAGCAAAAAGGGAACGTCCCCGGACAGGCTCGAACTGTCAACCTCCTGATGACTATTATGGAATAACAGTCAGACGCGCTAACCAGTTGCGCCACGGAGACTTCGTTGAGGAAGAGCACCTTACTTGCAGTATATATCCACAAAGTGCACACAGCTCAGGTCATCGATTAACGAACAATTCTACCTCAATCCAACACGCAGATGCTTATGGGAGCCCAGCCCTACCTAAAGATGCTCTTAATCAAAATGTGTCATCAAGCATGTAGCAATTATGATACTTGGTGCAGTAATTGTCATATTCCTTATTATGGATGCCACCGCGAGAAGCCCTAGCAGATATATATATATTGGCGCGGTACGTCCTCCACCACACGAGCTGCTCAACAAAGGCCAACCAACCAACTGCCCATCGACAATCCCGACGAAACCAATAAAAACGAGGGACTATGAAGTGCCATCGTCGTGTTTCCCATATAGGGTTATTATATCCGCTGGCAAAGTGACGTACTTACAGATACCCGACCTGACGACGTGCGAGGTGGATACCCCATCACTGCAGTGTAAACAGACAAATATTATATAACCTGAGGCATGATATCGGTCTACATTACTGACCTTGTTGCCTGCATCCACTATGTACACCTGCCCATTGCCCAGAAATCTAACAAATCATCCCAGAACATGCAATGCTTCATAAGGGGTTGGCCTCGGGCAACACCAGCGCCCGGCATATGCTGGGTACGAGGAGTTCGAACCGGCGGCCCACGTCTTCACCAGATACCATTGACAGAGACCCCCGCCACCTGGCGTTTGCGCACCACATGCTTCAGGCGCGGAGTCCTCCAGCAGCGGAACGAATAGACAGCGATTTTTCATGTGAGAGGCAAAGCAGCGGAATGACCTGGTGTCGGAGGCCGGATCAAAAGCAAGGGACGACCTGGCATATCAACAAGCACACATGCAACTGCACAAACAAGAAGCTACCGTATCATCGTCCGTTTGGGCAATGTATCTCCGCACAGCTTGTGTAGATATAAGCGGACGGTTCTTAAGTGATGCTTAGCATCCAGGGGGGGATGCGGTGGAACTGGAGGAAGATGTATATCACTGGTGGAAATGGCTCGGAAAGCTTCCAGCTATACAGATAAACGGCCTTGCCCTGCGAGTCGTTTGACGCTCAGTCCAAGGGCTTCGGGTGGTCATTGCCAGACATTCAATAATATCCAGACGCATCAAGAGATCAGATATAGTGAATAACAAGCGGTAGTGTGCTGCTGCCTGCCTGCGTAATATGTGGACCATGGCTTGCCGGGATATATCTGGTCACGACGAGGCCATACAAGTCAACATCTACCTACTCGCGAAGCCATTGCACTGCCAACCGATGGGGATGTAGAAATCTCTATGTGCCCTGAGGTGCCATGGACGGGATTGGTCTCTACACTGTCGATTTTCAGGAATTCACCACAGTGCTGTCACGGCTTTCCGTTACGGATGAAAGACTTGACCATGGCCAACTCCTGTGGTCTTTCACTATTATTCTAAGCTTGACCTCTGAATCACACCGGTAGGTGGTGTAGTGCCTCAACGCTGGATGCATGAGGCATCTAACAATCGTACGAAAACTTGCCATACGTTTCTATCTAGAGGCGAATGTACGGCCAACTTTGTGGTTACTCTATGTGAATAATACTATGGCAGAGATACTAGAAGAGGAGTTGGTCAGTTGAAGAAGCATTATCAAGAGAGCTGTCTACACTTATATCAACATGCATGTACCACACTAGTTTGTGATTTTCAGAATATCCGACGGGATGGTTGCGCCTTGCCCGGGGGCATGAACGGCGCCCCGCTCGCTACATGGGGCATCACAGTCCCGCTTGGATACGCGGTCACCTCGCATGCGGATTTGATATTTATTCGAGCCAACGGAATCCGCGAGAACAACGCCGGGCTGGTCTCCGTCTGGCAGGCTGGGCAGGAGGGGCTTACAAAAACGGGAGAGACAATCCAGAAACATTTATTCTTGGACTTGTGGCCAACAGACCTAGGTGATGTGACAAGGGCCACCTACGGAAGGCACGCTGTGAGAACCGGGGCTAGCAGCGTGAGTGTTGCGATGCGGTCAAGCACGACAGCGGAGGACTTGCCAGATCTTGGCTTTGCGGGGGGCTAGACTAGGTGGAGACTATTTAGCTTAAAGGAGATTTCACGATTGTTGAAGAAAGTATCTTACGGAATGCCGAACTGAAACCGGGCCTTTATCCTGCTTCATCTCGCTGGTAGCCTATAGTGAGATGCATTCTAGATTGAAGCTTGCAACTCCGGAACGGGAGACCCGAAGAACGACAGTACCAAATGGCTCTCGTGTGGAGTAGACAACAATATCGGATCTATACCTGACAGACACTGTACATAAATCCTTTCTTGTGCATACCTAGAGTCACCGTGATATGCACAGTACAGTAAGAGCCGAGGTTTGTTAATGGCAAGGCTCACAAGCTGTTATTCCTATTCTCCCATGGATGTGCATGATGCGGCTTGACTATATTTCTACGCTTTCTTCTTGAAAGTTACTCCCCAGGTTCTTGTAGCCTCGTTTGCTCTGACTTCCACCTTTGATTTGTTACACTTTATCCTACTAGGTAATTAAATGTGTTGTTGTGCGGGTCGTGTAGTGGCGTGATTGAATTCGATTCTAGCAGCGGTGTTGTTTAGGTATTCCATACAGAGCATCCTCTCATCGCAGCACATGAAGTGGTCAAAGACCCAAAACGCTAGTCTGAAATGCCGCCCAATATTGGTCCTTAGTCCAGCCAATGGGAAGCGAGCCTCGGTCTTGATGTGTGCTAGCTTGCTGTCGGTCGTTTCGCCATTCTGTCTAGCTTTCTGATTGATTTCCAGCGAGCTTAGTTCCTCCAACCTTTCTGCGGAGACGCCTTCGTATTGCCGGCTGCCTGAGGGCATTTGTCAAAGGAAATGGTGTTGGCTTAGGAGATTTCGGAAATCTCCTGTCAATATGATCCCGGTGCGCGCGGTTGTGAGGCGAAGAACTATCCTCATTAAGGTGCATTGAAGGAATATCCTCTGACGTCGTTGGATAATGACCAGAGCAAGTGGGAGCAAGCTTACTATCATAGGCGTCTTGAAGCTCTCCAAACCACTTTGACAATCCGACCAAGGCATCAGCAACCTTGATCTCAAAAGACTGTCTTCCGCCCTGGTCTGTAGTCACTGTATTTAGCTAAATGATAGGCGCTTCAGCGTTGGGATCTGGCGGAAGAAGAGGTCAATGAAACCAGGTACTTGATTGGGTCCAAGGGTTTCCCTTTGATTTTGTCCTAAAAGTCTATTCCAGCAAGGCGTCCTTTATACCCGGGTATATATTACTAGCCAGTTTTCAGCATCCTCCCATACCCAACTCTCAAAATTGCAAATACTCTCACACTAAATATCACAAACCCAACTACACGAAAGCCGGCTCGCATCCCTCAACTTCTGTGTTTCAATGTTACCTTTGGCCTGTGAGTTTCCCAGTGGATGTAATAAGCCGCCTTCTGAACCTTTCGCAGGGCTAAGCTTCCTTTGGAATGGCTGTCTTAACGGGGCAAGCTCTCTCAGACTCGTCGAGCCTTTATACCGAGTGTGGCAGATTGGGCTGCAGAACAAAGTGAAGCGCGGAGAGGTCTGCAAATGTGGTTGGCAGAACTAGAAAGCAGGGAAGGCTAATCATGTTGTTCTGTTTGAATGTCCTCATTAATTGCTCGCCGTTCTGTTGTGAGCTCCATTTGGGGTTATCTGTTGAGGCATGTATGGCAAATAGGACATTAACACAGTGCGCCGCCTTTTGTCAGATTGAGCACATGTTGTTGTAGATAAAAGGTCCAGCTATTCACTCATGGCTGCCCTTCTCGGCAGGCTCCATCGTCAGCCTTAAGAGGCCTTGATTCCTCCAGCCGGTCTTCCTAATCCACTTCATAATCTCGGGCATACAGGGTAGCGACTGCGGAAGTCGCGCTGTTTGAGTTGGCTAATGGTAGCATCCCAGAAAGCGCATCCCTCTGAAGTTGCCGCTCAGCGATGTTACTAACTACACAGACACGGGATTCATGTCGGACTGGGCCATATTGGAGATGCTGGGATGCTCTAAGCATATTCGTGCTTGAGAAAGCCCTCCATCAACCTTGAGTACCACGCGGGCTTTCCCCTCTTGTACAATCTCAACGCCGAGGCCAGATACTGCCTGTCAGAGTCCTCCAAAATCTTTGACAGCAAACACTCCCCAGACAGTCCAAGCTCTTCTTCCTTTTGCTTCACAATAGCAATGTAGGTATCTCTGTCCGCAAATCTCTCAATGTCTTCGGGGCGTTTTGGTCGGCCTCCTTCATCGTAGTCCCACGGTACATCGATAGCAGGAGGAACTACCGAAAGACTTAACGGAAACTCTCCGGATATCTCATACGGTGCTGCAAAAGCGGCTTCCCAGTCAATCACACCAAGGGAGCGGTAGCTGTCATCAAAGACCATGTTATTATGACCAAAGTCCCCGTGGCAAAGCGGAAATGGGCCATTATTGTTCAGCGAAAGCCTGTCAGCTGCCTTGTGAATCAACGTTAAGAAAGAGGATGTGGATTCCAAGATCTCATCAGCGTGTGAGCCGGCGGCCTCCTGGAGTTGATTCTTTGACAGCCCGAATTTAGTTTTCTTTGCCCATGCCCTGAAATAGTCGGCAGCTGTATCGAAGGGGCCGCCTAGGCCTGGTATGGGCCCTTGTCGATATGACCCATCCTTGTTGACTCCGACGACAATGCCGATCTTTGGGAGCCGTAAGTGGAACATTTCTATCTACAAGCATGAAGCCTCTGTTAGCGAATGGCATCATTCGAGGTCACATCCCGGTCATTTCAACCTACATGGATCTCTGCCATTTGCTCAAACACAGCCGATTTGCGTTCCGGGGGGATCTTCATGTCCAAATCCATTCCCACATTGCCTGGAAGACAGTCCATAAGCATGAAAGGCGCCTTGACTGGACAATTTGCGTCAAGTTCCAGCATGTGAACTCTGGGTGTGCGAATTTTGCTTTCTTTCTGAATAAGCTGAATCGTGCTATGCTCGGACGCCATGATAATTTTCGCTGAGGCTGAATTGTTTTCATCTTCCGATAGATGAGGCATTCGAAGCCTTGCCACCCATTGTACGAAATCGTCAAATTTGATAATGCGTACCATGTGGTTATAACCAAGCCCGACATCCGGGAGTAGCTTGCATCTGATTCCAGAACGCGAGGCTGCCGCACAGCTGAGAAGCGCATTCCAGTCTACCGAGTCATGGAAGTTTTGTGCCCTTAAGCGCAAGGTATGGCCATCCTGGAGAGAAGAGAAATAATTCCAGCGGTACCCTCCGAAAGAATCACTGTTCCCTAAATACTGGTTAATGGACGTTGAGACCTTCATCAATTTGAAGCCTTACCGGGCATGTTGGGAAAGGTCAAACGGAGTAAGCAGCAAGCCAGAAGGGTCCAAGGCAGAATTTCGAGAGTTAGGGAAGGTAAGGAAGTAGGCAATTGCGCAGGCAGGCGACTGCTTTATAGCATGTGAACTGGTTAAGTTACTCAGCTGGTCTTGGCACCAAAACTATGATTGCGGGGTTGGACAGGAAACGCTCTCTCACTAAGGGTGGCAACAATTTAGCCAGCGAGGTTCACTGCTTTAGATATCTTTGATTAATCTAACTACCGCATGTTGTGTGACCAAGAGAGCAGCAATATGAGTCGCCATGTGTTTCTAGTTCTAACTTCTACTTAGACCAGGCCTAGGCTGTGGAGGCAGTAATAAGAAGTCATCCTCCCTGAATCCCCCAATATGCAAGGCCCGTTAGCCGCAGATTATTCTTGCCAACATTTTCGAAGGTGCATCTGATATTGTTGGTTGGCTTGTCAAATTCTTATCAAAAACGCCATCCGAGGTCATACAAAAAGATGGTCCTAGACCATGGATTATATAAGTATCAACGGCTGTTTAATGGTGTTGCACAAGAATCACTAAGTTGTTAATTCTCAAAGTTCCAACAAATGTGCTGACCCAGAAATGGGTAGACAAGCTCTGCGAGAGTATAGTTTCCTCTAAAAAGATAAGAAAAGGTATCCAAGGACCGACTCAGTCAATATTTACCTTAAATATCACAAGTTTAAAGCACAATGCCACGATGTAAGGCTACCCTATAACTGTGAGGGGCGACGTCCAACTAGTTCCTACCTAGTACCTAAATATGGCCATGTACAAGAAGGATTAGTTGATGAAGAAAAGAGGGGTTTAAAGGCGTGAAACATGAGTCTAAGCAAATACTTATTATTATACCAGAGATAGAGTTTCTGTGTGAATGTTAATTTCGGCCTCCGTACTCACACTAAACCTGCGCTTTACTCAAAGCAGTCGACGGGTGCGCTGGCCGCTGATTGGCCGCTGAAGATATAGTTATTTCTCACACAGAGCTATATAATACCTGTCAACCTGTCATCCTCTGTATCTCAACGCTAGCTGGCTTGCCATCATGACCCTCAAGGTCGCCGTGCTCATCAACACGCCTCCCACGAACAAAGAATTCTGGACCGACATACGGACCTCCTATTTCAAGGCCCTTGGTGCAGTCGTGCCAACCGCCGACGTCCATTGCTACGACCCAGTCTTTGAAGGGGAATTCCCTAATCCAGCTAAGTACGACCTGATCACCCTAAGCGGCGGCAAAGTGGACGCCTTGTCCTCAGAGCCGTGGGTGCTGGGTGTTCCGGACTTTATGCGCAATACTGTGCGCGAGTATCCCTGGACCAAGATCTTGGGGATTTGCTGGGGACATCGGGCTTTTTGCAGGGCGCTTGGGGGCGAGATTCGGCCTGTTCCAGGCGGTCCGATTGTATGTTGTTACCTACCATTGCGCTGAATCTCTCGGCTTGGTTATCCCTGACTGATCTATGTATTTGTTACTCAAGGCGGCCATCCAGTATATTCCCTTGATGGAGGCAGTGAGGAAATTCTTCTTCTTTGCATCGCAAAAAGGCTCCTACGTACGTGAAAGGATAGCATTACCATTATAGCTAATTAGACTTTCCTTACTGAATCAGATCTTCATGTTCTACCTCAATATGACGTGTCTAGGGTCTTGATTATCACGTGCCCTTCTCCGTCCGATGACTCACACGTACAAATCCACATCCCTTCGGGATCAGATCAAACCAACAGGTAGATGCCAGAATGTACAAGCCTGCTCCGCCAAGACCCAAGAAGACCAACATTGTGCGCTCGCGCAACGGGTGCCGGACCTGTCGTGAGCGGAAGATCAAAGTAAGTACCCTATACCGCTGTCGAGCGCAGGACTGACGTCCGCAGTGCGATGAGAAGAAACCAGCCTGTGGAACATGTGTCAGGCTGGGAAAGCCGTGCACAAGGATTCAGCCAGCGTTTGAGTTCCGCACTGTAACTATACCTCCACCTGTGCATCCGCAGTCTTCGACGACTTCCCCCTCCGTGGCCAGGCTTCCTCCAGATGGACACCATGAAGAGGAAAGGCACACGAGCACCATTCCCTCTATTGGGTGTATGGACCTGATCAAGTCCCTGCAGCACTCAGAGCGCGACATCTACTATACCACGTACTGGGAAGACAGCTGCCTTCCAGCCCTACATCCAATCTTCCTTGCTTTATCTCAGGTTGCGGACGGCAAGGCAATCCTCCGCAACTCCATCCTGGCCTTGTCCTCATGCCACTTCAGCCGCCAGCAAGTGGAGCGTAAGGCGGCTGGCACTTCGCACATGCACATGGGGAGCTTCAGCCCCAGCCTTAGCCACCAAACAAGGAGCCATCTGTACTATTCGTCGGCTATCAAGGAAATAACGCGAATAGACCCAGAGACTGTGTTACGTGACTTCACCATCATCATCGGCGTCTTGACGCTGTTCACATACATCGAGTCGTCCGTTGGCAATTTCCAGGGTTTCCGATGCCATGTGGACGGGATGTCGCAATTGCTCCAGAGCCATGCGGACAAGCTGAATGATCCAATGAATACAGCGCTCGTTATGGCATGGATGCAGATACGCTTCGTGAACTGGTGGTCGCGCGCGTATTTTAGCTCGTGGGAGGTCCACCGGCGGTTACCTTCGGTGCCTCTGCCCCGATTCCTCGAGGGGAGGCCCGAATCGCCCCAGAGCCGCCGGGTGCTTGTCCTCAGCATCCTTTGTGAATCACATCGGTTGCACTCTGGTCACGTTTTAGGGTGTCTAGGCCGCGGCGCGGGTGTAGACCCACAGGCGGACATCGAGCACTTTGAACAGAAAGGAGAGCTCGAAGAATGTCTCTACTTGCTTCACGAACAGAAGCGCAGACTGGACGAATGGCTTGCCCGCCTCCCGCCTTCAGAGTGGCCCCTATCCGACCACGGTGATTGCCTGAGCAACGACCCTAAGGAACCAGAGGACCATGCCACACCAGTTCACTTTCACTCTCATGACGCGGCACTCAACTTTGCGTATTATGCCCTGGCTCGAGTCATGCAGTGCGATGGGCTGCTGCGCAGTTTACAACATCGCAGTCTTTATCGTTTGTACGACTACGAGGAAGAGGAAAGCTGGATCCGCCTCCTCCTCCGCATAACGAACGGCACGGATATACAGACCTCCCTCGCAAGAAACAACTACACAATCGGGTTCCAGGGCTTGTTACTAGCCGCGCTTCTGCGGTGTCAGAGTCCGGCCCTTGGCGCCGCCATACAGAGCTGGGTTCAGAATTTAGCAAATCTCCAGCCGACAGAAGAGGGTTCGTTTCCGATTTACCAGACTCTGGGCGTCATCAAGGCGATTAATCGTCAGAAGCAGGCGGGGCTTGATGTCCTGGGGGTTACGCAGCCTGTTGACGATGGCGGAGGGACACCCAAGGTTACGGCCTTTAATAGCCAGCCCATCGACCGGCTAGTTCTTCATGGTAGATCTCGACGAACCGGAGTTCCGTTTGCGGAGTGTGTTTGTCTCGACATTTGACCATCACCTCAGTTGTTGTTGGTATATAAGGCTGTAATATGGCGGAACTGTATCTGAATCAAGTGCCTGCACTCTTTAACCTTTACTATAAGCCGACGATGACTGCCCTCGCTGACGGAAGCTATACTGCACCGAAAGACGAATGCTTTTTGCCGGGATTATCCGTAGTATGCGTTCGAGTTGGGACAGGAGTTCCCCCCTTCTTTTTCCCAAATGCTCAGGGATATTGTTGTCCAAAACGATGCATCCGAAAGGCCTTCCCAAAGAGCATTGCCTCTCATCTTGATCCGGGGTAAACGCAAACATACACACGGCCTCTGCGGTGTTATTGGTGTACGGCTCTAAGAGCTCGCACAGACCGACATTGCCAGTCAAATCCACAACAGCTTCCATCTTCGGCCCACCCATGATGTAAAAACTGGAAGTACTATCACTATTTTCTTATGGATTCAGTGGCGTGGGCGGACAAACACATAAGGTATGGTCTGGGCCGAATCCTTCACAAAATCGGGGCCGCAGAGCTATTAAAACCAATAATAAATGAAACTCCCATGGCAGCTAAGTCCATTAATCCACTCAATCGCTACCACTAGTGGTGACGCTACTAGCAGGATGATGACCCACGGTTTGACCATCGCTCTTGCGCCCTGGACTGGGTAAGTACCCCGTAATCCAGGCTGGTGGGGAATCCCCGGTAAAAAAACATTGGCCACCTGCATTGTAGTGCGCAGACAGCTACATCCAGCCTAGCCACATAGGGTGTGCGAGTGCGCTAGCCTGGAGGTGCTGTCTCTCCCGCTCGCCACAGGGCTGCCTTTTTGATGGAATATTAATGGCCCAGGGTGAATGTATCAGAGTCTATATCTTTTCATTCCATTCCGCTGCCTCTATTAATTTGTGTTGCACCTAATATACTACCTATATATCAAAAGAAGGTCTCCTTCGGCGTGCATTCATCCTTTACAACTTGACCTTTAATGATCATAAAGAACAATGGTTTCTGCTGTAGGTGTCCATGCGAGATCATGGTGTGCCTACCACAAGCGCAGATTTCCGCGCATTGATATTGAACTCGATTATGAGATTCTGGGCAAGATGCCGCGCTATACAACAGGAGACACGGTTCGTGGAGCCATAAAAATATCCGGAAGTAGCGCAGTCAGCTTTGACAAACTAGACATCAAACTGGAGGGTATGTAGGTATACTACCATGGATACCTGTCATGGGAAGAGCAAAACTCTAACCTAAGTGTCTACCATAGGTGTTAGCATGGTTCTGGCTGCACGCGACGGGCTGCTCATCCTACGAGGAGCTTCCCAGAAATTTCTTCAGCTTCACCACCCATTCGAGCCGTCCGCTGATTCGACTCACGTTATGCCTGATCACCCTTACAACATCCGCTTCGAGTTCGCCATACCCCCGTGCCTCCTTCCCGATGTCTGTGTCCAGGAGAAGAAGAACCCCTCTGTTGAACGCTCCCACACCCTTCTCCCGCCGTCCCTCCACAATGAGTTAGGCAAGAGGTCATCGGAAGCATGTTGCATCACTTACCATATTTGCGTTGATATCCTGCGAAGACGACAAGACGGGCTGCTGGAATCCCTGGGGCGTGCTAAGAAACGGATCACCATCACACCAGATAGCAACGAGAATCCACCGATGCTTCTGGAGCCCAATATCCCACACCCGCAGTATCGCATTTGCCAGGAAAAGACCGTCAAGGCAGGCGCCGCTCGCCGGGATATTGGACGTCTAGTCGTCGCCGCATCACAGCCAACACCCATATGTCTAGGCACACCTGCCCGTGGGAGCCTGGGGTCGAAGACCACAGTGTACCTCCGGTTTGATCCCCTTGGTGACAATCCGCCCCCAGCACTCCATTGTGTCTCCACCAAACTCCGCGTCGCAACATACTATTCCGTTTCTCACTTCGATGAATATCCAGACATGTTACCTGAATCCAAACGGAAGGCGTCGAATATCGGCCTTAATCGGAAAACAGTTGCTCTGCAGGAACTCTGCATATCATCTGTTCAATGGACGCGGCATACCACCGGACTCGATGACAACTTGCCTGACACTTCTACAGTGCACTCATCTCCCGAGTCGCCGGCCTCATTGCGTCAAGAGACTTACTACTCAGCCGCCGTGGTGGTCCCTCTTACTTTGCCGGACAGAACACCCTTCATTCCCACTTTCCACTCATGTCTGATATCTCGCGTGTACGCTGTCCAGATCGATGCATCCTACCGCGCTCGGGATCGAAGCGTGCGAAAGTCAACTGTCTCCCTCCGAATTCCGATCCAGCTCATCAACCGGCAGATATCTTCCCGAGACGATGGAGATGCGCCGCTCTAGAGGATTGAATTCAAATCGTTCCTTCGTTGCGCCTGTCTCATTCGTTCACATCTCGTGCATGTCGCGGAGGTTCTAAAATTGCCTTTTTTATCAGCCGCAGCAAAATATACATTGAGATAGCCATCCTGTTGCTGGCTCTAGTTACCTCGGCAGGCCTCTTCCTCCTTACCCCTTTCACCATGCAAAATGTTCCATAGATGGATCCAGACGTATACCAACTTCTTCCAAAAGACCGAGGATGTTCTCTACACAGATATGGGACTTGAGCAGTGCATTGAGCGGAAGCAGTATCAAATTTGTCTTCGATTCTATTTATTATATCATGCAGAGAATTTACGGGTGGAGCATCGTGCACTACGATTTAGCCCTAGTGGTCGATCTCAACCACAATGTGCCCAACACCCCTCGAAACACAGGCCAACATCTCGAATCTCTGTTCATCTTTAGTGAGAGCAGAGCCCCGATGCTCGACCCTTCCACACTTAACAGGAACCCTACAGGTCCCACAGTTGCCCACCTCACACGAACTACTAACACCAAAGCCAGCATCTTTCAGGACCTCCAAGAGCGTCTGGTCGGCTCCAACCTGCAAATCAACCTTCCTTTCTTGACCGATCGCCTCAACTGTGAACGGATCCCCCGATGATTCAGCCTGAAAGACCTCGTAGTGCACCTCGTCGGAATCCATGCCGATATGCGCAGCCGTTTGAACCACGTCATCGATCATACGCTGCGGCCCACAGACATACACGTGGCTGTTCCAGATCCGCCCTTTCAATATTGTTGCAATGTCCAGGCGCTCACCCTTGGATCTGTCGTAGATGGTGATATGTTGGCCTAGGCCAAGATCAGACAACAATGGCATAAACGGGACATCGCCGGACGTCCGGACAGCGTAATGCAGGTGGAACGTCTGATTTATATCCTTGATCCGGTTCATCATGGCTAGGAATGCCGTGATTCCTATGCCCCCGGCAATGAAGATGTGGTGCGAGGCCATCTTGTCCATGGGCAGGGTGTTCGAGATGGCACCGAGGGAAATCGTATCGCCGCGATTGAGACGGTCATGGATATAGCTCGATCCGCCGCGGCTGTTGTCGTCGAGCGCAACACCCAGCACAAGGGAATCGGTGTTGCCGCTGACAATAGAGTACGCCCGTTTCAGGCCGTTGGGGAGCCTGACCAGCGCGTTGCTCCCAGGGAGTATCTTACTGGACTGCGCGGACTTGGAGACGGCTTCAAGCTCAAGCCGGACAATCCGCGGCGTCTCAAAGACCTTCCTCTGAACCGTGACATCCCTCCACGTCTCCGGTGGCTTGTTCTTAGCAGCCTGCATCTTCCGCCACCGCTCCCGAAACACATCCCTGCACTCATCCCCCATCTCCTCAATCCCCATAAGCTCCCGCACCACACTCTCATCCTCCTTATCCCGATGCACATAGTGATGCAGCCGCGCAATCGACCAGCGCTGATATCGCCGCTCCACAACCCGGATCTCCATCCCGGCCTCGATCACCCCCTCCTCACGCACGCGGTAATACCACCCCGTCTTCGCGGCCTCGTGCGTCCGCGGCGCGAAATTCTTCACCCCGAACCGCTGGTTCAGCTTGAAGCATGGCTGCCGCGGGAGACTCACCTCCAACACGCAGCCGTGCTCCCCGCCTGTTAGATCCGAGCCCGCGGGGCCAATCCGCACGATGTCCCCGATGCAGATGTTGGTCTCGTCGTGGGTGTCGGCGACGAGGTTCTCGCCGAAACCGCCGGGGGTGAAACGTGCGGCGATCTCGGGGGTGGGATACTGCGACGCCCAGAAGGCGTAGTGGGCTGAGCAGTACTGGTGCAGGGCTTTGTCGGGGCCGCCGTGGAAGGTGAGGTCGTGTTCGTCGTGGGAGAGGCCGAGGGGGGAGACGTGGAGTTTGCCGTGGCGTGGTTGCTTGTTTATGCCGGAGAGGACGGGGCCGAAGGGGAGGAGCTTGGAGGTGCGGATTTGCGCGAGGGTTGTTGGGGGTGGGATGGCGATGGGGGAGAGGTCGATGCTGGGCATGGTGGATGGATAGGAGAGGGTTCTAGGGACTTGTTCTGTGCCTAGGTACCTTAGGTACCAGAAGTAACCCTTTTATACTTCTCTCAATGAGTCAATCAATAATATCCGGTCCCTGGAGTGGGTCTGCGCTAGTCTCAAAGCAGTGCGCGGGTGCGATGGCGGGGCCCTAGTACGTATACGGTTAGAGGGAGAGGCCAGGCCGATCCACTCCGCCACCTGCACTATTAATAATAGTAGTGCTTATAATTAAATAGGTTTTATATTTTCTACTAGTTTACCTTAGGTTATTATAATAGTTCTACTTATCTTGCTTACATGCTTTACAGAATCTTAGGTATTGATTATAAAATTATTTATATACTGCCTAATCCTTATTACTCTTATCCCAGCATGTTCACTAGATATAGTAATATTAAGATATCATTCTTTATTAGACTTATTATTATTCTTGCTCCTCTTTAAGCCTTCTCCATATATAATAATTTTATTTGATAAAGGCAGGCCTTTTATTACCTAGTAGTCTAAAAGGATCCTCTATCCCTTTTAATATAGGGTTTTAATTAGGGTTTTAGGCATCTTGATAAGTTGCTCCCTCCTAGGAACAGGGCCCTTTACTTAAGTACTAAATTATTTATTAAGGGGGTTAAAGTCCTAAATAATAATTAGGAATTCACTATACTCTTTTTTTAAGCTAGCTTAGTAATAGATTCATCCTGGTAGATCTTATTTAACCTCGTAACTTAGTTATTTTATAAAATTTATTAGAGCTAATATTTTATAATATAATACTCCCCTTAAAGTCTTTAATAGTAGTCCTTTTTTAATAATAGTCCTTCATAAATTATTATCCTTCCTAGACTTTTATCCTTTCTAGACTATTATCCTCTTATAACTATAGTCCTAACTAACCTACTATTCTTCTCTTCCTAGCTATCCTAGCCAGGACAGCTATCGCTATTTCTACCCTGTGACTCCGCCTTGCTAGGTTCTTAACATACAGCAACTAACAAGGCACATTAACTACAACCATCACACCGGACCGGCCTTGGCAGATCGCGAGGCATTCTCAACTTCCACAGCAATGACCTCCTGGTCCTTGGGATTGCGTTCCATCATTTCAGCCCCCTCGTGTGCATGGTCCACGCCGCCGAAGATGGTGTCCATATGTTCCAGCGCGACTCCCTTGGTTTCGGGGATCAGGAACCAGACAAAGCCAAACAAGACGACGTTGATGGCACCGAACATGTACATCGCATAGCTATTCCGCGTGAGAGACGATGTCAGCAGGTAACCGGGGCAGTTAAGAGCAACCTGGGCGTTGCGACTTACAATCCTTTCTTGTCCAGGAATATAGGGAAGATTTGTTCTGTTGATGAGGTCAGAATGTTTGGAGCCAGAATGTAGATTTGGGCATGACGAGGACTTACGGAGGATGGTGTTCGAGATTGACTGTGACTGAGTTGCCATACCAATGGCCTGGGCGCGGATGTTCATGGAGAAGATCTCGGACGTCCAGATCCACACGGTGGCGCCCCACGATGGCTTGTAGAAGAGAGCAAAGAGGAACATCAGAAATACGGTGGCAATACCGACTGGCCTCGACTTTGCCCCGTCAGCGAGGTCGGGTGTTTCGGTCACCACTGCAGCGACGATAAACATGCACATGCTCATTCCGGCAGCTCCAATCAGGAGCAGGGCACGACGTCCGAAGCGGTCCACCATCCAGGTCGCGTTAAGGGTGAAGAGGATGCCGAATGTGCCGTTCAGAGCATTGATGAGCTGGATCTCACTGTTGCTCTTAAATACTTTCTTGTAAATCAGCGTCGAGTACATGGTCAGCGATCCCTGGCCGGTAAACTGTTGGCCGATGTTGATCCCGCAGGCGAGCACTTGGATCAGTTAGCTATGTGATTCTCACTTCAGACCGGGGTACAGGGGATACGAACGAAATCTGTATCGGATCGCCTTGTCCTTCCACAGCGGCGCGTACCTTCCGGGATTCGTCTCCTTTTCGAACATGATTGCTTGCCTAATCTCTTGTACTTCGATCTGCACTTGGTCGGGGTTGTCTCGCACGAGGGTCAGTGCCTTGACTGCATCTTCCGTTCTATCTTTCATGATGTACCTGGACGGAATGAGGACACAAAATCAGGCAAGACCACAAGAGGTGGAAAAGGCGACTCACCATCGAGGCGACTCTGGACAGAATAAAAGCCCAGTCATGATAACAACCGGGGCAAGACACTGAAGGAGAATGACAACCCTCCAGTTCCAGTCACCCAAGCTCTCAGCATTCTTCGTGCAACCATAGTTGATCCAGTAGGCAAGGAACGATCCGACGCCAAAGAAAAGCTGCCAAAAACTCATAATCATGCCGCGCTTCTCGGCCGGTGCCATCTCGTTGATGTAAACGGGGCCCGCGGGCATGGCGAGACCCTGTCCGATACCAGTCAGCGCCCGGCCGGCAATAAATCCGCCCATCACGCGGGGGGTAAATGTTGAGATGATGCTGGAGATGACGATAAAGGCGCAGCCGAGATGCATAGTCCACCGACGCCCGAGGTAGTCGGAAATGGGGGCAGAGATGAAGAATCCTGTTAAAAGGGTAGTTAGCAAAGTACAAAAAGCTATTTGGAGGCGTACCTGTCACGATGCCACCAACTGTGTACGCAGTATTCACAGAACCAATGACCGAGGGTGACTATGCTGGGGTCAATATGAAGAGATGCCTGCAGACAGTTGCTCACCATACCGGATTATGGAAATAGTCCATAAACTCCTTGGACCCCTGGACGGCGTTGAAGCTGGACGAGTCGTATCCATTGAGGATCATGCACCCGCCTGCCACGAGACAGCAGAACCAGAGGTTGAATGTCTTGGAGTTAGATAACATGCTTAGATGACATATGACTGATATCAAATTCTTTGTTAAGTGAGTACATAGCGGTCCGGGAAGCAGCACTCAATCCTGGGCCGGGTCCTGGGCTTAAATAGGACCACCCCGAGCTCGACCCTGTGCGGGGTCTCCGCGTTTCAATATCGGATCGGCACAATCATACGCGAGATTCGTGGTTTAGCTGGGCCGAGTCATGCGAGAGTCATGCGAACTTCTGATCCTTCTTCCTCGCCGGTGGTCCAGACCGTGCCACATTGGGCAGTTACTCCGCGGAAAAATCGGCATGAACTATGGAATAGAGCTTCAGATGCCGGACTATGCCTCGTCGATAGCCGTTTTGATATAAGTTCAGAAGCCGTTTATGGTTACTTCGCTATGTACTGTCCCTTTGCGCGGTTCAAGCAATCCCGAGACCCGATGGTAGGGTGGTTTGCTTTTAGCTACCAAAAGACCTTGAGATAATGATACTGAAATTGCGCCTCGCCTTAGGAGCTCTAGACCGAATGCCCAGTTCCAGCAAGGGGAGATCCAAGGATCACTCATTCCTTCAACTAAAGGCGGAAGATAGAAGATAGTATACCCTGCAATCCACCACTACATTCCAACGTCAGGTGTTGATGCAATCCTCTTTATAGCTACAGGCTACGCCATTGAATACACAGTAAAGAGTGGAATCAGATAGATCCTTGAGGGGCTTGACAGTTACTAGAATATCTAGGGTATGTACAGCAATCACACAAACGCTGAGGAATCCAACTCTCCTGCACAAGGTCCGGTGGCCAGGTTTCTGGCGTGAATTGACAGGAAAGTTTATGGCTGCCAGAACCCAGATCGATTTTTGTATCGTCCGGGAGACGCAAATTAGCCTTGGAGTTGGGAGGAATCGTAAGATCGAGGACGAACTCATTCTCCCGAAGTACCCACGCACACTTGACAAGACCATATGGACCCTCAAAGGCTGCTTCTGCAGACGTAAGTGAGCCACCGGGGTTAGGAGTCACCTGCACCGTCTTCCAGCCATCCAGCGTGCTAATTCCGGCGATACTGCCGTGGAGCCAGCTGGCCACTGCGCCGAGAGCGTAGTGATTGAAACTTGTCATGGCGCCTTCGTTTACTCGCCCGTCTGGCAACATGCTATCCCAGCGCTCCCAGGTTGTCGTCGCGCCCATTGTGATTGGATATAGCCAGGAAGGGCAATGCTTCTCTAGTAGCATGCGGTAGGCGAGTTGCGTCTGGTTGCTCTTTGTCAACGCGTGGCATATCAACGCGGTACCAACAAAGCCAGTGCTGATGCGGAACTTCGATGTGCGAACAAGGTCTCCGAGTCGAGCAGAGGCGACCTTCTGGACTGCCGTATTCGAGGAATCATCCTTTGCATCGTCGGAAATGAGGTCCAGGCAGACTGCAAGAGAATAAGCAGTCTGCGTATCGCTGGCTAGGAGGCCAGCTGGAGTAAGATATTCGTCCCGAAAACGGCGTTTAAGCATCTGCGCATCGTTCTGGTAGAAGGCAGCGTCCTCCTGGTAGCCAAGGATAGAGGAGATCTGCGCCATTGTTCTGGTCACATGGACGAGGTATGCGTCAGCGACAAGAAGACTATTTGTCCGGCCGTTTCCTGCATCCTCTGGTGGTGCATTGGGGTCTAGCCAGTCCCCCAGCTGCCAGACATTGCTATCCCACAGCCCGTCTTCGCCGCGGCGGATACCTGTGGTCATCCAGGCTTTCATGCTTGGGTACTGTCGACGGAGAATCTCTACGTCGCTCGAGGCAACATACGCATCCCATGGCGTAAGCACAGCAGCGTCGTGCCACACGGCCTGCGGGGATGGCTTGCACCAGTGGTCCCAGAGCATCTCTGGCACGACAAGCCCCGGGATTCCGTGCTTGGTTGAGAGCTGGTCCGCAGAGAGATCTTCGAGCCAGCCTGAAAGCATGCCCACAGAGTCGTAGAGGAACATGGCCACGGGGGCAAACACCTGGATGTCACCGGTCCAACCCAACCGTTCATCGCGCTGGGGACAGTCGGTAGGAATGCCAACAAAGTTGCCCCTCATGGACCAGACGATGCTTTCGTGGAGCTTGTTGACCAGTAAGTCAGAGCAGCTGAACCAGCCTCGTCGCCTCATATCGGTGTGCATGACCAGAGCAGTGAAATCGTGGACCGTAGGAATGCCAGACCATCCATCAACCTGCACGTAGCGAAAGCCATGAAAGGTAAACTTGGTCTGCCACGAGGTAACCGCTTTGTCTCCGAAGAAGATTTTATCCGTGCACTTGGCGCGTCGCATTGGGCGAGTGGCCATTTCGCCGTTTTCGAGAACCTCGGCGTACATCAAGGTCAGCTGCGAGCCGACAGGGAGATGGAGCCGGGTGTTGATGCGCAGGCCTCCGACCAGGTTCTGGCCAAAGTCCAAGATGATCTTTCCAGATGCGCTTCGAAGAACCTGGGTCGGCATCATCTCTTCCGTGATGCGGATGGGCGGGGCATCGGTCGCCGTGAGTGCGTTTAGGGGCACATTGGGATTCAGTGTCTTGACCGGAGCCCACTCCCTGTCATTAGTCCTAAAATCGTGCGTCTCACCGTCGTACAATTCACTTTGGACGATCGATGTCGTCTGACAGAGCCACGAGGTATCCGAAGAGAGCCTCCAGGTCTCGTTGCCTTCGAATGTCACCTCCAGCTGGGCCAGAAGCCCGAGTTCATCCCCGTAGATATACCTCCTCCCTCCGCCAAAGCCCAATCGACCGGCGTACCAGCCCTCGGCCACTTCAACGCTCAGGACATTGTTGCCGACTAGCAAAACCTGCGTGACATCGTAGGCCTGGTAGACAAGGCGATGGTGGTAGCTCGTCCAGCCGGGCGCAAGGACGTCCTGGCCAACACGCACTCCGTTCAGACGTGCCTCGTAGACACCGAGCACAGTGATGTAGAGCCTTGCCTTGACTGAAACCCCTAGTTTCTTTGCCAGATCAAACCCCCTCTGCAGCCGAATCGGGCGCAATGGCTCGCCAGTAGCCTGGAATCTCTTTGCCGCGCCGATAAACTGCGCCGTCCAATCGGTGGGCTGTAGCAGGCCAACTTCCACTTGGCTAAACGGGGACCAATCTGTGTATGTTCCGGTCGTTGAACAGGCCCGTACACAGACGCTCGCCATCTCGCGAGATTGAAGCGTCTTGCCGGGCCAGGGTACCAGGACGGACTCGGCGCATTTGACGGGAAAGACCTCAGGTGTACCGCCCAGGGGTGTTATCTCGAGCTCATACGAAGCCTGTTGCCAATCCTTGGGATATTGTCCGTCACTGCTAGGGAGAAAGCGCCATGACAGGCGGGGACGTGAATGACCAAGTCCAACGCCCGTCGGGTGATGCTCGAACGTTGGGGCTGATAGGATGGGCGCAGCAGACATGCTGATTGAATTGGTTGCACAGGATAATGTACAGTGATTGTAGTGTCGATGCAGCTGGAACTGGTGACTAGATATTGATATAGACGCGACGGAGACTGATACACCGATCGGGGCGCTTTGTCCCGTGCTGCGTTGTCAAATGAAGCTTTCCAAGTTTACAGCGCACAGGGGAGAAGCCAAAGTTACTCCACGGAAGTCCAGGTCTACTCCAGCCTGAGTACGTTGATGATCTCCCCACACTACGTACAACCCGGCCTCTCAACCGCTGTGCGTCCCCTCAGACCCTTTCCATCCAAACACCAATCAACACCCCTACTCTTGTTCGGTTTCCTTCTCGACATGCATCGTGTTCAACACAGTCTGAATGCTCTTCTTCTCCAGGCTCTTCTTCACCGGATTCTTCGCTTCAAACACCTCGTTCAGCTCTTCCAGTGTTCGTCCCTTGGTTTCCGGATAGTAAAGGTAAATAATAACCGCTTCAAACACATCCCACCCAATGAAGACAATGTAAAAGTAGTACTTGAGATGCTCAAACGCCGGTCCTGACGCATACTGAATCACGGTGCTTGATGCTGAAATCAGCAACAGAGCAAATGACTTGCCCTTGGCGCGCTGGTGCGTTTCTAGAATCTCGACAATGTACACCGGAGTAATCAGTGTCCAGCCAACGGCGTAGGTGATTCCAAAAATATAAATAAAAGCAATCGTGGCGTTCGCTGCAGAGCTGTTTGAGGTGTTCTCTGCCGCCATTTTCGAGACTGGAGTTAGGATGGAGAATGCGCCAATCATGACCATGAGGGAAATCAAAAGCAAGGGGCGTCTGCCGGCCACATCCATGAGACGTGCTCCAGTGAGCGAGCCAAAGAGACAGAGCACGGGGTAGATGCCGTTTAGCAGAAGCTTCTTGCTCTCGCTGGTTATCCCCGCGCTCTCCAGCATTACTGGTAGATAGTAGTTTGTCACCGAGTTGCCAGACCACTGCCCAAAGAAGCTCATCGACACAACGCAGATCATTCGGCGCCGTGCAGCACGAGTCTTCCAGAGAGAGCTGTAATCCCACCATCTCTTGTTGTCGGGCGTGCTCAGGATCTGGTGTTCCATCTCGCGCATCTGGAATACCACAAGAGGGTGGTCGGCTGAGCCCTCGCCATGCAACTGGGCCAGTATCTCGCGGGCCTTGGAATTCTTTCCGTTGGCCATCAACCAGCGTGGAGACTCGGGAACAATCCAAATGAAGCAGACGACAATCCCAGATGCAATAAGCTGGCAATAAAGGGGGATACGCCATCCATTCGCTCCACCATCCTTGGATGCATAGATAACCCACGCTGCCAGAATCGAACCAATGTGCCTGGCGAGAGGTTAGTGTATTAATTTCGCTATTGGATACTGACTTACCAGAAACAATTGTAGCACCCCATCAGAGTCCCCCGCCATACAGGATGTGCCAACTCACCGACATACACCGGCGCTGTGACGTTGCAGAAGCAGACGCCAAACCCGAGTACGAATCGTCCAGCGAGGAACATCCCGTGTGTCTTTGCGGCTCCAGTCACGCAGGCGCCGAGGATAACGATCAGAGAGCCCGCAAACAGGGCTGCGCGTCGGCCAAACCAGTCATTTAGTGGTCCGCAGAAGGGGACGGCGGCGATAGACCCTGGTATCTCCTTAGTCAATGTACCTTCAACCTTGTAGATATTCCGTACCAATGCCGTAGATTGCAAAGACAAATCCGGTGCTAGATGAGGCAGATTTCCTGTTTTCATCAGCAGGTGCTCGTATCTTCACGGCGATCAACCTTACATATCAAAGTAATCCAGATAGGACTGCATTGCATTGAGGCCGCTGCGTGCGTGTTAGAACATCGTCTCCAGACTCAGAAAGGTCTGTCCAACTCACCCCATGACAGAACCGTCATAGCCATTGATGGTCGCGCAAAAGAACGCCACCAGCAAGCATCCGTACAGACGGAACATAGAAGGTGTCCAGGGGCTGTACTTGCCTTCCTGGACAACATCCGCAATGTCGAGGACTTCCTCGACCACTGGTTGAGGAGTGTGCGAGGCCCCCTCGACATGGTGCGAGTCTGGGAGTGTCTTGGTTTGGGTTGCCATGGTTCCGCAAAGATACTAGATACAGACAATCTCAAATGATGTGCGGTATGAGAGTCTGGCTGGGAGAGTTGGTCTCGTTATATAGGCTCAGCAGTCAAGATACCCTTTCCCCCTACTATGGTATACCTCCCAGCATGGGGTGATATGGTACGTGTCAAACACTGACTAGGAGGTAGGACAGTTTGCTCGTGTGCCCCAGGTTTCGGCCCCCCCGCAGAATCTTCGCAGTCGGAGGTGGAGTGCTCGCTGCTTTTTCCACGGAGAATCACCAGGGGTCAGGCTCGGCATTTACGGTATCCACGGAGAAATAGGCTCAGGATTCCGCATTCGGGGCGTTGTACGAGTACGAGAGTTCCTCCACGTTTGTCAACCCCACAACTATCAGGACGTGAGGAACATGGTTGTTCCCCATGCGGGGAGTGTTGCCAGTTTGTATCGATCAATAGCCGATGGCATTTACGCGCAGACATAGTGCTTCATGATGCCTCGGATGAGAGGAGGATACAGTCTTGGATCAACGTATATAAACCAGGCATCTCCTCGCGTTCTGATATTGTATCAAGACAGAGCACAATCACTACCGGAGAGTATCATCCTCACAGAACAGCGACAATGAGCGCTCGAATCTGTTTGGCAGTTGCCACTCTCGGCCTGCTGAGTCGTTCTACCTTTGCAGCTCCTTCCTCTTCCACGGGCCATGATATCCTGCCGCCACCACCTAATCCCGAACCTATTAAAATCATTGAACTCCCTCTACCTCCAGTTGCCCCTACGCGTGAAGAAGGCGCCTGCACGCTGGATATCAACCCCCGTCGGACCGGCTGCATCGCCGTCGACCCAAGCCTCCAGGGTGGGACTTTTCTTCCAGATGGAAACCATGTCATTGCAACTGTGAACTTCACGGGTGCTCCCGCCCCGCCTGATCCTGCAAGTGTATACATGGGCATGCAGATGATAGCCGTCCGGACTAATGGCACGACCTTCCCCAACGGCGACACCTGGAAATGCATCACGTGCGGCGTTCCCGACGAGAACAAGGAGGGAAGCGAGGAGTTGACCGAGTATCCTCAGGCCTTCAAGGATGGCCGTCGGGCCATGGCTGCAAGCAACATTGTTGACTGTGGCGATGCGGAACTTACAAGCCCCGAATGCACGCCGGACAAGGTCCACATCCACCCGATCTGGTGGGAAAGCGGCAGCATTCGCGAGCTTCGCATCCATCCTGACAACGTTCATCTGGGCTTCAGCTCTTTCACTCAGCAGAACGGGGCTCTTGGACAGTATGCATATTTTGGGAGGATTGTCTTCAACCCAGCTCCAAAGGTTGGTGAGCACCTGAGTCCTCGATACGAAGTGGTGAATGTGACCCGGCTCTTCAATCCCGACGCCCCGCAACCTGTCGAGGTCGAGGGGAAGCGATTAGTTCTCAACCCTAATGCTATTGCCGTTGGCGAGCTTCGTGGATTCTCGGGCACAGGCAAGGAGATAACCTACGTTGGAGCCCCGATCTAGTCCTCCAATATTGATGCCTTTGCGGCAGACCTCACAACAGGCAAGGTGCGCCGCTTGACCCAGCATCCAGAGTATGTTGACCCGCTCGACATTTCACCCGATGATCAATGGGCAGTCATCTTGGATACTCGAGGAACTGACCGGCAGATGTGGCTATCAGGCATGCGCGGAATCCCCCCAGTCACCGATCTGATTACGACCAGCCTGACCTCCGCAACGCGAAACAACGGACAGCGCAGATTCTTTGTCCCCTGGCTCATCGACTACCACGGCGACCGCGGTTCCTACTTTGGGCAACAGATCAACGCCGCCGGGGATGGTACACCTGGCTCCATCAACGACCCGAACTGGAACGCCCGAGCGGACCCTCGCTGGTCCCCTGATGGCACTCAGATCACGTACTACCAGTATCTCGTCGTCCCACCAGCCTGTGGTGGTCAAAACCCCCTCCCATGCCCGACATCCACCGCCCCAGGAGGGCGCATCAATCGATTGATGCTTGCCACTCTAACCAGTCGCACCCCGCTCGCTCCACAGCCCATCGCAAACGTACCGGAGTTCATCCCTTGGGGAGTCCCCGTCAAACCCGGAGACCCCCTGCCTATCCGTCCCGCGCCCGCTCCAGGTGTCTATACCCTCAAGGGCAAACGCTCCGGTTCCGCACGCGTGGAGATCATCGGCGACGGAACAACAATCGACACCGTCGCTGTCCGTTACGATCGGTTCTCAGACGACGGCATCAACATACTGCGCGGGTGGGAGAATGTGACTGTAACACGCCTGTCTTTGAGCACTTCTCGCGCGGAATGGTACTCAGATCTGTGGTCGACGGGCGAGACCAGAAGTTCCAAGCGGACCGGCCGTGGAGGGTTCCATCTGGAGATCGACTCGCTGGTCAATATCTTCAAGGCGAACGGGACGATGGTCACGACCATTGATGGTGTTGTGTACAAGCCTCCAGCCAATGGGACGTAGAGATGCCCGATATCTAGTTTGAGAGCAAGTCTATGTCCAAAGTGTTATATTGGTCCGTTTGTTGGACACTCAATGCCTGGAAACCATATAGTTCCTTGAAGGTTTACCAGTGGATAAAACTCCAACCAGATATCACGGGATCTACAGTCATCCTGGCCTGTCGTGGGGTCTAAATCACAGATTGGCTGATGCTCTCTAATCATTGCAGAGTCCGCTGCAATCCAGGGCTACGGTTGGTTAATATATGGCACCACACTGGTCGGAAGGGAAGGCCTACTTTTGGAACAGGCCAGTCTGAAAAGTGAACAAGTCTGGCCTCTGCGAGGATCTTGGTCGGATCCCAATCCTCCACCGGACTCCCCAGATAGCGGGAGTGTGACTTGGACCGAAACTCGCCTGTTAATAGTGTGTTTGGTTGGTGCGGCAAGACCAAAGCACAGTCCATGTAAAGCTTATTTAGGATATCCATGTTGTAATCATCTGGTCCTGCCTCTGAGATTGCTGCTGCAACACGATCGAATTCGGCATTTGATGGCTCAACGAGTAATACTAGTGAGGTTAGAAAGAGTTTATCTTGATCAAGCCAATATGCTCTTGGCATCGCAACCGGGGACGGTGGCATCAGGAACAGATCGTCAAGATGCTAAATCTTCAGTGAGTTTTCATCATACAGCCCAGAAAGGCGGCCTATTTGAAGGATTGTTGCGTCAGAATCCAACCCCAAGACGCGGTCATATTGAGTTTGGTTGAATATAAGCAAATTTGTATAGCTTTCAGCCCATGCCGCTGTGTCCGGTTAGCCTTGCGTAGCGCACCGGGTAGAGGGGTCTGGTACAATCACCACTATCTCGTCTCTGTACTTCAATCGGAACGAGTTCGACACTGTACTTATCGCGCGCTTTTCGAAGAAGCCAACTGTCCCTTGTGTTGTCATCAATTAAGTAGTTGGACGGGTACATAAGCAGGCGATGCGCTTTGCTTTGTAGGCGATGGAGTGTTTCGAAAATCATAACCGAGTTGCAAAAATAGTCTATATTCGTGGCATATTGTGCATACGCAAAGCGAGACCAATCGACACTGTCTCCTGATCGCTATCGCCCTCTCTCATGGCCCAAACTATTCCGTGAAGGAGTTCTGGGACCGAAGCGGCATTCTGTTCGCCTCCGCAACTATTTCCTGCCCGATCACCAGCCCTATCGCTGGTAGGGTTTCTGCAACTTACAGCGGGCCATGTAGCAAAATGAAAACATACGGGGCAGCTTGCGTTGATTTGACGTTAGGGGCGGCTACTGGTTCTGCTCATCGACTGAGCTCTGCGGATGCCTTTGAGTCTAGCTTTGCAAGCAAATCCAAAAGTCGTGTAAAGAACATATTCGCCCGAGCTCTGATAGCCTCATTGTCTACATTTTGGATCATCTCCAGTAGAATCGTCCCGACATGGCGAATGCGTTCCACCTGGTAAGACATCAGCAGAGTATCATTGAGCAGAAAAGTGGCAAATAACAGGGTACTCACGCTAGGTTCCCCTTTGATCTGATGGTAGACGAACGGGATATCATCCGCTGTCTGTAGGAACTCTTGTATAATTTCCATCTTCTTCATCGAGGCAGCCAGCGGTTGGTCTGTCAATCCCATGATCCCGCAGGCGCTGTACTCGATACAGCTCTGTAATATGACAAGCCGTAGGCAATGAAAGGACATCATGAGAGTGCAGCGCTGAACCCAGAAGCAGGTTTTCTGAAACGAGTTTGCTTCTGTATCGCCCGGGGCTGGTAAGAGATTCGAGACCTGTAACCAACTAGGAAGCCCGTCGATGATTCGGACAAAGTCGAAATAGGCATCTGCTTTGCGGGTCATTGGCTCGCACGCTTTGAGACTCACGAGTAGCCGGGCGGCTGATGACCAGAGACGCGGCATCAGGTGGAAGCCCACCAGGATATTTGCCTCGAATGGCTCGGCATATCTGGGATTATTTGGATCCAGAAGCGGAACGAAGGAGTCTCCATACGGAGAGGTGGAAATTTCCGTTGGAAGCAGGAGCTCGTGCAAGACGGTCGGGCGCGTTCCTAGGACCTGGCCACCCTTGTCGGATGAGTATGCGGCCCAGAAACTCAGGCGGAGAAGCTTGGACTCGACGGGGTCATCCCTGGCAATGGCCTGTTCATCGTAGAGGTGCATCGACTGGGCGAGGAGGGTGCCCTGGCCGAAAACGTGAAAGGCTGCCCCTTTTCGGCCCGTAATATGTTGCAAGGCAGACGATTGCAGAAATCGAATGGCGAGTGAGGTCGAGTCTGGGTACTCGAGATCAAAGTCCTCGTAGAGCTTAAGCATGTCTCTCGAAGCCTTGAGGAATAGGCGATCAGCCAGCTTGCCGTATGCAAGGAGGGAGTCGGGCATCACAGACGACATCGATGCGCATAGGGAAGCCAGCAGGGTGAAACCGCGCATGAGCCTTATTGTCTCGCCTTCATTAGCGCTTTCGAATACGGGAACCGAGTTGGCTGTCGCAAAAAAGAAGAGTGCGTCGTGCCGTAGCCGACCTCCATGGACAAATGGCGCGGTGGGGAAGGTGTATTGCATGTAAATGTCAATGCAGTTGTTAACCATGTCAATGACCCGCATCCCTGGCAGCACTGTTGTGAGCGCATTGATTAGTGTATCCAGGATTGCTCGGGCTGCCCTGAGCGAGTCGTTGTCAGTTGGCGCCACCGACCAGCCCGCCGGGCTCGGGGTCTGCCATGCTGCAATCGACTGCTGAGGGGTATTGCCAACCGCTGCAGGTGTTCCAGAATGCAGCGGCGGCGTAGCAGGGACCGGGGTCACAGTTGCATCGTCGTGTGGCAAAGGGGTGTCCACCGTTTCCACCCTCGATCGTCGAGGGCCACGCTTTTTCGCGATTCTCGTGTACAAGCAATCAATTCTGGAGATGCGACAGTTGGCACACGGCTCTTGCGAGTCACACTTGACCTTTCGCTTGCGGCAGCTGTCGCATGCCTTGCTGGAGACCGAGGAGCGCAGCGAAGACATGGTGTGATATGCGGGGGACAAGCCTCGGTGGAGAGAGAAAGAATGACCGTGGAGAAAATGTGGAACTGCGCATATTTCTAACTGCAACTGGGCTAGTAAAACTCGTATATATAGGAATACTCGGAATATCTACACCCCCGACCACATGGATGTCTCCAACAGCCGGAACTGCGCCCGCGACACCTCGTCCTGCGGATCGGCACTGGCGGCCACGATGACTGCGAACTCGCCAGCCTCGGCTCTCCACTGCGAATGCTCTTCCGACCAGAATGAGAGTGCATATTTGTCCAGCGTGATATCACACTTTATGTTCTCACCCTTGCTCACCCACACCTTTTTGAATGCCTTTAGCTCCTTGCGCGGTCGCTGCACCGAGCACTCCAGATCCGAAATATAAACCTGCACCACCACAGCCCCATCATACTCACCAGCGTTCGTCACCCCGACTGAGATGGCCATATGCCCATGCTTCGGAAACTCCTTTGGCACCTCAAGATTCGAGTATTCAAACTTTGAATAAGACAGCCCGTATCCGAAGTAAAACAGCGGTGGTGTCTCCAATTTTTCGTAATATTTGTAACCCACAAACACACCTTCACCATAAACAATTTCACGGTCGGTTTTGCCGAAATTCAAGAAGGCCGGGTTATCCTGGATACGCCGGGGAAAAGACAGCGAAAGTCGACCTGACGGATTGACATCTCCCCAGAGGACATCGGTCATGGCGTGGCCAGTCTCTTGGCCGCCGTACCAGGCATAGATGAGCGTATTGACACTGTCGATCCAGGGCATTTCAATGGGCATTCCTGCTTGGATAATCACGACTGTGTTTGGATTCGCGTCACAAACCCTCTGGATCATCTCATTCTCCCGATCAGGCAGCAGAAGGCTGGTCCTGTCGGACGCCTCGTATTCGTAGTCGGTGCTGAGGCCAGTAATTAGGATCGGAACATCAACGGTCTTTGCAAGCTGGACAGCGTCCTCGATGGCTTTGCTTTCGTCGCGGACGATCTGCCCTCCAAGCCTGACACCTCCTGCAGCTGGTGGTCCGACATTGTCGCCTGGCTTTTCATTCGTCATGAGGATGAGCAACTCATGGCGCTGACCCTCGACGATATCCAGCGTAGCGAATCGTTCCATCGAAAGTTTGTTGAAACACGGAGTGTCGTCCGTCTTCTCTGGATGATCCGTCCACAGGTCGACTGCCTCGTTACCATCAATAAACAGCCTGCCCTTGCCACAAACCCCGAGTCCAAACCGGTACTTGCAAGTGGTCTGTGCAACAAAGGTTGTTCTGACCCGGATATAGTGCAGATCCGGCACATTGGGGAAGGTAATCTGGCTGAAGTACATGCACGTATTCGTTGTTGTTGTCGAGTACACACAGGGCGCTTCGGTGAAGATGGATGGATCCACGCCAAACCATTCCAAGAGCAGTCCTGGCTCCTCCGAGTCAGGCTGATACAGGCGCTCCTGGATCAACGGGGACCAGCGACGAGCTATAACGTTAGCCATGTTTCCCTGTGAGTCGTTTCAGACATTTACTTACTATAGCATCCGGGCTCGTAGTGAATGTTCTCAGCACCCAAAATCTCTGCAAACGCGTCAAAAGGCCGACTGACATAAAACGGAGTAGTTTCAGAGCTTCCACCGCCGCCTGTAGCTGGATTCTTGACATGCTCGCCGATCAGCCCATAGGTTGTAGTCGAGCTGTTGGCCGGCGCCAGTGGGAGGACATTCCGCGCGTTCTTCAACAGGACGATCGAGTTGGCTGCCACTTTGCGAGTAAGCGCACGACTCTCCGGAGTATCCCCTCCCTCATCGTCCACAGCCCTAGAGCGAGAAGGATTCGTGCGATCAATGAGCTTCAGCAGATTGCCCACCGATGTATCGACAGCAGCCATGGATACCTTGCGACACTCGACCGCCTCAATAAGCTGCTTACCGCGCCAAATTGATGGTCCTGGCATCTCAAGGTCCATCCCTGCGTTGATTGCTTCGGAAGTACTGTACGTCCCCCACCAGTCGCTGATAACCAGCCCATCGAATCCCCACTCCTTGCGTAGGATCTGCTGGAGCAGTAAGGGGTCTTCGCTAACGTGTAGACCGTTGATCTTCTGATACGCGGACATGAACCCCCAAGGCCGGGCCCGCATCGCAATCTGGAATGGGAGCAGATGCACCTCGCGCAGCGTCCGTTCCGTCATGTGCACATCGTCTTCCTTCGACCGGGTCGATTGATCATGGGCCGCATAATGTTTGATACATGATGCGACTCCACGTTCTTGGAGACCTTTAATGTACTGCGTGGCCAATGTGCCACTCAAGACTGGATCCTCGCCAAACGCTTCGAACCCGCGGCCGATGAGCGGCGAGCGCTGGATGCAGACTGTAGGCGCCAAAGCGACCTGGATGTTCTTTCGCCGGCCTTCGTTGCCGAGTAGCGTTCCGACTTGGTACAGGAGGTCCGTGTCGAATGTAGCTCCCATAGCGGTTGCACTGGGGAGTTGATATCCCGGCGGCTTGTACGTTGTCAGTACGCACAGCTCGGTGGGATATGGCTTACTTACCGGGTTGAAGAACCGACCACCACCTCCTCGGAGTCCGTGTGGGCCATCGGATGTCTGGTCTTGTTAGATGCCTGGCTCTGTGGGCAGAGGAGAACAACGTACGTGCAGGCTGGGAATCTTCAGCCGTTCATTGGAGTTGGTGTGGCAGGCACCGATACCAGAAAGTAGGGCAACCTTCTCAGCCAAAGTTAGCTGAGATAGAATGTTGGCTACACTTTGCGAGTCCATATTTATCAGCCGGGGCAATCTCTGAGCTTGCTTCTAATGCAAGTGCGTAAGGAAGCGATGTGAGATTGAACTCCTAATGCAAGTGTTTCAACGGGTGCGGCCATGTTTATCTACGCCTTGACAGGAGTCCAAGTATACCTTTCGAGTCAGAGTCGCTCACGAGGCCCTCTGCCGATGGGTGATCTCCATCGTAAATTCTCCGTGACCTGGTGGGCCCTCTCAGGCTCCAGTCCTCCGATGTTCGATTCTTCCACGGAGAAATTGCGCCAACGCAGCGTAATAACAATCTGATCCCAGAGGAGAGGGGAATCAACTTACCTCCGCCTGGAACCTCCGAGAAGGTCTGTCCAAGGCAAAAGGATAAATAGTGTTGCACGACATCGAAGATGTTTTGTCAACTCCACGACCCAACAGCAATATGACTGCTGAACCCCAAGTGCCGCCCTTCTACACCAAACTCCAGGGCTCCCTTCCTCCCGACTTTACATGGGGATATGCCACTGCAGCCGCGCAAATCGAAGGCGCCTGGGATGAAGACGGGCGAGGCCCCTCGATCTGGGACACATTCACCCGTCTCCCCGGAAAGATCAAAGACGGGAGCACGCCATCCGACGCCTGCAACGCGTACCATCTCTGGAAAGAAGACGTCGCCCGGATGAAAGAGTACGGTGCGCGCGCGTATCGATTCTCGCTTTCCTGGTCGCGGATCATTCCCCTCGGTGGCGAAGCAGACCCCATAAATGAAGCTGGGGTCGAATTCTACAGTACCCTCATCGACGAGCTTATTCGCAATGGGATCACGCCGTGGGTTACACTGTACCACTGGGATTTACCTCAGGCTCTGTACGAACGGTACGGGGGCATGCTTAACAAACAGCGATATACGGCTGATTTTCTGCGCTATGCACGCCTCTGCTTCGAGCGGTTCGGCGACCGCGTGAAATACTGGATCACATACAATAAGCCCGGGCTTACTACGCGCGCTAAATACGCACAGGGACGCAATGCACCCGGCCATGTGAGCGATACGGAGCCGTGGATTGTCGGACATACAGAGTTAGTTTCGCACGGATATGTCTGCGAAATGTACAAGCGCGACTTTCAACCAACGCAAACAGGATGCATCATGATCACACTTGACGGGAACTGGTACGAGCCGTGGGATGAGAAGGATCCGAGGGACATTGAAGCTGCGGAGCGCGCGAAGGAGTTTGAGATTGGTTGGTTTGCGGATCCGGTGCATGGAAAGGGCGACTATCCCGCCTCGATGAGAGCGCAGCTGGGCAATCGATTGCCTCGCTTTACCGAGGAGGAGCAGAGGGTTGTGCGAGGGAGTTCAGATGGATATGGGATGAACTCGTATACTGCGTTCTATGCCAGGCACCTCGACGGAGTCTCGGACCGTTCTGATTATCGAGGGAATGTCGAGTTTCTGAACGAGAACAGCAAAGGAAACCCTCGAGGTCCCGAGACAGACACACACTGGCTGCGGATGGCGCCGTGGGGATGGGCCAAGCTGCTCCGCTGGATCTGGGCGCGGTATGGGGTCCCGATCTGCATCACCGAGAACGGGACGACGGTAAAGGGGGAACACGAGGGACCGGCTCCTGCCGCGCCAGGAGAGATTGTCGAAGACCCATTCCGAGCGGAGCTTTTCCGGGCGTATCTGGCGGAGGTGGCCAAGGCGTGCCAGGAGGGCGTGGTCATCAAGTCGTACTTTGCGTGGAGCTTCGTGGACAACTGGGAGTGGGCGCTGGGCTACACTTCGCGCTTTGGGGTGACTTGGGTCGACTACGCCAGCCCGCAAAAGACTCGATATGCAAAGCGCTCGGCGTACGCTCTACGGGAGTATTTTGAGTTTCTTATAGCTCAATAATTGCTCGATAATTCTTGTTGATGCTCACTTGATGCTTATAAGCTCCAAGTCACCTGACTCTGTACGAGGCCCAACCTGAATTAAATGAACAGGAACCCCTTGTTCTATTTTTTCAGCCGTAAGCACTTTGATTACGATGATTCCTGATGACTAGCCAATAGTGTTGCTTATAGTAAACCTCTGGATCGTTTATATATAGCAAGTAGCAAGTTATAAAAAAACATTAATTATTACATGCTGACAGCCGACGTAGGCGGAGCGGCCAATGCCGTACCTAGTTCAGGGCCGGGGCAATGGTCGTTTGCGCAAAAGTCGTTGGTTTCATATTCGTTCCTAATAATATAGACATCATTTCTTCTTCTCGACCAACTCTTCAAGTATTCCACATATGGCAAGCACGACTGGGTCGTACCTTCCATTTACCTGCACGGTTCGTAGCCTAGGCTACCGGGCAGCTCAGTCGCTCCTTCCCGTCGTGGCGAGGGCAAGTTTAAAAGTGAGGAAGGAGCGATGTATAAGACGGGAAATTGTGAGCCAACCCTCGTCAGTCGGGTAGGACCAGAATGTCAGCAGACTTGAAACAAACCAATGAAGTGGGACATGGAGTTCACCTACCCGGAGGTCCACGAAAGACAAAGTTGAATGGCAAATGCCCGTGAGGGTCCAGGTTCAGGTGCCTGAGGGTTTTGACGTCGTATGTGCTGAGTTTGGTAAATGTATAGGTTAAGTAGCGCCTAGCCCTGTCCCGCCCCGCCCCGCCCCATAATGGCGCGGGAATCAAAGAGGTAAGACATATGGTATCTTTGCCGCCGGATGTTGGTGTAGTCCCGTGAGTGTCCGGGATTAAGACACCCGCTGTTGAAGACAGCAGTGGTTATTCTAGTGGAAATATTATCAAGGTTGTCTAAACGGGTATTCACGTATGTCTCGTACATGAGGACAATCCTGCACAAGCAGAGTTCCTCCTATATTGGCTGCGAGCCTTGGTAAGCTTGGTAGGTCATAACAGAGGCACAGAATGGGTGGCTTACCTGGGGGCCTCGGAACGTTGTGGCATCTGAGGACACTATGATACCCGAGCCTCGTGGCTGGGGATAAGGGCAAGACTGCTTCACGATCTATGCATAACGGAACGGTTCATGATGGGTCGCGAAGTGGTTGTCCCATGACAATATTCGGGGTTGAGGTGAAGACTTGGATTGTACCATACCATAGTGTTACGGAAAAGCAAAGGTTGATAATAGGATCATGATGAGTCATTTCTGTATTAACATAATCGTCCGCTTAACTCAAACTCATTCATACATTATGACGTTTCGTGTACACCACGTGCCATCATACATATAGCTATGTATATGCTGGAAGTGGGTGCCTGAGGCCACCGGCGGCCTTAGGGCTCCGGTGGAGAAAGGTTATTCTAGCCTAAATAACTACCTGTAAAACTCTTTATTTATTTTTAAAATATTTAGCTTAAAATATTCAGTAATATAAAAAACTTTTATATATAATAATTATTTATTTTTTTAATAAGTTATAAGCCTGGGTTTACTTAACTTATATATTTAATTAAAAGTTTTTTTTTTTTAAGTTAACCTATATTAACTAAATATATAGTATTTTTTTATTTTACCTATTTAGCTTTATATTTTTTTTATAATTTTATTAATTATTATAATAATTAAAAAGCCCTATGCTAAGGGCAAAGGTTTTATTATAAAAATATAAATATTATAGCTTTATTTTATTTTACCTTAAATTTTTTATTTTTTTTTTTTACCTTTACTTTTTTAATTAGCTTTTAATTTTATAAATATCCGCTTTCTAGGGCCACATGTATTTAATTTTTTAATAAAAATAAGTTTTTTTTAGTAGCTAAAAAATTTTAAAACCTTTAAAGATAATATAATACCTTTAGGTTTTTTAACTTAAACTTTAACTTTAATTATTTTTTAAAAATTTAAATTAACCTTTAAATATTTAACTAGCTGTTCCTAGTTACTAGTTTTTTTTTTTTTTATAACTATTCTAGTATAGGCTTTAGCCTATTTAATCTTAACCTTATTATAATAATTTTTTAGGGTTTATTATTTTTAATTACCTTAAGTTTTTAATCCTTAAGTGCTTTAATCCCTAGCTTTTAAATTATTTTAATTTTTTTATTATCTAGTTTTCCTATACCTAGTTTTTTTATATTTAGTTTTCCTACACTAAGCTAAGATAAGAAAAATAACCTTAATTAAAGTAAAAAATATCCTGGTTTTAATATTAAAAAACTAGTAAGTTAAATAAAACTAGTAAATATTTCTAAAACTTTAAAAGGCTAGCTATAGCTACCTTTTAAAGTAGTTAAATTAAAAGCATTTTATAAAAACCCTTATTAATCCCTTTTTTATTATATTAATACTAGCAGGTAAAGATACTAAAACCCCTAGCTAATAATTTATTATAAGCTAAGCTAAAAATATAAGTATTAATAATAAAGTTTTAATTATTACTATACTTTTTATATAGCCTTTTACTTAGCCTGCTACTAAGGCTATTACCAAGCCCATGTTACTAGTAAACCATAACAAGGCTAAAATCTAGTAATAAAACTAGGATTATACTATAATTTTAATTTTTAGTTATTTAGGCTTTAATTTATAAAATCTTTTTATTAATAAGTAAATAATATATAAGCTACTTAATAAGATTAAAAGCTATTTTAAACCTAATATTAATATGATAATTTTTAAGACCTAGGCTAATTTAATATTCCTATTTTATAATAAAAGTATTTTTAATTTTAGCAAGAAACTTAGGAAAATCTAGCAGAAATTTACCCATGTTAGTATTACTTTTTTAATTAAACTTATTATTACCACTTTTTACTAAGCCTTAAATAATTAATTTAATTATTTTAAGGCCACGCACTTTAATAACTATATTATTAAATATTTTTTAAAAAATACCACCACGCTAATTACCTCCTTAAATAACTTTATAATTATTATTAAATTTATTAAATTAAACTAAAACCAGGGCACTAGTACCCTAGCACTTTTTTTTAATAAGGTATTTAAGCCTAATATTAAATATTATAAAAATTACCTTAATATTATTTAAATATATAAAAACAAGGATACCGCGAATATTATTATATATTATTATTTTTATTATAACACGCTATTTTATAGCTAAAAAACCTATTATTAACTTTATTTTAAGCTTAAAATTACTTAAAAAAACTCCCGGGGTGGTAAGGGCGCTAAATATTTTTAAAAAAACTCTAAATTTAAAAAAAATATAAAGCCTACGCTTAAGCTAGTGCTTATAACTTAAATTAATTTTAATTTTAAATAAAAAATTATTTAAAATAGCCTTATTTAATAAATTATTTTAAATAGTGGCTATGCGTAACATGTTATTTATAATTATTTTTTATTTTAGGACCTTAAACCTTATATTAGCCTTAGTATTAAGGGTATTAGCCTTAAAGTTTTTAGCACCTAGGGTATTAATATTATTAAGATTTTTTATTATATTAATAGCTAGCTTAAAGTCCTGGCTTTAAATAATATTTTATACTACCTTAATATATTTTTTATACTAATATTTATTTTTTAACTACTAGATAAGTATTACTTAGTTAGCTTTAACTAGTAAAATATAAAAGTTAAAAAGTTATAAAATACTAATATTATTACCTTATATAACTATAAATTAGCTTAGTATATAATTATTAAAGTTTATAAAGTGTTTTTTTTAACCTTTACTAGGATTTAGTAATACTAGCTATTTTAATATTAATAACCTTTATTTTTTAAAATAAATTTTTTTAGCTTTAGCACTAATAAATAGGCTATACTTTTAAAAATTAACTTAATAAAATAAAAAAGGTGGTTTATAGCATACACATGCCTAAAGGCTATATTTATAAATTTTATATTACTATATACTAGTAAGCTAAGCCTTATAAAAGTATTATAACACCTATTAATTAATTATTTAAATTTTTTTATATAAATATTTTTGGCCTGTATCCGCTTTTATTTAATAAAAAGATATATATTAACTTTATTATAAATAATAAATTTTATTACTACTAGGTTATAGCACTAGCTAGCAAGAATAAATTTATTACTTAGGCTTTTTTTATTATTTACTAGTATAACATGCCTAAACTCCCACTACGCCGCGTACACTATAATTAAGGGGGGGAAAATATTTATAACTTATAATACCTTATTTATAACTTTAAAGTTATTATAAAAATGTTTAGTATAAACTAGTATAAATAAAATAATTATACTAAAGTATTTATTAATAAGCTACTTAGCCTTATATAATTTATACTATATAATATCAAAGCCCTAGTTAACATGTAGTTTAAGTTTTATAAAAATACTAGTTATTTATATAACTATACTTTATACTTTATATTAAATAATATTATATTATTTAAGGCCTAGTATAGCCACTAACTAAATATTTTTTATATTTATATTTTTTAGTTTAAGGTCTATATTTTAAACCTACTAAAAAAGTAAAAAAAGCTTTATAAAAATAGTAAAACAAGAACTAGAAAATTAGTTAGCTTTAATAAAAAAATAAATAAGCTATACTAAGTTTTTTTAAATAATAGCCACGTAGTTTTAGTATATAATATTAATATTATTAAAAATTATTATATTAGGCTAGATTTTTTATTAAAAGTAATTACTTTAGCGCCTTTAGGGATTTTTATTTTTAAGGCCTTACTAAAAGTTACTAAAACTTTAAGCCCTTTAAAAATCTTTATTTTTAAGGCTTTACCTTTTTTAGGGACCTTTATTCCCAAGACACTGCCTAAAGCTTTAAACCCTTTAAAAATTTTTATTTTTAAGGTACCTAAAGCTTTAGTATTTTTAAGAATTTTTATTTTTAAAAACTTACTAGCTAACACTAACCTAAATATTAAAAAAAATTTTAAAAATAAATTTTTAAAAAGCTTAGCTCCTAGAAACTTCTTTAGGTATATA